TATTAAATTAAATAAGTTAAAAAAAAAACCTAGTATTTAAATTTACTATATTTTTATTATATATATATTATAATTACTAAAATCTAAGTTTTAAATTTTAAGCTACTTTTTTCTTTTTTATTAATTTTTTTTTTAACTTTTTTAACTTTAACCTTAATAAATATACTAAAAACTTCTATAACCTAATCTATAACTAAAATACCTTAAAATCCCCAATATCAATAATAACTTAAGTTATTTAAATCCCCTTTTTAGCTAGTACTTTATATAGCTAGTATTTATATTAACTTAATATAATATAATAGCTTTTAAAATTAAAAGTTATATTAAGCTTTAGTAATATTTTAAAAAAAACTTAACCTTTTAAATTAAAATTATTAAAACTTTTAACTAAATTATAAAATATAGCTATTTCTATTTAAATATATAAAATAAAATTATAAATAAGAATTTAATTTTCTTATTTATTAACTTAAATTTTATTATTAAAAAGTAAATAGTATTTAAAAATAGCTAATATAATTTATTAGCTTCTATTTAAGTATTATAAATAATATAATAATAACTTAAATATATTTTCTTTCTTAAAAAAACTTAAGAGGAAATTTAACTTCTATTTTTCTAATTTATCTTCTAAATTCTAAGAGAATTTAAGATTATATTAAAGTTAGAATTTATAATATAAATACAATAGATTATCTCTAAAAAGAGCTACTTAAGTAAAATTTACTATATTAAAAATTAGTTATAATAGAATAAGTATTAAAAGGAAAATTAATTTTTTAATAATAAAAGATATCTCCCTTATATTTTATTACTTAGAATAAGATTACTATCTTAAGGTTATTAACTATAAATAATAAGGTTATTAATTATAAATAATAGAGTTAAAGTTAGAAAAGTTAAATAGAAGCTTTAAGTAGAGATTAGTAGGTAATAATCTTATTATTTAGCTATTATTTCTTTTAGTATTAGGTAAAGTACTTATTATTTATTTCTACTATTTAAGATTATTATATAGCTTTAATTTATTTAATAATATTAAGTAAAGCTAAAAAACTAAATATAATAATTAAAATAATAATTAAAATAATAATAATTTTTATTATATTTATTATTTTTATTTTTATTTTTATTATTTAATATTAAAATTAGTAATTTTTAATTAATATAATTAATAAAATAATAAAATACGTAATTTTTAATTAATATAATTAATAAAATAATAAAATAATAAAATAATAAAATAATAAAATTTAAATTTAAATATAATATATTTAATAAAAATCTAAAATTATATAAAATTCTAAGTTTATTAAATAATAATTAACTGTAAAAAGTTAGTATATTTAAATTATTATTATACAGTTAACCTACCTCAATAAGCTTTTCAGTTAACTCTAAACAATCACGGTTAATATCATCCATAGAACCTAGTGAGCAAGATCGCCAGAGGCCTCCAAAGCCCATATTATCCAAAGTCTCTATCAATAATGACATTGAACCAACGGCCCGCGAGAGTTGGGGGTTGGATGACAATGTCCGTAGAAGGACATGCGCCGCTCCCAGCGTGCTTGAGTTCTGGCCGTGCAACAGAATGTCGTCCAGCAGAGATCGGATGGCTCCGCACCTATTGATGATTTTAGCTTGACTGTCATGAGTGAGTATTCAGGGGCCGTAACTAACAGGTGGATAGCAACAGAAGGCCGTTTGGTTGCCAGTTCATTCAACCTCTGTAGGCTGCGTGTCTGGACAGTGTCCTCCAAGTACTGGAAGTCCACAATCTCAATGGCCGTCATTAGTAGCAGGTTCTTGTCCTGGATTGCCCCGATGTCTGGCAATTCGCGCGACTTGAGTACCGTGTTGACCTCGCCGGGGTTGATACCGGCGGACCACAGGCTATCCTTTAGCTCCTCATGGCCCACGGCTCGGGCGAGGAGGAGCGCCAAGTACGCCGACCCTTCTGGGACATCCCTCACGCTCGTGTTAGGGTTAGAGCTCCACGTCGTCATTTCAAGAAATGATGATAAAACTCGCATTGCGGTTTGTCTTGTTGTAGTGTCCGTGAGACCACGAGAAAGACACGCGCATACAGCAAACTCAAAGGTGTCATGGGTGAAGTGAATGCCATATACGTCCTCCAAGGGTAATGCCGCTTCGTCAAGTGGGGTTCGGCCCTGAAGAAGCAGAGGCACCATTTTCGCACCCCTGAAGTCCCCCCCGGTGCTGATATTGGCCAAAACTGCCTCAAGGAACAGAGCAGCACAGCTGAAAAGGTTTGCCGGGACCAGTCGTACTAGTGACATGGCGAGCCAGAACAACTGCAAGCCGTATCGGGAGGCGGACGGCAGCTTTGCCATCATCTTGGAAAGCGAGGTCACAATTGAAACGAGCATCTCGCTGTTGTGGTCCTCGCCAAATCGACCCACGCTGTTTCGCAAGGCTACGAGCACTTGATAGAGTAGGTCATCATCCACCTCTTCCCGGGCAAGGCAGCCCATGACTGTGAATGCTCGTGGTTGGATAGCTGGGTTGTTTTGAAACGCTGTGCTAGCCACGAGGCTCATCCACCGGGATCGCCAAGCATTGGACAAGTCGACTGTTGGGGCTGCCACTGAACAAATCTCGAACAAAGCAGACGCCAGGTTCTCTGTGCCTGACAACGCCGGGCCAGCTTCTTGTGAAGTGGACACCGATGCACCGTCGCGGGCGAAAGCAGGAGGTGCGGAGAATATGTCGCTTCGTGGGTCGCATAAGAAATCCAGGCTTGCTCGCAGTTTGCTGGATTTTGCATCGTCTAGTTCAAACGAAGTGCACACGGCATGAACTGAATTGACTAACAACCGGTAAACAAGTAACCGGACGTCCTGGCTGCCGGTATTCGCCAACATGGTCACCACGTGGAAGATCTCGGGCAGGAACAGCTGAGATTGCACCCCACTGTCGAATGACAATGATAGACAAAACTGCAGCAGGATGCAAATCTCTGTCCAGACAGCGTTATCTGGCAGGTACTTGGTTGGCCTCAGAGATGAGCGGTTTAAAGCTTTGCGGAGGCGTGAGAGGATTTTCCCTCGCAGCGTCACGGTGCCAATGCCGACCACGATGGATGAAATGACCTCCAGGGGTTCCTCATGAGCCCCATAGCTCATCGCTGTCTTCAGAAGCTCATCCAAGAAAATTTCGAGCAGAATTTCGTCCTGGACAATCTTCGGCCACACAGACTGCTCAAGGGAGTAGATGAGTGCGTGATCTTGAACCGTGACATCAATCAATTTTCGGAATAGAACAGCCACCTTCTCCCTTCCCTTCTCGCCATCCATTTCGTTGGCTAGAATATTTGTCCGTAGGCCAGGGAGCCAGGGAGCCATGTATGCTAAGCTCAATGGCTTCTGTTCGTCGGGGAAACTTTCCCACCCGACGAAGAATTCGGTCAAGAAGTCAGAAGTGAGTTGAGGTTCTGCCAGTGCCAGCTCCGTACTCATGTTGACAATGAATCGCATCGGGTCCAAAGGAACCGATACATCTAGCGTATTTAGTGAGTATGAAGTACAATGATGTGATATGCTTGCACTTACCTTTCGTACATACAAGCCTCGAGGCAGAGCTGAACTTGAAGGCCTTGCAAAGCGCACCAAGCAAATTGTATGAGGAAAGTCTCAAAATGTGATCAGGACTTGACAAATTTGCCAACGCCAGGTTAAGCAGCGTCCCCGGCACGTCCTGGGGCCGGATGAGCCTTTCGATGGATTTTTGGGTCCTGCTGTCCTTCCCATGTTTCGCCTTGGCCCCTCTGATGGTTTGAAGCACGTCCGACTTCTTGGGGCTCGTGAAGTACATGACAATCTTTCCGTTGTCTGCTCTCAAACCAAAAGCTGAATCGTCCTCGGTTTGAATTGATGTAGGGGCCTCATCGACCTCGCCCAGTCGGAAGATGTCGTTGACAGTGGTGCCCAACCGAAACCCCGTGAAGATCTCCTGCTTTTTGGTTGTCGTAACCTGGACAAACTGGCTGCCGACCTTGATGATGACTTCGATTTTGCCCTTGGATTTGGATAGTCGTGTGATCGGTTGAAATACATATCTTGTGTCTGTCACAACACTGATTGTTTCTTTTGGTAGGTGAAGTTGACTGAGGTGGAAGTGGGCCTGTAAGTCCTGAAGGCTGCCTATCAAATGATACTCCACGTTTTTTGGATTGAAGACGCCGTTCTCATTCTTCGTGCATACTCGTAGAAGCCGTCGAAAACATCGCCTAATATAGGAGTTAGTGGTGGCGGAGGGAGGGCTGAAAAATGCTAACGAACTTGAAAGCGCTATTCATGTTGTAGACATAGATCCTAGTCAAGTTACATGAAAGTTCAGAGGGAGTGAGAAGCTCCAACTTCTTGAAGAGATCGTCTTGCGGTTCATTCCTCCCATTATAGCAGGTAGCATCTATGAGAAGTCCAAATGGCCGATGCCATAGTCTACTCGCGATCTGGTTGAGTGTGAGTATGGAATCTGGGTAGTTTCGGGATCGATTTCATATGCAAAGCGGAGCAGAAGAGGTGAATGGCGGAGAATGCAAAAGAATTGAGGATAGAAAGACAGGTCACTTACCTTCAGATAACAATAGATGAGGGTGTCGTAGTCAATGCTCTCTGTCTCGATGTGGCGAAGAATGATGCAGATTATTGATAGGCCGTCCTAGAGATTATCAGCTTACCAAGGTGTGAAGCAGTGAGACAGAGCCGCTCACCTTGCTCTCGCCTCCGTCATATACTGCTCGCGCTGTCAAGAAAGACTCGGTACTTCGGAATGCGTTACGAAGCATGAAATTTTGAAATCGAGAATACATAGGGGGGCTGTTGGCTGAAACCTGGGGCCGGTTCCACGAAACCGCAAGCGGCGGAGGTCCTAGATTGGCGATGAGGTTCCTCAGTGGCTCTAAAACTGGCGAGCGAACCCGAGCAACGTCACTAGACGACCTCATGTATTCTCTCCTTTCCCGTGAAACCAAGGTTTGGCGTACGTGGTCCCAATGGTCGTACAGAAATCGATGAAGTGCAACACAAGACCCAAAATCAAACGATTCTGTGGACTTTTGAACCTCTAAGTGATGAGGGGCCACCTGAGACTAGTGAGTAATTGCCTTTGATATTGGGGTTAGTACTGACCGAAATCTCCCGAAGGAAGGTCGTGACATGGTAGATGTTTTGAGTCAGAAAGTCGTTGAGTGGAAACATGTACGGCTCTTTTGCGCCAAAGAGCACGTTGTTGGCGAGGTTTTGAATAACCTTTGCAATGAGAAGAAGGCCACGGCGCATTTCCTTGGAAGGAGCCGTTGACACAAGGCCTTCGACCTCGGGAGCTACAATGGCCGGGCAGAAGAAGCGAAGAAATATGAAAGCCCCCACCGCGGTATATTTTGCATCTGGGAATCTGGCCACAACCGCATTGGAAATCTAATGGAATCATGAATAACCGCTCCTAAGAGAGAGTTCGTAGGACTTACAATATTGCAAATCTTTCGAAATGCTGGTGGCATGCTTGACGAGGACGCACAGATATCGTCAATAAAAACCTTGGCAACGATTCGCAGCTGTAGAGCATTCTTCTGAAGTTCCTCTGTTGAAGCGACCCTCGCTGGGTCAAGTTCTAGGTCCAGGTCCTTGGAAGTTAGCATGAGTCGTTCCAAAACTTTCTGTAGTGTTGCTCGCAGATAGGACGATCCTTTCCACTTGGCATAGACAGAAAGGGTCTTGGTTGCGACACAGCTCCGGCGTAATAGTTCCGCCTCGTTTTCTATCTCGGCGTTAGCAACGCTAGCAAGCATGGGGGACGAACTCGGAAAAGCACACATACCAGTGTCCTCTATCTCCTGCTTGATAAGGGCCTCCAAGAGCTCGAATATGAGACCTCGTTGCTCAAAAACCGTCAGGAGACAGATGGTAAGCTCATCCACATCGGTGCTCGGGCAAGCTACACTCATTGACATCGCGAGTGAGAGATCACTTGTCAACAACTTTGGTACGTTATTAGCAACGTCAAATCTCACAGCAGTGTGGTTGAGTACGAACCTCTAGTAATTCCTCATACTTCTCACTAACAGCGGAATCCGTTAGGTTGCTGAACTCAGTGCCTTGAATCAAGATATTGTACAGGACTTTGACGAATGCTGTGCGAATCTCGACATTGTCATGATAGCCGATATTCAAGGAATGCTTGAGACCGACGTCGATATTGGCACTAAGAAGATTCGAGAGGATAGTGATGGCTAGGTCTGAATTGGAGATCGTTTCATTTTGAATGGTTACTCCAAGAGAAGGATCGGACCGACTGGAATCGGACGGCTCATGGTTGAGGAGTGAAAGAAACCGATTGAAGTATGTGTGAAACATCTGCGACTTCATTTCACTCATACCAGCATCGGTATGGCTATCGGATGGTTGCAGAGGGAGCCGAAATGTGAGATCGGCCAGCGACTTGAGGCAGGCTTTGTCCAAGTCTTTCTGAACTCGGCTCATGTCGTCCGGTCTCGCACTCAGCCCATTTTGATCCGGTCGCGGGGAACGAGGTCGTGCTATCCAACCGAAGATGTACTCAAGCAGTTGATTTCTGATACGTACGTCGTCTCGCAAATTCAAATGCTCTTTCCTCTTAGTCACAACCTCACACAAGTGACAGACCCGAATCTTCACTCGCAAGGTATTGGGCGTGTCTGATACACCATCCAAGAATTTCGCAAAGTTTAGTGTCAAGGCGCCGAGGTGGACTGAGGATGCCGCGCCGAGGTCTGATGGGCTCTCTAACCGTTCCACCAATGCCTTCAACAAAGACGCAGCCTGTTCCGCAAACACAACTTCACTATCTTGGCCTTTGTCGACTGGAGCGAGAGCGCCAGTGAAAAGAACCTCAAGCTCGGACTCGAGGGCTTTGAACAAAGGATGGTAGAGCGCTGGTGAAACTTCGCTCGAAAGGACATCCCGCATTGCCTCACGCACCCGCACGTTGGCACAAGCCAAGAGTTGGATACTCAACCTCAGGTATCGTGTTAGGAGAGGCTCTTCGTAATGTTCTGAAGAAATGCGGTCGATCCACCTCAATCCACTAAGAGCTGGCTCTTCCAAGATGATGGCTTGATCAGCGGTGCAGATGCCGCCCAGTGATGCTAGGAATCCTGAGTAATTCCTCCATTCGGAGACCAGTTTCTCATCAACTGCGTCAATTGTTGAGGTAGATACATCCTTAGCAAGATGAATCCACCGATCAAACGCAGTCTCCCAAGCATTCAAGATACCAGTCGTCGGAAATTGCATCCGACGCAAAAGACCTCGAACTCGTTTCTGAAAAGCCACTAGTCCGGTGAACCTAAAGGCACGGGATGCAATCTCTTGGAAAATCTCACCGTTCCGAAGGACAGAGGCTGAAGACTTGGCCGACTCAGCATGCTTATCCACGATCGAGCATTCCTGGAAAAAAAGGCCGATGCATGATGTGACGAGCTGACAAGTGTCAATGTTGGCAGAGCATAGTGAGATAAGGAGAGTGGTTTCGAGCTTCGACGACGCGCTCACGACATCTGACGTCTCTGCTGGTATCTCTGCTAGCTCCTATACACATTTAGAAACAGTCATAGATATGAAGGGTTATGATCTGACATACTGGCATGTGCTTCAGTAAGAGAAGTCGTGCTTCTAGGTATTCTTGAAGGGCAACTAGTCCTTGGTCATCCTTTTGCAATGCGATACGCTCACATAAGCCAAGTAAGACTTTCGAACTAGCAGCATGTTAGGTTAGGAACAGACACAGCGCCAAGTTCATCGACTTACCTTCTACTCCATAGCTCCCCTCTAAGTTGCTGCGTCCCAAATTGATGACCCGTGTCGAATTGTCGATACGCCTCTAGATGGCCCGTGAAGAGTCTATCTGCGACGCCGGTAGCAAGTCGTCGGACCGAAGGCTCGGCAGACAATACGCAAAGAAGAAAGGATTTGAAGAAGCCGCTGCTCGGATCATCACCAGAAAGGTCGTCGAGCAATCGCGCGGGGGAGGCATCTAAGAACTGGAGGATGCTGCAGACCATTTCCATCCCATCAATGCCTCCTTGGGCTGGGGTGCCAGTTGATTTGGAAATTTCGATCTAGACTCCACAGTTACAATGGTCGTTCTTCGCTGTTAAGATCTCGACTCACCTCTAGCTGAGAACGCATGAATGGCACCGCAATGTCAAATAACTCATGGTATCTTAGGGCGTAAGGTTGTTGCGCAAAGTAAGAGCAGCTTTGGACAACGGCTAGTTTGAAGCTGTTGGGCGTATTGGGTGAAATGCAAGTCTCGACGAGGGCATTGACACCGTCAAGGTTGAGGTGAGCTAAGCTAACGAAGGCGGCAGTCATCATGTCTTGCTCAAAAAGAGTTGGCTCGGACGAAGAAACACGGCGGAACACTGCATCTCGGACCTCGTCTTGGACATCCTGAGCGTAGCTGACAAGAGCCGAATCACTTTCAGCATCAAAATGGCGGGCTGCACGGAGTAGAGACACCAGGCAATGACCAGCCTGCTCATTTCGATTCCTCAACGCCTTCCTCAGTCCATCAAGGAAGGAAACCTTCTTGACCATACTGCCGCTCTTGGCTTCTCGCATGTTGCTGGCAACCTCAAAGACATCTGGGAGCAGGAATAACAGAGTTGTCTGTAGTGGGTAGATGAGAGCCTTCCGCCTGCCATTGTCTGTTGCGGCCTGCGTCATGTCAAATAAGGTGTCTGCGCCGCCGTCGAGCCGCTTATGAAGGAGATGAAGCTGGACGAACTCGCGGGGGAAACGATCGAGCCACCTGGTTATGAGCAAGGGAGTAACTACAACAATGGTGTTCTGATAGGGCTTTCGGAAATGGAGGAAGCTGGAGCAAATTTCCTGGATGACCTGGCCAAGCTTGGGGCCGTCCACCCAGAAGAATGACAACAGTCTGAGAACAACAAGAGCAGCCTTTTCAGCATCTTGGAAGGACCCTGACGCTGCGGGGCCCGACTGGACGACAGTGGTCGTGCGGATGTTGTATACGACATTCCTGAAGTAGTCGAAAGCGACGACCCAGCTCGAAGCGGTGACATATTCAATCACAGTCTTGACATAGGCGTCCATCTCGGCTAGATGAGTTCCAAGGCGGCCATCGTCTGAGGAGTCATCGTCTCCAGTCATAACAGAGGAGTCGTCAGAGCGAGGAATGGCTACATTGCGCGTGGACACCTGGTCGAGAAGGGTCTGAGCGGGGAGGATATAACTATCCGGGATCGGCTCGAGGAGATGCTTCAGCGCGTCGAACAAGCGGCTCACGAGAACCTCGTCAAGAGGAGGCGGTGCGGGAGCTGGTTCGGAGTCGCTATTGCGGCCAAGCGAAACCCAGTGGGCAGAACAGCAGTCGGCAATAATAGCGAGGATATAGAGCTCTGAGTGGAGGACGTGGCTGGGATGCGAGGCCACGGCAGTGTATGGACGCGCGAGATCTTCGAGTAGGGACAGGAGGGAGTCGAGGACGGTGGATATGGTTATGTTGCCGAGCTCGACCAACGTGGCCCTTGTGACATGAAGGATGTCATCTTGTTGCAGGCTCTGGCCGCTGGTGCCCGCTCGATGGGGGAGCTGGTCCGCGATGTCAGTTCAGCGTGTCCAGCATCGGTAGAGCATGATGGGGCTTACTCTGGTGGCGAGCTTGTCGACAAGACAGCCGACCAGGCCTGCGTCTCCGTTCATAACTGCGGCAGCATTGAGCGATGTCGGAGAATTCGAATTGGTTAGGTATCCAAGCCTGCGCTGGTTGTGAGCCAGGGTCGTGGCGGTTGTGGCGGTCGTGGTGGTGGTGGTGGTTGGTTGGTGGTGGTGGTGGCCTCGTCGTGACCAAACCCCGCGAGTATTCCCCACAGCACCGCGTGGCGGCCACTTTATAAGTAAATAGGTGGTAGTGAGCTACCCTAAGGGAGGTAGGTAGCTACGCCGTAATTAGGAGAATGTACCGATCCTTGCTACTTGGGTGGGTGGGTACCTGCTCTAGACAACTTAGGGACGCTGGATAACTGGAGCGCGTCGGAGCTCAATTCCATTTTTGTCCAAGGAACAAGGGAAAGGAGATGAGTTAGGCACAGCACTAAGGACGCAGGGTGCCCGAGACTGAGGCGCACTCGAAACGGGGTTAAAAAAAACACACACTATGCATTAAAACTCTCGCGCCTTTCGGAGGTGCTAACTTGTCAAGTCGGTATACACGCCCCTCAACTTTACAAGCAAATGTTTATCTAGGTAGGGTAGATATTTCACAATTCTGGAAATTGCCCTACCACAACACGGCTTTTGTCCGAGCTTCCTTGGCTGTGTTAGGCATCATCCATCGCCGGTTCTGACCCGCACTTCCAAGCGTCATCTGCGGTCTCTCCCTCCTCGGTAATAATTGCCGGAATCCCTGTTTCTATTATAAGAATTCCCGCCAGGTCCCTGGTACTGTCCAGATGGGCCATGCGGCGGTGGAGGCTGGCCCTGACCCCATGAGTTGTTGTTGTAGCCTTGGTGACCCCCATGCTGGCCATCCTGCGGCCGACCGTTGTAGTAGTGTGCAGGAGGAGGAGGAGGTGGCAGCCCAACGCCAAAGCCAGCAGCCCCAGGTGGGGGGGGACCCGTGCCAGGAGCATGAGGAGGGCGGTACCCATCCTGTCGACCATAGCCGTTCTGCGGCCGTCCCAACTGATTTCCACGCCCGCCACCAGGTCCATAGTGGATGCCCTGTCCTTGTCGACCAAGGGGTGCTCCTCCATAGCTTCGTCCACCCCGGTTGGATTTTCCTCGAAGGACTTCAATGTCACTGTGTGAAAGGGCTGGTCGTGGTAGTTGCACCCCTCGTAGTAGCATCGACTTGTGAGTATGTGAGGTCTGAGGGAATTCGTAGTTCACACTTGGTCATGTTAGCCAAACACAAAGTAAAACAAAGGAGGAAGAAAAAGGAAGAAACTCACACAAGAGATCGATCGTACTCAAGATCTGGCAAGGACCGTCGCTCTAGGGGATACTTCAGCGCCCCATGCGGGACGTACCCATCTTGCTTCTCGACTTTACCGGATAGCCCATCACTATTCTTGGGGTTTAATTTGAACTTGGGTTCTCCTTGTCGCTTCGAATAAAACTTGGTTGAGATATCATCGTACAAGCTTTCGTGGCCGTCAGATAGGATGAGAACGACTTTGCCCATCTCGTTGCGAGCGGAATCCTCGGGGCTCAAGAGAGGGTATTTACTTTGCACTGCTGAGAGCAGCCGCGGCATGTCGATGAAAGGAAGTAGTGCAACACCTTGCCAGGCAAACTTCTTCCCGTTTAGATCGATTTCGAAATCCTCGGGGTAGAAATCGATTATCGGGCTGTCCTCGTTCAACATTAAGTCGTGAAAAACTTCCGGCAGTACATGACGAGAGGCCGCAGGCTGCACACTCATCAGTTGCTCGAATGGTTTGGATGTTCGACCTTTCTCAAAATTGATTTGCATCTGAGAGAGATTCTTGAAGTCGGCGGCGAACGGCGCGTAATGATAAGGATAGTACCATTCCCACGAAGGACATCCTTGGAAATAGTAGAGGAGGACCCAAGCCAAGCCTTCTACATATGCCCGGCCAACTGAATGGCGGAATTCGATGTCCTTTGGATCTTTGTGGAATTTCTTCTCATAATAACGGTCCGCATAACCATCTTCCCAGAGTCGGACCTCGTCAGTCGAGCCTTCTTCTTCGCTCGGTGCCGTTGGGGTACCGGTGCCTGCTGAGTCGGTGGCAGCGGTGTTGCTGTTCTCATCCATGCCGGATGCCTTTCGCTTTCCGAGAGCCGAAGGAGGTGTCTGGGCATCCACGACCTTGGTGGTATCCGAAAGGGACTTTTGTGCTTGAAGTTGGGCCTTCAGGACACTGGCGGCGCTTTTGTTCGCCACGTTCGTGTCTGTGGCTGTGCTGCGATTGACGATCATGTCATGCGTCAGGGCAGTTGCTGGCTGGGTCGGATAAGATGTAATTGGGTAGAGCGGCAGCCCAAGCGAAGGGTTCTCATGACCATTCTTTCGGGGTGTGGACGCTCCACCCTGGCGCCCGCCTCTGCCGTTGTTCTCATGAAGTTTCCGTCGTTTGAAGTTGGCTTCACGACGATCTTCCTGTTCCTTTCTTCGCTTGAAGATGGCATCCTCTTGCTTCGCTAGGCCATCAAGAATGTATTGTGCTCTTTCCAAGTCAATGTGTCCATCCTTGGTCACATACCCGCCCATGGATGGTAGATTGTCTTTCCAGATCGTGGTGAGGGTATCAATTCCGTGATCACGAATCTCGAGAGCTGGGAGATGAGGCAAGAAGTCGTTGCCCACAAAGCAGCACAAAAAAATCCAGTCGTCGATCGCACGTTCGAGGTCAAATCGGAACGGTAAGCCAGGAATAGCCAGTTCGGCAGCAATGTACTCTCGTAATACAGAGACATGAAGCCAAATGAACGGCTTGAGGGCAAGGGCATTATCTTTCTCGTCGAACTCGCCCTCCTTTGGCTTCACCTCGCCGCGGCAATTGCGAGCCTCGTGTCCCTTCTGTCCACACAGCTTGCAGACGCGAGCCTTGCTATCTTGAAAGAATACGTCCTCGCGTAGAACGCGGAAATGAGGTTCGTGAGTGGCCAGTCCCAGCATGATAAGGTCGGCGTCGAGACCGTAGATTACATGACGCGTGTTTGGATCGTGGTCCGGGGATGCGCGTTGTGATCGAACGAAGTCCATGATCTTGTGCTCTCCTTCTCCGGGAACGGTGGCATCAGATATGATGACTTTGAGCTTAGCCCAACCAGGATCGGTGTTCAATTTGTACTGGCACCAGTATCGCAGGCTCAAGGCGAGGGTGTCCATGAATGGGGTTCCAGGCGTGATGGAATTGGAATCGAACGCCCTTTTGGTGGCACTTTCCATGCTTTCAGCGGGCAACGAACCGCCATTCTGCTGCTTCATCAACTTGATAAGTTCTTGCTTGTCCGCCTCCTTCTCTTGCGCTTCTTGGGCCGAGCGGAATCGTCTGGATCTTTGCTGGTTCATCTTGGCTCGTGGGGCAACTCCATCTGCGATGGGAAAGAAAAAATCAGCAGCTGTGCAACGTACAAGGGATGACAGAACCACAGGGAGGCCAGGCACAATCGAGGCTGTTTACGTACCCACAGCGATCATGAGGATCTTTCGCGGCCGCACCATGTTGACGACTCGGTCGGTGTACCTGAAAACCTCCAGCATCATCTCTTCCTCATCCTTGGGTGCAGGCCGGTCCTCGGGGTGGGAGCAGGGATGGACGATGCCGTTCATGTCAAGATAAAGATTGTCAAGTTCTTCGCCATTTGGATTCGGCCTCGTAGTGTCGACGGGAATGGTCGAACCGTCTTCCATTGTGATGGGTTGATCCTCGATCACTGGCGAGATGATCTTGGGATATTTGTTAGAAAACCATCGGAATGCCGCTGGGATACCCATTTTGATGAGGTCGTCGGGGTTACTCGGCGAAGCGCGTATTGGGGTGCTTGCGCAAACAAAGGTGTCAGCGCAGAGGGAGATTGAACGGGCAGAATGGCCTGCGAGGACGAAGGGTAGGTAGTGTCCACAGCAGAAGGCGTCGCATGGGTCTTGTGGAATTGGTGGCAATCTAGAAGAAGATGTGCGCAGGCCAGTGCAAAAATAACCTCGAGAAAGTTGAATGTAGAGGTGAGCTCAAGATGGTTGCCTGTCGCAAGATTCTCTCAAGAACATGGCTGGCGGCGAGCTTGGCTTTTCCGCGCCGAAGCTTGCAGGGACCTCGTGGTTCTCCTGTGGCGCGGCATTGGGGCTGGTGTGGAAATCCCGGCCTCGGTAGAAGCAAGCGCCGAGAAAGGAGAGCTTCTATGCAGTTATCGAGTGGACGCATCGTCCTGAAGCCCATATCCTGACAAGCTGTCCATAGCTGGTGAAATAGGTAGCCTGCGTGTACTTTGCACGAACCCGCGACGCCGACCCTTCACAAACGACGCATCGGCGCGTTCTCCGACTCTGCATGCCGGAAACGGCTGTTTGAGCCCCTACGAGCACCTCCCCGAGACCAATGGCACTGAGACGCCGCGAACATGTTTTCGATCGCCACCGCACCGGCGAAACAGTCAGTTAGTGAGACCATCACCGTCCTAAGTGGGCGTCTCAGCTCTGCAACTCTGCTCGAGGACCGACGGGCCGCAATATTAGGCCTCCGGAGCTTTGCCAAAGACTTCCCAGCATCCGTGGCGTCAGGTGCTCTGAGGAGCTTAATTGGAAGCCTGAGTAAAGATGGAGAAGACGTGGACACCGTCAAGGTTGTGCTCGAGACGCTGTTGATGCTCTTCAGCCCCAATGAAGATAGCCCTGAAGCTTCAGATGAGATTGCCTTGTGGTTAGCCGACGAGTTTACCCAACGGCAGGAGAATATTACCCTGCTCCTCGATTTCCTTGAGACTGCAGACTTCTACTCTCGCCTCTATTCGCTTCAGTTGCTTGCTGCCATTCTATCCGCGCGTACCGAGCGTACTGAGGAATGTGTATTTACTGCTCCCCTAGGAATATCCCGCCTGGTTTCTGTTCTCGACGACCAACGCGAAGCTATCCGAAACGAAGCTATTACCCTCCTGACCTACCTAACGCCGACATCGCTCGAGATACAGAAGCTCGTTGCCTTCGAGAATGCCTTTGATAGACTGTTTGCTATCATTGAGGCCGATGGGTCTCTCGCTGACGGTGGGAGGACTGTTGAGGACTGCCTGATACTTCTCGCTAACCTCCTGCGTGGCAACACCTCTAACCAGTCCCTCTTTCGAGAGTCGGGTTGTATCAGTCGCCTGGCAAAGCTGTTGAGCCAAGTTTTGCAACCTCAAAGCGAAGCTCCAGACATCGCATCGTGGGCGCAAGCACAGAAGAATCGCAACGTCTATGCGTTCCTGGCCATCATCCGACTCTTTATCACACCCGGCTCCTTGGGGACGCCACAGAACCAGACAGCAATCTGGCGACATGGCCTGGCCTACCACGTCCTCCAGCTAGCCTTTAGTCCTGGTGCGCAGGTGCAAATAAAGGCCGAGGTGCGAATTTCCAACCACCAAATTGGGAGAGTGTAAAATTGACGAACCGGACAGGCTTTGGTCACCTCTGGTGATGTGATACGAAAGAATGCTGCACTTCAGGAAAGCTTCGCTCAGATCATGGTTCCCTCGCCCTTGGACGGGGGTGATGGAGTTGCGGGAAAGGCCAACGGACGAGCCCAAGTCTACGTAATTGATGCATTACTTGACTTAACCCTATGCATGCAAGACCTGCAGGAGTTCGACGTTCGCTTTGCTGCGTGTGGGTGTCTTCAGGCCTATTTTACGCACCACGCTGAGGTGAGGTTGCATTTTCTTGGACGGGCTATCGAGGGACACCAGTCTGGCCGAGACGAGTCAGCCAACGTCCTTTCTGTTTTACTTCAATCTTCCGCAGAGGGACCGGTGACCGATCCTTATCGGTATTGGTTCGCAGCTGTCATAACTTTTCATTTGCTGTATGACAGTCCTGAGACCAAGGCCAAGGCAATGAGCCTTACCGAGGGCGACGCGACGAACGGCGAGGAGGTCGTGACCGGTATTCAAACCATTGCTGCGCATGTCATCTCGGGCCTTCGTCGGGGGGATGACGCACGTATTTTGGTTGGGTATCTCATGCTGCTTCTTGGCTGGCTGTTTGAGGATCTCGACGCCGTCAACGATTTTCTTACTGAAGGTAGCAATGTACAAAGCTTGATACAGGCTGTCTCGCAACCTGCTGCAACCGGTGGTGAGCTCGTACAAGGTTTGTGTGCGATGCTACTGGGTGTTGTTTACGAATTCTCAACTAAGGACTCCCCGATCCCGAGGGCCACATTGCACTCCATCTTCACATCGCGACTTGATCGGGATCATTACTTGGATCGGTTAGCGAAACTGCGCAGTCACCCGTTCATGCGGGACTTTGAGGTCACCCCCCAAAAACTCGATACTACATCCCCTGGAAGAGTCGCCGATGTCTTCTTCGACTCTGTCTTTGTGGAGTTCTTCAAGGACAACTATAGTCGCGCAGCACGTGCTATTGACAGAGACCCTGGCATGGAGATACCTGTAGTCACGAATGGTGTACAGCAAGGTATTTCCAGGGAGCTAGTGGATTCCCTTCGCGTCCAATTGGAGGACAAGGATCGCGCGATACAGGACGCGCAATCGGCTATGGCTTCAATTGAGGGACAGCTTGGCCAGGAGCGAGCGGATCACCGGCGCACCAGGGAATCAGGTGTAGTTGAGATGTCAAGGATCAAATCCGTCAACGAGGGCTTGCAGAAGCACCATGGCGAAGAGTTGCGGTTTGTCACACCCCCTCCTTGAGTGTTGAGTACGACTAATGGTTGTATGCACAGTAAGCTACAAGCTCAACTAGCTTCTAAGGAGAACGATCACCGGAGGCAAATTGCACAGCTTCAGACACAACAGACGGCCAAGGACAGTGAGCATCAAAAACAGTTGGTTCAGGCCCGGAAAGGGGCCGAGGCCGAGGCCGAGAGAGTGCAACGACGGAAAGATGCTGAGATGGCGGACCTGCGGGCAACTATCAGCCGACTCGAAGTCGATGTGTTGAAGGTATTATATCCCTTGCATGTTTGGATGACACTGGCTTACGCGCACTCCCATTCAGGCACACAAAAGCAAAACTCAAGAGCTGCAAGAGCTACGAGAACGGAGCACGGCCGAACTGCGGGCCCTCGAGATGCGGAGGACAGCTGAGCTGAAGGACCTTCACGAACGAAACGTTGCCGAGCTTCGGGCTATTGAAACGCAGAGCGCAGCTGAGCTGAAGGATGTTCAAGAACGCATTGCAACTGAATTGGATGAGCAGAGATCCAAAGCCCAAAAAGCCGAGACGCGGAGCCAGGGCTTGGAGAAGCAGCTCCGTGAATCCAGTACAGCCACTAAAGGCAACCTATCCAAGACTAAGGAAGTGAGTACCTTGATGAATCGTGATCGGCGGAATTATGCGACTGACGGTGGTTAAAGTTGGAGTCGAAATTGGCCGAGTCGACCAAGGCAAAGGAAGCCACGCAATCGGAGCTTGAGGACCTTCTCATGGTGTTCGGGGACCTGGAGGAAAAGGTGGCGAAATACAAGGTACGCATCACCGCTTGCGGATACAGCATTTGCTATGACTAATTACAATACAGGCTCGGCTGGCTGAGCTTGGTGAAGTTGTGTCGGATGGAGAGGATGATGACGAAGACGAAGAAGATGACGAAGACGACGAAGAAGACGAAGAAGACGATGACGAAGGTGAAGACGACAACGACAAAGGAAATGTCGCCTAACAAGTCGGGGCTGTGGAGGTTTTGTAAAATACCCCTTACAGAAATATTGAGAGGGTGCCTCGCCAGATTGCATTGCATCCATTACATTGCATCGTATTGGTTGGGGGACCCGGAAATTCCCCCAAGAGGGCATAGCCTCCTCCAGTCGCTGTGATCCCACAAAACGCAGTCAAGCTTAACTGCGACGGTTCTGACTGATATTGGTATTGGCCTCGGTATTGTTCCAAGTTCGGCCACACTATCCTGTTGCAATTTTGTGATCGTCAAACCCAGTAATCATGTCACTGCACAACGACTCCGAAGGCTCTGATGAGGGCGAGTGGCTCGACATGGAGCCCGAGGAGGAAGAGACTGTGGCCATCACCTCTTTCTTTGATGCGCAGACTTTTCCCACTGTTGTGGCCATGCTTGACCACTGCAAAAAGGACCACGCATTCGACTTCGCCGCTTGCTTGAAGCGCCTGAGCCTCGATTTCCACGGCGCCGTCAAGTTGGTCAACTACGTGCGCGATCACGTCAAGCAGGGCTTGTCGCTGCCTGCAGAAATCTCCCTGGGCGACTTTGAAGATGAGCGATACCTCCGGCCAGTGCTGGAGAATGATGCCCTCATCTTTTCTCTCGATGAGATTCTTGAGACTATTCAAGGCAGCGGGGCTGATATGGAGACCAAGGACGCCTCCGTCGATAGTCTGTCGGCGCGGAACCGGGAACTCGAGGAAGAGCTCGAGAAAGTCCGCGGCCAGTTCGCCAACTATCGTCTGGCTGTCGAGCAGACTCTTGACCGTCGGTGGGGTGATGAAGCCGACGCAGTTCCTGCTCAGAAGAAGGATGACTCTGCGTATTACTTCGAGTCCTACGCCGCTCATGGTATGCCCTCCCTGTAACAATACGTCCACAAGTGCTAATTTTCATCAGAGATTCATGAGACCATGCTCAAGGATGTGGTACGGACGGACGCGTACCGTGATTTCATCTACGGAAACAAGCACATCTTCAAGGACAAGGTTGTTCTGGACATTGGATGCGGTACTGGTAAGAGACAATCTATCATAGCAAAACTACTATTTGGCCTTTGACTAACCGTTTTGATTAGGTATCCTGAGCATGTTCTGTGCCAAGGCCGGCGCAAAGCAGGTCATTGCCGTTGACAAGTCAGACATCATCACAAAGGCCAGGGAGAATGTCTTCAACAATGGCTTGTCCAACGTCATCACGCTGCTCCGAGGCGCTATCGAAGACGTTCAGCTGCCGGTGGATAAAGTTGATATTATTGTCAGTGAGTGGATGGGCTATTGTCTGCTCTATGAGGCTATGCTTCCTAGCGTCCTCTATGCCCGAGACAAGTATCTCAAACCCGATGGACTGCTGGCACCCAGCTCCGCCACTATCTGGATCGCTCCGGTGGCAGACTCGGAATACGTCTCTGACCACATCTCCTATTGGAGAGACGTCTATGGATTCGACATGAAGTCCATGCAAGAGGGAATTTACAATGAGGCCAGGGTCGAGGCCATGCCCGAGAGCTCCGTCTGCGGTGAAGCATTTCCATTCAAAGTACTGGATCTTCATACGATTAAAACCTCAGACCTTCAATTTACGGCTAAGTGGTCGTCGAAGCTGACTCGTAAGGTTGACAGTGTTGATGGCTTCCTGATCTGGTTCGACAATTTCTTCGCAACATCGCGGAGTGAGCCCGTCCCTGCTCCCGAGACAACGCCAACCACATGGGACAAGACAGCTCAAGGCGGCGTGGCTTTCACCACTGGCCCATACGGCACCGTGACGCACTGGAAGCAAGGACTGCTTATTGCACCACAGGAGGAGTCTCCGGCAGGTACAACGTCACCGGCCAGCCTTTCTGGAGAAATCACATTCGAGGCCCCCGAAGACAACGCCAGGGCATTGACGTTGAAGACCTCCTGGACGGACCCCGAAGGTCACACAAGGACCGAATCCTGGCAATTGAAGTAGGCGAACTTGGCAACTGGAAAGCGAAGGTCAGAATAGGTTCAAGAGCATGGTTCAGGCAGAGGATTCGGCCCTGGGTTGCCACAGGCCTCAAAGATGAGGAACGCTGAGGCCCTGCAGAATTAGGTTCACAATGCTTAGGAATCCTTCTCCGAGGATAAAGCCCTGATTCAAAAGTTAGAATCTGCTAGCTTGGAGGTGGGTACCTATACGTACGGAGGCGAGAATAATGAGCGGAGTGTTCGCTCGTCGCAGGACGTGGACCCAATACCATGCAAACAAGCCGCCAGCTGTTCGAGCCAACGTAAACGACGGGACGTTATACATGCCTTTTTTACATATTAGCAAGATTGTGATATGTAGTAGCAAGACCTTGACTGACCAACGGCGACAGCGATTCCTCCTGGGATGAGAGGCCGCCACCTCTTCCCCATAGCGGCGGTCCTGACAATAGTCGTTGCCGCAAAGAGCACACCCGTTCCGATAGCCCATTCTTTGGCCATATAAGGCAATCCAGCACCTGTGACGAGTCTGGCGGTGAAGATCCAAACATAGGCGGTCGGGACCTGGAAGAGCTCTCCAGGGATCTCGTAGACACTGTCATACAACTCATGTCAGCAAGTCTCAACGTCTGCAGGACAACGTCGACAGAGAAAGCACTGACCGAGTATAGACACCGTAGATAAGAGCGCTGAGAACCGCACCGGCAGTGGCTCCAATGACTTGGCCCCAGAACTGAGCCTTTGGAGCTGCTCCTAGTAAATGACCTGTCTTGAGATCCTGCATGAGATCACCTGCTTGTAGTGCACCCTTGCTCTAACAGTTAGCGACTCAATTCCGGAATGAGACACAGCAGGTTGAGTTGGCTTACAGCTTCGGACTAAGAAAAAAGGATTACTATCAGTTGACTGTTCATGGTCGTGGAGCAAGGGCAAGACCTACCACGGCGCCAGCAATGAGATTGATGAGAACACTGGACTTGTGAGTTTGAGGAATAATAAAGGCGAAGAACAATTGGGCGAGCTTGCTAATTCCTGAGACTGGGTTTAAGTCCGTCTCACCCAGCGCCCTGACACCCATGATGCTCAAAACCAAGGCCATGAGAACAGCAATGATGGTGGCGTAGAGGGGGACAAGGTTGCCAAAAACAAAATGAATCGTTAGAACACAGATTGCGATAGATGCTAGGAGGCCGATAGACACGAAACTACCGCTGATGCGTTGCTCCGGCGGGGCATCCTCGTCCTCTTCCACTGGGTCTGGGTCAGTTGGAGACTCCTCTGTTCTCGTTTCATCCAAGGAGGTTGGCTCGGTATCGTCGTTGCGGAGTAGAGAGTAGTCATGGGAGCGCCGCTTCCACAGCCCTATGATGCCATGCTCCTGAACTTGGTGTCGCAGCGAGGCCATAATGCCAAACAGATCCTTGGATAAGAAGGGTCTCAAGGCGACGTATGCGAGGCTAACTACGGCGTCCACCAACATGATTGCCAGTGAGATCCAGATGATCCAGCCTTTGCTGCCATTTTCCCAATCATCAACGTCACCTGGAGCCCAGCCTCGATACTTCGCGAGGGGGCTCAGGATGCCCCAGCCAACGACGGCGCCAATGGTCATATGGAGCGTAGTTTCGGTGCCCATGATGATTCCCTGGCCGACATATGCGAGACTGGGGTTTAAGGTCCAGAGCCAGGTGTGGGCTGCAACAGAGCCGAAAACAGGCAGGTTGCGTAGGATAGGGAAGAAGTAGGTCAGAAGCGTGGAGAGGCCGGAGCCGACAAAGCATATCAGCAGGAGGCGCATGTTCGAGGCCCAGTCTGTGCTGTCAGGAGTCTCCTCGAGAGTTCCCGGCTGCTCTTCGTCAGTCACAGCTGGGCCAGGATTTGCTGTGTGGAGGGATGCGTCGTGAGGCACGAGGCTTGCGAAGCCACCCTTTGCGGCGGCATCAAGCTCTTCCTTGGAGGACTGCTGCCCGTGCAACACTGAGATCAAAACAGCAGTACTGAAACCACTGGGGAACTTGAGGCGTTCTCTAATGATGACTTGATGCCGCCTGTGAGAGCGTAGGACAGCGGTGAGCAAGATTGGAATACAGGATTGGGGCAGGGGCGAGGCTCACAAAGGAACGGCAAAGACAACGCCAAAGTAGCAGAGCCCGAGAGACCAAATAATAAGCTGCCAAGTGCTCAGAGTAATGGGACCCTGTTCGTCAGCAGCCAGCAGGTAGTTCAACGCCGGGATCTACAGCTCGTTAGCTCGTTGCGCGTGTCCCGTCGAAGGGGTTGGGACGGGGAATCCACTGACGACGCCGACGAAGCCGCAGCCAAGAGGCATGATGGCCATGCCGCAAGCAACGCTCTGCAGGAGGACGTTCTCTACAGGAGAGAACGGGAAGCGGAGGTGCGGAGAAAGCAGCTTGAAGATGCCGAAGCCCATGAGGCTGGCGGGCATGGACATGATGGACACCCAGCCCGTCTGCAGGCCAAAGTACATGTTGGAGAAGCAGATGACGGTGCCGACGGCCAGCCCGGCGAGGACGGCCCTGACGGTGAAGCTGCGCCCAGGAATCGACCTGGTCACCATGATGCCGAAGTGTCGATGCCGACGCGAAGCTGTTGCTGATGCAATGCTCCTGGCAATGTCGTCCTCGGCCGTCGTTCTCGCAGGGAGCAGGCGGGTTGATGTACTAAGCAGGGAGCCCACCCCTGTCCCGCTGGCCGCCGCCTCCGACTCCGGTGATTACTAATGCGGAAGAAGACTACAAAGCAGCACAACTCGCGATAACATAAAATTAATTCATCACCATTTGGGCCGCATTGTCGCAGCCAAATCAAGCGCATGAGACAAGTACACCGGAACCTCCAAGACGGCATTGTCCATCCTGAGGCAGCCAAGCCGACGGATATGTACAGTAGGAATATATAAAATGGTACAAATATACGCTTATCATCCGGAACTCCGTACAAGTTCCAATCAAGGTACACCATCCTCCAGCAGCAGCCAGGGTGTAGGATTTCCCTCGTACCTTGTTGTTGCCCCTACAACTGAACACTCTTCACAACTCTGCTAACAACTATACGCAACTCTTCCACATGCCCCCAACCTAGAAGCCAAAGCTATCCAGCAGCGAGCTTGCATCTGGCTCCTGGAATGTTGTTGGCGGCGCCTGGGATGTCTTCTTGCCGCTGGTCTGTGTCTCAAACTGCAGAGAAGGCGTTGGCAGATCAGCCACCACAAGCGACGTGCGACGGCGAAGCAGCTTCAGCGGGTTGACCTCTCCACCAAAGCCGGGCAGCCCTGGTTGCTGGAACTCCCAGTTCCGCACTGAAAATAACATTAGCAGTCTGGCAATGTAGAAGATCGGGTTTAAATAAATACCCAGGTCTAGGCCCAGCAGATCGCAACCCATACGGTCGTAGAGTTTGGCGCTGTGCAAGACAAACTCCCACTCCACCTTAGGTGTGACTTTGGATGCGCCCCGCAACGTTTGCAGCGTCTGATGTCGCAGGTGTGAGTAAAGAACAACTAGAGCCGGATCATCTGTGAGGAACAGCCGTGATTTGATATCAGGTGAGCAGGGGGTCTCCAGCAGAGTGTAGACAGGCATCTGCGAGAAAAATTAGTTATCAAGTCATCGCGAGTTCCCCGATGGTGCCATACAATCAGCGCCCGAACCGCCATATCTTTGCGGCCTAACAACCAGAATGCCCAGGACGCAAGCCAGCGGTTGCCTTCCTGGGCGGCCAGTGGGAGCACCTCATCCTGAAGCAATCTCCGCAAGACTGGACCATTGTCTCCTTCATAAACCCGTGCTATAGCTATGGCGAGTTGCATGTCCTTGAGTTGCTTCAGACAAACCTCCACGGCGTCGTGGAGGTGGTCGGCTAGGAGGAAGAATGCAGCAGCATATTCTGTTCAACGTAAGCATCTCCCCGGGAATACTTAGTTCAGGTTGTGACGTACCAAATCGCCGCTTGCTAAGCAATGCATACGCATTCTTAAGAGCCGTTGTCTTCCACTTTGGATCGTCAAAGTTGTTCGACAATAGGCGTTGGGTCGCTCCTTGTTCCTTGTTCCAGTTTGCCATTCGCCAAAGACCTTGAAGCACTGTCTTTTTGCGGAGTGCAAGGTAGTACAGGCTACAGTTCACGGGGTTCTTCACATCGCTCTTGGTATACTCATTCCGAGCAATCAGTTCAAACTGAGTTTTCTGCAGGACGTCAGGTCATAGTGATTATCATATCGCGTAGAAGATATACTTACCAGGGCAGCCGCATCAGAGAGCCACATAAAAAGGCCGCTTTCACGAGCGTGTTCCCACAGCATGGTCCCGTGGTTCTGTCGAGACACAAAGTCCACCAAAATGTCTTGGCTGTTCGAGTGATATGCCCAATTGATCTCACGCCATGACAGATGCATTTCGTTGGTTCTCCCCTTGCGAAGTGCATGCTGGCGGAAGAAGAGCATGAAACGAGCGCCATTCTCATCCATGGACCGACGATGTCGCTCCACTAGAGATACACATTCGATGATGTCCGCCAGCTGGATCTGTTCGTGGCCGGACAATTGGGGAATTCCCAGCTTGGTCAGCTTGTCGTTGATGGCAACCGCGGTTTGTTCGGTAAAAATATCATCGTCTTCACCATCATCTTCGGAACCGCTTAGGTACGAACCCGAGGCCTTCTCGATGGCCCGAGTATGGGATTGCTATTGGGCAATGTGAGCGTCTGTAAATGGATGCGAGGCTTCAATTCACTTACCATCGGGTCATAAAACTCCCCCTCATCCATTCCCAAGTAGTTGTCAATAGTCTCGCCTTGAATGTGGTACTTCAATATCTTATGAAGAGCCACGAGAGTCCGTCTCACTAAGATAGTCTTCCCCGACAGTATGCATTGACTGAGAAATTGTGGGTGGAATACCGGCAGAGGACCGTTGAATCGTTGAACTGCCTCGAATATGTCCCATGCTCCATCCTTGCGAGGCGGTAGACGAAGGTCTGCCCGATGAGACTCGGCAACACCAACCTGTCTGTCCTGTACAAACATCTGGTTGCCTGCTCCAATGACCAAATGGCCATCACCTAACCAAGTTGAGTCGCCAATAGGATGCGGAGTAAGTTCACGGATACTAATCTCCCGTATCTGGGCCCAGGCCGGACCCTTGTTGAGATAATCAAACCGCATCTGTGACAGGAGAATCACTCGATATTGGAAGCCAACGGCCAAAATGGATTGCGAGTCAGGCGTTGATGTCCAATCGAGGTCTCGGATCATATTGTGTGTCTTGAAGTCGTTTTCGTACTCAAGTCTGGAGCTGCCTCCGTCCCATATTGTGAGCTGTGACCTTGTCGAGTTCACCAAGGCGGCCTTCTTCAGGGTGCTCCCGCTGACCAGGGCAGGTTCAGACAGCCCAGTTTCTGTGGAACATGTAGACAGCCACCCAACCTTGTTCTGTTCGGGATCGACTCGTGCGGTCCAAAAGTCAACCCGGCCGGTCTGACTATACGAGATGGCAACGTCACGAGCGAATATGTCCAGAAACCCAGAGACAACCGGGGATGAGCCTGCAGGATCTACTGGAAGAACATAGGCCAAACCTTCGGCATCTTCCAGCTCAAACCGACAGAACTCCTTTATATTAGCCCCCGTAGTTGTGTTTGGGTCATCGAAGTATCGGGGTAGCTTGATTTCCCACACAATTCCCTGTCGCTCTGACGTCACAGTGGCAATGTGTGCGACAGTATATTCTTTGACTTGTCGCCGTGGTAGAAGAATGAGGCACAGAGGCTTCCCCAATGCTTGGTAGTCGCATTCGGCAATGGAGCGAGCCTGAGCTGACCGACAGTCCCAAAGCGAGATGGTATCTTGGCAGAGGAAGACAACGAATCTGCCCTTCCGCAGAACGCATATGCGATGAATATGGCGCTTCTCTGGGATGACACTGGCACGAGACAAGCCGAGGCCGGGATTCTTTCGTGGATTCAAGACGTGCTTCCATACGATGCTCTCGCCATCTCGGGTCCGTGAAACGACAGCTCGTCCACTGAAATTTCGCACGATTTTTGTAATGGAGCTTGAGTGACCGGACCAAACGGCATGTAGGGCAAGACGCCTGTCATTCGTTGTCGGATCAAAAAGATCTGCAACGCTCCCTGTGAAGACCCCTATTCTTCCATCGAAGGAATGCAACAAGATGTGAACCTTACCACTCTTCCTGTCACAGTAAGTCTGTACTTCGGTGTGAGGGGTCTTTTGGGATGCCAGAAACTGGCCGAGGAGCTCGAAATGGGGGGATTTGACCTGTGCGACATTGAAGATGGTTGGCGTGCCAGCAGAGCTGCTGGAGACATTCTCAAGGGCCCAGGCAGACATCATTCCTCGGCCATCAAGGGCAATACATATCTCCGGGTTTTTGTTTGCAATGGCGACCAGATGATCAAGTGCGACTTCGTCAGTACTGGGATCATCAGACATGCGGTCTTCCACTGCCTTCTCCACAGATGCCGTGAAGTCTCGACCATCAATAATGAAGGCCCAGCGCATATCTTGCGGGTTAGGGTAGTCCCGAGACGGCGCACAAATATCAACCTGGCCCCAAAGCTGCCAATGCTTCCCGTCAGGGCTCTCCGTCGGTATCCAAACGCGAACACACTTGTCGAGGCAAATAGTATACAGAACATTGTCAGCGGTCTGTTCGATGTGGAATGGCTTGCGCCACCTGGCCGAGGTCACGACGGCCGGGTGACGGAGGTATGTCAAGTCGAATCGGACTTCATCGGAGCCATATGTCAACCGGCGCCAGACCTTGACGAGGCGATCGTGTTGACCAGCGGAGGCAATATATGCGGAATCGTAGGAGAGCGAGGCATACTTGACAGGGCTCGGGAGCTTCTTCTGCCATATACATTTCGGTTCGGCTTTCGTTCCGTACAGGGAGAGGGAGCTGGTGGCGACGAGAAGCTCCTCCGAGCCGCCCCAGGATAAGGCGCATGTCGATTCAGGGTTCGGGTGGGGGATGTCGAAGGTCGATTCCAGCGCCCACTACCAAAGCTGTGAGCACTCCCATCCCCTTTATAAGTCACATCAGCATTGGGGAGATGGACGAACCTTCAGCGCATCTTCGCGAGATCCAAACGGCCGGTAGACTCGGACTTGTGTCGCAGTGCAGGTAGCTATCTTGCCCGAGGCTTCGTCGAAGGCGATGGCTTCCAGGGGCTGCGGGTCGTCATCGTAGATTGTCTGGAGGACCCCGTAGGATCCATCGAGGATTGCGAAAGCGCTACCGGTGATGTATGCCTGTGAGGGGATACGCATTTAGCTAGAGTCGGCGTAGGAGTCGTCGTGGCACCTACGTTGATGTGTCTGGCGTCCCAGTAGCCCGAGGCCAGACCTTGGAGCCTCGACTGCGGCTTACCAGGCAGGACGGCTTTCATGCTACCAAAAAAAATCACGGATCGCGCATCTCCAGGAGGTGGAATAAGGAGTCGGGCAGCCCGATATGGCGGGTGAGGCGGTTTGGATTGGATTCGTAAGAGCTGCGCTTGTTTGCTGTGGTTGAGGTCATCGGAGCGCCTGGAAATCATGCAGTAAACGGGACTACAGGTAGCTACTACGTAGCCGCAGGCCTTCACCCGTAGCGTGACGACGTGACGTGACGTGCGCTCTACACGCCCCACTAAATATAGACTCACAAGGATCGCTTTTGCTTTGTATATCACCGATATTAAGGTGGTACAGACACTCTCCCCGTGACGAGCAGATACTGTGGCAACAAGAATTATACAAGGCTTGCATTCGTCAAACTACCAGGAGTAGCATTGATCACAAGATCCTCAAGCTCCTCATTAAACGAGGATTCCCAAAAATCCGTCACAATGTCAAGGAAAATATGACATGTTCTCAAATGTCTTTGCCTCTCCCGGGAAAGGGTGAATTGCTTCATATCTCCTACCGAAAAAGAAAGAAAGAAAAAACGCCACCAGCTCCTTGCCATGTAGTATATATCAATAGTAAGGGTATCCCTGTGAGCCCGTCATCCAACATCAGAAAGTGCATCCAACTCTTCCCAGCCAGCGTAGCTCGATTGCTTAAACCAAATCCCCTCCTCATTCCACCATTTTCATGTGCAGAGGCTAAAAGTCCCATTTACATAATTTATCCATTCATAGCATTATGATTAAGTCGTTGGCCGTTTCGAGGCATTTCCGTTGTCGGGGCAATTGTTGACAGTTGCGTTGTGACAGAAAATGACTTAGGCGACTGGAATCGTACAGAACTAGTCGGAGGTGTGAGTCGGGACGATTGACTGACACCGTGGCGCAACCCTGATGGCCTTCCCCCAACGGACTTACTCGCAACGCCCCGAGAAAGTGACTGAGAGGATGGTTGAGACCCCAACAATCTCTCATTCATCGGACGATACCCGACAGGCTTTATTGACGCGGAAGGACGCAAGAAAGAGGTAGAAGGCTCAAGGATATCAGGCACGGTTACCTCGGGTTGTAGTGAAAGGCTCGGGGCCATTCGCTGCGGTATCCCAGTTGGCATGCGCTGGCGGGGTCGGCCCATCTTGCTCCTCACGATTGACTCGGGCTCGCTGCTTTGTTCCTGAAAGTCATGCTCGAGATGCAATGGCACCGGAGCTCTTGGAGTTGTCGAAGACAAAGACGAGAACCGATCAGCTCTCCGATCCTGAGGTCGTTTCGAAGGGGACGTCATCATTCCTAGATCATCGCCAGTTGTGGAAGATGCACCGTCATCCTCATCTGCTTCCCTAACAGGAGCCATCAAAGTCTCAGGCAAGATGCCCGACATTATAATGGGCTGTCCAGTCCACCGAGTCGGTGTCTCGACTAGGCTTGTAGAGAAGTCTTGGCCTTTGTCGTTGCGTCTAATAACAGAGCGCCTTCCAGAGAGCGCTATCCAGCTACCCCTATAGCTTCCGGGGGGGTGTGTCGTTGAAACACGTTGAGAGTCAACTCCGGTGATGTGTGATCGAGGCCGGTCACCAATTTGTCTCCATAGTTGCAAATACCGGTTCCGTCTCTCTCGGTTGTGCTTTTTGTGAACCTCCGAGGCCGTATGCGCTTGTCCGCTTTGTTGTAGTGATGAGATCGACCATTCCTTCAAACAATTACGCTGCCTTTCGACTGCCCACAGCTGCCAGGCTTCCATATCTCGCTGCTCAAGATCTCCAGCATGGTCCCTCCAGACCTCCAACCAGCCTTGAACGTGATGAAGCTGGGCTTCGCGTAGATGTTTCCCCTCCACCTCCGCCCGTTCGTTCCACAGTTGCAATGAAGCCATCTGCCGCTGGGACTGGTTTCTTGCTTTGAGCTCGGAAGCAATTCGAGTGTGCCCCTGGTCCTGAAGTGTGAACGCCCTCCATTTATCAAGAGCAGCAAAGAAATTTCGCTTCTTTCTCGTGGATGACATTTCGGTGTATCTTGCCATGAGATATCGCTTGACATGCTCCTTGTCCTGATCCCGACGTTGCTGTATTGCCTTATTAAAAACACTCAGCAAGCGAGTTCCCCTGATGTAAAGACGTGCTCGGCTCTCCAAGTGCGACAATTGTGATGATTCCTCGTGTAGATGGCGCATGCATCGTAGAACCTTGGACTGTGTTCGGTTTCGATAGTAGCTGATGGCTTTGCGCTGGAGTTCTTCCGTTTGAACAAGGCTTGAGCACCATGTCTCAAATACACGAGTGACAGAGACATACTCACGCCGCCAAATGAATGCCTGAGCTCTTGCCTGCAGGTTCCACTGATCAAAAGCAAAGCACGCCCTTTTTATCAAAAGATACTGACGATAGGCTGCAGCACGCCGTCGAATTTCCGTTTGGTCCCACCACTCCTGTAGATACGTGAAAGATTGCTGAACAATACCAATGCGTCTAGAAGCAGCCGCTCGCTTCAATTCCTGGTCAGTGTGACCCTGCCACTTGGTTAGAGCACTGAGCTCATATCGATGTCTCGACTGGGTTGTAGTAGCTTCCGAGAGGACCAAAGTAGCAGAGACCAAGGACATCCAGGTTGAAACCGCCTTGGTCTTACTCCGCAAGGCTGTGATATCGCGACCAACGCGCTGAAGGCGATGATATGACCACTGGTTCAGCACTCGTTGCATTGTCTTCAGGCGATATGCTTCAGCAGCCTCCTTAGCGATGCGTTCGAGGTTTTCGTTTTGCATTGCAATGCGTTGCCACTTTTTGACGGTGTAGGCGCTTCTCATGTGGTTGGCTGTAGGTTCCCGGAAAGCTGGAGCTTGGCTCCATGTCCGAAAGCAACGAAATCGGATCATATGTCGTCTTGCGACGGCATCTCGTTCAAGTCGGCGGGCAGTACGATCAGCCCAGTGGTTAAAAACTTTGCTTGCAAGATAGAGCTCACGAGCGCGACTCGCCTGTCTCATGAGTTTCTGATGCCTCGCTTCTAGCTCGGCTGTGTTGGCTTCTTTCCGGGTTTGAGTAGGAGTATGATGAGGAGGGCTAACGTTCGGTTGCTCAGTGGGTGTGAAAGGACGTTGCGTCAGATCTTGTTCCTCATTTTCTCCCGTCGCGTCTGCCTCCAGCGCGATTCTTGGAGGAACGTCTTCCTGTCCATGGGAAATAACGGGTGGAAAGATTCCTTGTATCACTCTATTTTCGGGGTGCTCGACTAAGTGTGCCTGCTCAACCTGAGGTACTCCCTCCTCGGACTGTAATGGCCATTCGGCACCCTCAGCTCCTTGGGCCTGATCAATAGGTAGGCCTTCAAGGCTGATACCAGGCAGGCGGGCAGGGTCCAGCAAGGAACGCAAGGAATCGTGATGCGAGCTTTGACCAAGGATTGCTGGCTTGATCGAAGTTTGGGGTTCTGGTTCTGGTTCTGGTTCTTCCTCCCGGGTACCAGAAGTCGGCATGTCGCGATCCTCTTGATCCAGATGATCCTGACTAAGAGGCTTTCCTACATCGCTGACTTGGGGCGCCTTCTCGGTGGTGATCTTGCTGGATGCCTCTTCCTGGGCCTGTCGTTCTCTTCGTCTCAAAGCCAACCCACGCCAACGCGCCATAACAGCAGACAAAGCAGCCTGTCGAGCGACTTCATTCTCGGCTGATATTGGGTGGGAAGATGTATCTGCTTCCCGAGGTGAGGTTGTAGCTGGGACAATAGGCGGGTTGGGGAAGTCGATCTCGTCAGTCATTTGGTCGTCGGCCTCTCGTCGCCGACGGGCATATGCTTGCGGGCTGGAAGAAGAGAATGCCGGGGATGTGTGCGGAGAAGCCCGGGATGACCCAGAGGTGTGGTCACCGAATTCGAGCACAATCCCCATCCGACTGAGGATCGCCTGGAACTTGTCGACCAGACTGCCATCGCCTTTCTCGCCGCTTATTCTGAAGAGGAGTGCGGAGAGGTGGTGATCGGTGTCGGGGTCGATGCCATAGCTAGGAAGTACAACATCGTATGCCTTGAAGAGAGCAGCGACAGGCAAGGGTTTTGGTTCTGGAGAGGAATCGAGCAATTTCTGGGCGGCGGCGGCAACTGCATGCAGCGTAGCGATGTCTACAATCATTAGTACACATCACAGGCGGATTGAGACCAGGAGACGGACCATCGTTGGAGTAGTAGGGGTCTTGGCTTGAGGGCGCTCGGCTGGCATTGCTAGAGTGGTCATCGTCGTCGTCGGATGGCGAGGGAGGTCGATGGATCTGCGGTTGCATATGTGCCACGAGATGGTCCGCATCTGAAGGCAATCGGTCGAGGGACATCAGCGGCGTACTGTTGGCAGGTTGCCCAGTTCCGTCATTGATCCATAGTCGAGAGAGGGAGGCGCGCAGTCGCTGGAGCCGTCTCGGGAGCTGGGCGAGGCGTTTGCGACAGCTATAGAGACGAGATGCACGCGCGCAGAGAGTGTGGAATCAAACGGTTCGGGTGGCCGCGTAGAGGAAAAGGAAGCCGCAAGAGTGGGTGAGATGCGCGCGCAGCACAGCGACGAACAAGTGTATAGCCAAAGGGGATGTGGGAACAAAGCGGAACAAAGCGCAAATCCAGCAGCAGCCCAAGGAAAACACCAAGCTTCGCGGATCGCGTCCAGGTTGCCGGGGGTGCTTCGCGCGTAAAGTGGGTGGCTGGTTCAGTTTCAACGAGGGCAAGCCGAGTGGGGCCGCGAGGTAGGAAGTACAAAGTACATTTGTCCTGGCCGTGTGCGACGCACGGCCATTCCCACTCCAGAAAGCATCTTGGCCTTGGTGTTATCAGAATCTTCCTCTCCTGTTAGTTCTCCCAATTGCCATCCCCGCCACGGCCCATATCACCATGACTTGTTCAAAAACCCGTCCCATCCAGAAGTTCGCCAAGGCGGTGTCTCAGTGCTCGGCCGAGGTCAGTGATCGAGGCTTCACCGTGCCAGCTTCACCATGCCACATTCCCAAGCTCCCACTTTACTAACAGGCACAACCAATTCAGGCTGCGGTGTACGGCAAGTGCATTGTAGCCGACTACAACTCTATCCACAAGGACAAGTGTGCCAAGGAGTTTATGAAGCTTAAGGACTGTTATTTGGTTTGTTCCCTGCTCTGTTCTCCCCACCATGCGCACGTTTCACATGCCCTAACTCGATCTTCATTTATAGGCGGCCTCGAGAAAATAGGGAGCAACCCATATGTGGAATATAAAAAAAAGACATGTTCTACATTGCAGTCATCCACTCAATGTCATTTCTACTTTTCGCGGCCTAGCTAGCCATCATAGCTTTAATAGGCGCAGCAAGAAAACAGCTTGCTGCACCTCCTGCTCCTCCTCCACAATGACGGACTCTGGCTGTGGTTCCTCGCCCACCTTCTCCAGAGGGCGGCGCAGCGCCTTGTCAAAGATTGCGCCTTGCGACGTGAAAGCCTCCTCGAGTCCCAAGTTCTCAGGGTCCGAGAGTACACGGTACTCCATCCTCACATCATCCGTTGGCTTCAGACAGGCCTTCTTTCGAAGCCGCTGGACTCGGTTGATAATTTCACGAGCGAGGCCTTCCTGAGCCAGCTCTGGGTGCAGCTCAGTGTCCAGAATTGTGAGAACATCGCTATCCGTATTGGTCTCGAGGTTCTTGGACGACTCATCTTCCAAGACACCTCGGCGCACAACCAGGTCACCTTCCTCAAGGCGGATGCCATCTACCAGGATGTACTTGTCTCGCACGTAGGCCTGCACATCCTCGCTAGTAAGACCGGGCAGGGCCTTCTTGACACGTATCATGTCCTTCTTCAACTTCTTACCCAACACAGGCCAGTCAGCGGTGACGCTGTACTGGACGTTGTACTTGGCCTCGTCGCCAGAGAACACCAAGTCCCGGACATTCAGCTCCTCGGTAATGTACGACTCAAGTGACTTGACATCCTCCAAGTACTGAGGGTCGTGGTGAAGAACCACCAACGTCTTGAGAGGGGTCTTGAGACCGATCGTGCGACGTTCACGCGACACTCGGGCAAGTTCGATGACCTTCTGCATGCGTCCCACTCGGCGCTCGACATCGACGTCGAACAATTCCTGTCGAACATCGGGGAATGGAAGGAAATGCACACTTCGGGCATCCTCGCCTTGCAACTCCTTCGGGATGTGGGGAAGGAGCTTCAGGTAGATCTCATCGGTGAGGAAAGGAGTGAAGGGAGCCAGTCCACGGCACAGAGTGAAAAGAACCTCGAAGAGGGAATTCAACGCGTGCAGGGTGTCGTTCAAACCGTTCTCACCCTTGAGTCGCTTTCGGTTGAACCGAATATACCAGTTGGTTGTGTTATCAATGAGTCCAAGTAGTCGGGGGACGACGGTGTAAAGGCGGTAGCCTAAGCAAGTCACGTTAGCCCCACTGATATCCAGAACTAACAACAATCATCTTACCCTTCATTTCCTCATTGACAAACTGTAGCAAGCTCTGGCAGCTTGCCAAGATCCACCGATCCATGACGTTGGTGTTACTGGACTCCATGCTTGGGTCCCACTTGTAGTCAACATTCTCCACCTTCTTCAGAAGTTCGACCTGGCCCTCGAAGAACTTGTAGCTGTTCCACAGTGGCAATAGCACCTTCTGCACAACTTCTTTAACACCGGTCTCCTTGAAACGCAAGGGTTCGGCACGGACGACCGGCGAACTGATGAGGTAAAGACGGAGAGCGTCCGAGCCATATTTCGAGAGGACAATTTTGGGATCGGGGAAGTTCTTGAGTCTCTTCGACATCTTCTTACCATCCTCAGCAAGAACAATACCGTTGACAACACAGTTTTTGAAGGGGGAGCACCCGAACAGGTGGGTACCCAACACGAGAAGAGTGTAGAACCAGCCTCGAGTTTGATCGAGTCCCTCGGCAATGAAGTCTCCGGGGAAGGATTCGTTGAACTTCTCGACATTCTCAAAGGGGTAATGTTGACTGGCGTAAGGCATACTGCCAGATTCAAACCAACAGTCAAACACCTCGTCGATACGCTTCAGCTGGCCCTTGCCCATCTTGCTGGGAATGGTGATGTGATCGATCTTGTCGCGGTGAAGGTCTGTAAGGTCTCCCTCGTATCCACTCAGCTCACGCAGCTCGGCAACGCTACCAATGCACACTCTCTCCTCCATGTCTTCACTGACCCAGAGGGGGATCGGGGTACCCCAGTATCGGTTACGGCTGACGTTCCAGTCTCGAGCATTGGCAATCCAACTCGCGAATCGCTTCTCCTTGACAGATGTAGGAACCCAATGCGTACCCTCAATGTTCTTTAGCATATCCGGGATGATGTCGGGGATGCGGATGAACCAGGATGGGACGGCTTTATAAATCAGGGGCGTATCGGAGCGAGGGCACATGGGGTATGAATGCCTGAGCTGTGACTCGGCGACGATACGGCCCGTGCCCTTGAGGTGCTTGATGATGTGCTTGTCGGCCTCCTTGACGTGCATTCCCGCAAAATCACGGATACGTGCTGAGAAATGGCCGGTATCATTGACCGGGTCGGGGGGCGGGCGCTGCTCGTTGATGACGCCTGCGGCCATAGCGACGTTATAATCATCCTCACCAAAGGCCGGAGCTTGATGAACAATTCCAACACCACTATCTGCCGTCACGTACTCGGCGTTGAGAACCTTGAAGGCAAACTCCTTGAATTCGTCGTAGTAGTAATCGAAGGGAGGCAAGTACTTCCATCCAAGCATGTCCTTACCCGAAAGCTTGCCAACGATGGTGAACTTGGCCTTCTTGGGGTCCTTGTAGAGGGTGCCGAGCAACTTCTCCAGGAGAATGAAAACCTTGCCGGTCTTTTCGTCGAGGATCTTGATGTATTCAAAGTTGGGGTGGGCGGCGAGGCCAAGATGCGAGGGGAGGGTCCACGGCGTTGTCGTCCACGCGAGGAGGTTGGTGTTGGGATCGTCCACAAGGGGGAAAGAGACAACAACGGCAGGGTCGGTGACGTCCTGGTAGTTCTGGTTGGCCTCAAAGTTGCTCAGCGCGGTGGTGAGGGCAGTCGAGTAGGGCATAACTCGGTGGCCTTGGTAGACTTGGCCCTTGTCGAAAAGCTGCTTGAAGACCCACCACTCGGATTCCATGAACCTGGGGTCCATAGTCTTTGACGGTACAGATCAGTCTCTAGAATGGCCAACGTGAGAAAGGGGGGCTAGACACCTTGTAATCATTGTCAAAGTCAATCCAGCGTCCAAGACGCTCAATAGTGTGACGCCATTCAGCTGCGTAGCGCATGACAATAGCGCGACACTCCTCGTTGTACTTGGCAATGCCGAGTTCCATGACAGCTGCCTTGCCGGAGATCCCCAGCTTCTTATCAATTTCGTGCTCGATGGGCAGTCCATGAGTGTCCCAGCCGAAGCGACGCTCAACATGGAAGCCCTTCATGGACCAATAACGGGGGATGACATCCTTGATTGTGGAGGCCAAAAGATGGCCATAGTGTGGCAATCCGGTTGCAAAGGGAGGTCCATCGTAGAAGGTGTATCGCGGGCGGCCCTCGGAGAGTTCAACCTATTGTTGCTTGAGTGTCAGAGAGATGGCTCGATCGAGCGATGCGGGGTGCACGAGGGGCAAGGGAACCGAAGGGACCGTAGAGTTGGAGAGGGCAACGGACCTGACGTTGAAAGGCATTGATCTCGCGCCATCGCTCGATAGTGGCCTCCTCTTCCTTGGGAAAGTTGATGGACATGATGCCGGTGGCTGCGAGGAGACTTGACGTTAGTCAGAAACAAACCGAGGGAAATCGGACATCAAGGATGGAGACGAGAGCACGAGGGCAGAAGGTGAAGGCGAATTTGTATCGAGGAGCAGGAGCGTGACTCACTTTCAATGACTGTCACCAGGTAGGTCTGGTCAGCACGCGGAAAGCCTTGGAAGCAGGGTCCCCCAGCTTCGATCGAGGATTTTATGGAGGGGCGGATTTCAAAGGAAAAGGGCACCTCGCGATGGTGGGCTGGATGGTGGGATGGCGGGTGAGTCAAGGTGAGGTGGGGGAAAAAGTGTGCCCCGCCATCGCTCGTTGGTGATGGCTTTTGGTGGGATATGCTGGGTCAAAGTGACATGCATTGCGTCGCTGGTGAAGCAGCGGTCAGGTAGAGGGTACCTCAAGACAGCCCCCTGAGTCGGCTGCTACCCCTCCAACAGCTGCCCGCCCAGCGGCGCGATGGGCTCCAGTCCAAACTTTTAGGTGCGATGAAGCATTAGCCTGCTACTCAAAGTACCCCCTAACGCTGATGGCCCTACCGCATAGTGCGCCGCCGTTGGATCGAAACAACATCAAACAACAACAATAATAAAAACAAGGCGCCGATAAGTAAGCAATGGGATCCCCCCCACCACCACCTCGATACCAATGATATGAGTATGGAGATGAGGCATACTGCCTTTGCTCAAGCGCCAACGGCGTGTATTCCTCATATCATCGCACCTTTAGTTAGCATATGCATACCTAGGAAGGTAGGTAGTACTAAGAAGCCTGTCTTTTCCACGCTGTTAAGGTCTGTTACTGGACGACCCCCCCAAGGCCTGGAGCTAGCGGAATGGTTTCCACGGTGCGCGCTGGCCACTCCCGTTGCCCCTGCCGGCCGTCACGTAACCAACAACAACTCGCCCAGCCGAGGGACTGGAGGTTTCCGCAGCCCATACTTACATTTGAGCTTCATTTGCTTGCAAGTCGACTTGCCTGCCCTGCTTTTACACGAGAGGCTTGATCGACTTGTGCTAGCTTCCGTAATTGTCTGCAGACCCCACCCATTCGTTGGAGTTACCTCCTTCGCGACCCCATAGCTCGCGCCGGTCCGACCTCCACCATCGTCTTACCAGACTACAATATCGCAACACAACCATTCCGAAAGTCCTTCGCCAGCCACCTCGTCTTGCGCCATAAGACCTTGTACCTCTATCCGACGCGACACGCCTTACCACCATGTCCTTCTTATTTGGGAGGGCCCGGACACGGACCGTCACCGACTTGCCCAAGCAGGCTCGCGAACACATCTTGAAGCTCGAAGGTCCTAATGGTGCTTCCAAGGTTGTAACCCCAGGACGTCATGATCCAGTACCCAAGACTAACCGACCATCTCAGGCTGAGGAGTTGGCCCGAGTCCTGAGCCAGATGAAGGTCATTCTCCAGGGAACTCACGGTACGACTTTGCGCCTCCATACCGCCTCTGGCCATCATGCATCTCTTCCTCGATCTAGCTCACTTTGCCTCTGCTTCCGTACAAATAGAATCGCTAACATGTGTCTCAGAAGCCGACAGCTCCCCCGAGCAAATCTACCAGCTCGTTACCGGCCTGATCGACGAAGACCTCCTCCACCTTCTCGCCGTAAACCTCTTCCGCCTACCCTTCGAGTCCCGCAAGGACACCCAGGTCATCTTCTCCTACGTCTTTCGATTCCGCCCCGCTACCGCCGCCCCCAAAAGCGACCCCATCGCCCTATCATACGTTGTCTGCAACCGACCACAAGTCCTCGTCGAGCTGTGCCGCGGATATGACCACAAAGAAAGCGCCACCCCCGCCGGCTCCGTCCTCCGAGAACTGCTAAAGAATGAAGCAGCTGCCGCCATCATTCTATACGACGACGGAGATGAGCCCGGATCCAGTTCCAAGGGCCTCAATGCTATCGATCGCGATCGCCCCCAGAGTGGCAGGGGTGTCTTCTGGAGGTTCTTTGACTGGGTCGACAAGAGCTCATTTGAGGTTGCCGCCGATGCGTTCACTACCTTTCGGGTAAGACAGAGCCATACAGCCAAATGCTCAAAGAAAAGGTGAACTCATGACTTCCTAGGAACTCTTAACTCGACACAAGGAGTTAGTACCCAGATATCTATCTGCCAATTTCGATCTCTTCTTCGACAAATACAACAACATTTTGGTTCAGTCCAACAGTTACGTCACCAAGCGCCAATCTATCAAACTGCTTGGTGAGATCCTCCTGGACCGTTCCAACTACAGCGTTATGACTGCCTACGTCGATCGCGGCGAGCACCTAAAAATTTGTATGAATCTACTCCGCGACGACAGAAAAATGGTCCAGTATGAAGGCTTCCACGTCTTCAAGGTCTTTGTTGCGAATCCCCACAAGTCGATTGCCGTCCAGAAAATCCTCCTCATGAACCGCGAAAAACTCCTCACCTTCCTCTCCCACTTTTTGGAGGATCGCACCGATGATGAGCAGTTCATCGATGAGAGAGAATTTTTGATCAAGCAGATTCGCAATATGCCAGCAGTTCCCGTGCCACCCCAGCGGTAATAGACACATGGCTAGGCCAATGCTTCATCCTTATGTTCTTCAGGTTCTTTCCTTGCCATGTCTCCACTTCCACCTACCAAGATTATCATTCACATCGGCGTTGTCTTTTTTTCCATCATCGAGCGTCAGTCTAGGCCCATGGATGGGGCGTCTTCAAACTCGGTCATCACAAAGTAAGGAGTTTTTTGGAACACAAAACCTCACAGGCATAAGCAGCGGACACATAAAAATGCGATGGGAAGCTCCCTGACCGTGCCAATGTTGTGGCTCATGATATTATTGTACACCAGACGCGCTCCCAGCCAACGCCAATCGAGTCCTACATACTTGGGTCAAATTGACTCATAATCCTAACTCCTGAATGCCCTGCCAACCCTGAACTCAGAGTCCTCGCTATCATATCAGCGTTGCTTAGAGAGCAAGACGTTGACACTCTCCCGGGCATTCTGTGTACCCCACACGCTATCCTTGCCGCCCCGACGCCATTCGTCGCCAGAGGCATGCTCACCACCACCCCTCGAGGCTTCTCCCATAATTACCTCGAGATCTCTCTTCTGCGAACTCAACCAGTTCTTGACGAAGTTGGCGGGATCTTCACTTAACGACGTGAAGAATGAGTGCTTGGCCTTGGAGACGGCGATGGCCTGGATGACACGCGCGAGCTGATCGTCAAGAGTTGTCACATCCTTAAGCATGGCGGCGTACTGCGGGTTGTTGATTAGAGGCAACAAAGAATCCCGGAATGAGTCTTCCACCGAAACCTGGATATCATAGATGGTCGGTTGGGGGTCTTTATGGAATTCTTGGTCGATTCGGATAGTGTAAGGGAGGCTGATAGGGGGAAGGGGACGAAGGTGCTGTGTAACGTATTCGTTAAGCATGGGGATGTATCCAACATCTCCGCGTTTCACGACCTAGCCGAGAGTTAGTCCGGCCTAGAAACGGTGTGCAAAATGAGACCAACCTTCTTCAACAGCTCGTCGCAGCGGAAGTTGCGCTTCTCCTCGTCCTCCTGCAAACCCAGAAGCTTGATATATTCCCACAGCCCCATAACAGCTTCTTGCTGCGTCGCCTCGGTCATGTCGACCACTTCGGCAAGCTCTGGGCTGAGTTGATACGTCTCGGGGGACTCCTGTCGGTGGAGGTTGATGGTGATGTTCGAGTTCTCGTCTCCATTGCGCTTGAATGTGAGTTCATCAAAGTCAGCCGCGGCGGGCAAGTTCGTGGGAGGTTGGTTCCTGGATGTAGCATCTGGCTTCTTCCACTCCACGGTCTGTTCGGCACCGTTTCGGAATCGTGAACGGTCAAAGTCAACGGTCAGTGCCTTGAAGAAGTGCGAGAACCGATGTTTCTGCGGCGTTTGTGTCTTAGCCTTCTGTGGCGAAGGGCCTGCAACATCCTGTTCCGCCTTATCCCCAGTCTCGTTCTTGGTGACTAGGCCATCCTCGTCATCGAGCAGACGGCCCTCGATCTTAACGCGATACGAGGCTTCCATGCTAGGGGCGAAGTCGAAGGCGTCAACGTTAAGTCCGTTGCTCTGCCAAATCTGATCCTCGACCGTGTTACTGATCCAGACCCGAAGAGTCTTGTATCGCTATTCGGAGGCGCTCTGGTCAGCATACTTCTACTTGGTGACTGAACAGGCAACTGACCTTGGAGGTACGGCTCGCGTTGTCGACAATGTCGAGGCGCTTGCGCGTCATGGTGGCATCGAGTCGGCGCTCGACATCCTTCAGGTCCTTATACCGTTGAACACCCTCGGTATCAACAATGCTGTCCTCGACGCCGTCAGGCATGTTCTTGTCGGTAGGCCTGCGGCTGCGTCTCTTAGCAAGCTCACTAGCATGCGCCTGAGCTTGTTGTTGCTGGGCAATCTGGGCTTGAGTAAGAGGGACGGAGGGGTGGGGTCCTGAAGACATCATGGGCCCTGGATAGACGGGTGTTAGCAGATGGGTTAGAGTTCACGGTTTTGGAGTCGTGGATTTACCGATTCCGCCTCGCCGCTGGTTAGTCGTATGAGGCGACCGCTGAGGCACTTGTTGTGCATAGGAACGGTACTGCTGCTGCATTTTCGAAGTGCTTTTTTCGGTCGTTGAACAAGGATCAATTGCGGCCTCCGTTGGGGGTCAGGAAGTTTGAGGAATGGGCGTGTCGCGTCGCATCGCATTGCGCTGCGACGCGGGAAAACGCTTAATCCTCTGGGCGCTCGTCACGTGTTCGTCACCCGGCACATGTCCGATAAGATAAGAGATGAACAGGCCTGGGTAGGTACCTGTATTTCATGGTCGTTCGACATGGGTATTACAATATTCACATTAGGACCCCTTTTTGTACACGATAATAACCCCGTTGAGATACAAGGAGAGCGCTTCACATTCATTCTTGCACGTTAACAGGGGTAAAAAGGAAGTTTTCATTCTCAGTCATCACATCCCAAGCGATGCATCCAGTCCGAGGGGTTCGATATTAATGTCGCCGACAGTCAGAGCCCTGGTACCAAAAACCACAGGGATACCGTTTTTCGACTGTGTGACTATATATGTAGGACATTGCCTGTTCGTAGATACTTATGTTTAGTAGGAAGTTGTGGTTGAGAGTGACTAGTAGTCTCCTAGCCAACCTCCTCCTGTGTCCTGTCCTGTCCTGTCCTGTCCTGTCCAACACAAGACAACATTATCCCGCCTTCTAATCACCGACTTTTGCGTGAGCCACTATCCTTTGATTTGATCTTCAAGGTCGGCAAACCCATGGTTAATATTCGTCTTGTCTCCCGAGACCGCATGCGGCCTGTATACACCTTTGCATTAGGCCGTCTGCTTTCCGTTTACAGCGGTCCAAGTTGCTCGATACATACCCAAGAGATATCCACTCTGCTGCAGTTTGTAGCACCTATGGCATCTAGTCCTTCCGACTGCCATGCCCCCTTGAATGCTTAAAAATGCACCAAGAAATGCATCCACCACCCTTCAAGAAATAAAACTCCACAGTAGTGCGCCTCGCTGCCAATGCCCATAACCGTCCTGAATGTGATAGGTAAGAGGCAAAATGTTAAGGGGATCAGTCCCACAGCCTAAGCGGCCGTGCATCAGTCAAGTCTACCTGTGTATTACTCATGCTTTGATGCCTCTTCAAAACGCGGAGCCCAGTCCACTCCTCGATTGTCTCTTGCTGAAGCGATTCCTTTTCGGCGCTGGATCTTCGGCGGCCTGGTTTTTGCTCAGATGATTGCGACCTTGTCGATCACTGACACCAAAGCCATCGGGATAATTGGCTCGACCTCCGAGAGTGCTAGCAGGGCTGGACACGGTGGATGACATGTCGGCAAACCCGTTATCACCGCCGTAACCTGAAGGCATGCTCTGAGACATGGCGAGATCTCTCGCCCGCTCTAAGCACTCAATCCATTCGGCTGCCGAGGATGATCCACCTTCGAGGGGCGGTGATGAGGACTTCACTTCCTCAAAGGTGTAGTGCTGTCCACCCTGTTGACAAATCATTAACACGCGTCCCAAAAGAAGAACACAGGGAAGCTTACCGTGTCCACACACCAAACAATTTGGCCCTTTGCGTCTTTTTGGCTTCTCCACGAGCAGTCTTGAGCCATGAGCGAGATCTCCTGCTTAGCGCGTTTCTCTTCTCCACCCGCTGGAGCAAGCACAATACGACCGCTAGACGTTATCATTACCAGCCGCTGCCGTTTTTTGGTCGTGCTTCCTCCAAAGAATCGGGATAGCTTCTTATGTCCCTCATCCGAACCTTTACCGTGTGGACTCGAGGGCAAGGGTGTTGATACAACCATCAGGTCGCCTAACTTTAGGATGCGCTCATTGTTCCTTGTCAGGACTGGTGACCACTCAATGTCCAGTTGCGTGGGAGGAGGCAGCTCAGTGATGATCCGTGCTGGCCGACTGCTTCCATTGGTAGTGTTGGTCTGTGACTGAGGGCCTCTCGAGTTCGAGGTTGCCATTGGCGTACTAGAGAAGCCATTGAGCTGAATGACGTTCGGCTCCTGGGCGGGCGGGATATATGGGCGAAGTCTCGGCGCTTTAGATCTCCACAGTCCCTTTCCAAATGACTGGCCGTCAAAGAATTCGTGGTTCTTGATGTGCTCTATGGTGAGTCGTCGGGCTGGGTCGAGGACCAGACATCGATCCACGAGATCGCGTGCCGCCGGGGGGAAGCCTGCGGGGAACTCGTACTCGAGGTTGACAATCTTCTGGAAGGTCAGGTACTCGCTGCCCCCTTTGAATGGAGGCCGTCCGGCCAGGAGCTGGTAAATTATGCACCCAAAAGCCCACAAATCACTAGCCTTGCAGGCATTCTTGTGCGTCAGGAGCTCGGGGCTCACGTACTCGGCAGTTCCCACAAAGGATGCCGCGCGATTGTCATCTTCGCCATCTCGCCCCGGATCGGGCACCCCACGGTCGGTCGAGTCTGGGTTCCTGGTGTCACGAGGGTCTTTCAGTAATTTGGCGGTTCCAAAGTCTGTGATCTTGACATTCATCTGGTCGTCGAGGAGAACGTTTTCTGGTTTCAGGTCCCGATGGATTACACCCCTTGAGTGCATGTAGTCAATGGCGTCGAGGATCTGGGCGCCGTAGAATCTGGTACATTCGACGTCGAAGGTGCCTGTCTTCTTCAACACGCCTAGTAGCTCGCCGCCATTGCACAAATCGAGCACATAGTAGAGAGATGTCTCATCCTGGAAGGTGTAGTATAGTCGGACAATACCCGGGTGCTCTGTGAGACGGTTGAGAGTGTTCTTCTCGATGTTGACGTATTTGATCTTCTTCTCCTTGATGATGTGTCTCTTCTCAAGTACCTTAATGGCATATTCTTTGAGGGTCTGACGGTCGGTGGCGAGGTATACACTGCTGTAGGAGCCTTCACCAAGGACGCGACCAAAGTTGAAGTCGCGGACGCCCTTCTTAACCTGTCGAACAACAGTTCGACCTGTTGCGTCGACCTCCCGACGGACACCTACTGCAGCACCGCGGTCCTTCCATTCCTCGCTGCTGGCGGGCACTGGGGCCTCGCCGGCGTAAGGGGGATTCGATTGGGAGCCGCCCGGTGCTGATGCGTAGCCACCGCCCATCCCTCTGGAGCTCCTTCGGGGCGGTAACGGGGCACTGGTCGGTGGGAGAGGTGCTTGACGGTTCGAGTTGTAGGCCGACTGGGGGTCTCTCTGGCTGCGCTCGCGGGTAGGATAGGTTGGGCCGGGTTCGGGAATATTGGGCAGGCCGTAGATGGATAATCTCGACAGGTCAGGCTGAGGGGATTGCTGGAATGTTTCGCTAGCCCCAGCGTCTGGGGTGAGATCGGGCTGCCGGGTGGCCGGGGCGAACCGGGGGTCGTTGAGGAGAGGTTCGATACTAGCATCGATAGGTTCGAGATGAATGGTATGGGCGAGGGATTCGGTTTGAGGATGAGAGGCGGATGCAGAGGCAGAAGCAGAGACAGCCTCAGCACCATCGTCGGGGTTGGCGATGCGCAGGCCGCCCAGGGCCTGGGAAAGGCTCAGGTCCCCATTCATGGTGACAATGTGATGGAGGAGCCCCGGAGTCGTCCTCGAGGACAGTGGGATGAGAGGAGGAGGAGCGCGAGGAGAGAGTCGCTCGAGGAGAGAGGCGCGGGTCGTGGACGTGGACGAGGGACGGTCGGCCACTGACGACGGCGTATCCGTAGACCATGGAGCATCACCGGTGGTGGTGCTGTCGGGGAAATTGGTTAGCAGCAACGCCTGCTGGGACGGGAGTGACAGTCCAACTGGGCCCGCGGCCCACGGGCGTCGGGGGGGCTGTACCTTTCTCTCTCTGGTAGGGACGGAGCCCAGGAGCGCTGCTGTACGAGGGACGCCTCAGGCTGCCGGATCTCCAGCCAGGATGTTCTGTACGGCGTAAATGCTGGAGAGAATGCACAAATGTTGGTCGGGGAAAGGTACTCCGTCCGCAGAGTGCTGCTGGGTGTGTTGGTACTTCTGGCGTGGCTGGCGAGTGAGGTGAGCCTGCGAGATGAGGTACCTGGACTACCTAAATTTACCTTAGCTTGCCCGGCTTACCACAACGTACCCAACTGTCCAGCCTGTTCAACTCGATGGGGCCAGCTTAAAAGTACGACTCAGCCAGCCGAGCCACAGGCAGTCAGGCACCCTGCCAGCGTACCAAAGTTCGGGCAGTGCGTGCGGCTGCTGGGTGAGCCATCACGGAGCCTGCTTGGGGTCCCCTGGTAATTAATTCCAGCCTTCCTTCTCCCACCAGGCCAACAAAGTCTCGTACTGCATCCAACAGCCAACCGTGAAGGTGTCAGTGACCTCGGCCGGGTAGCGTCAATAGCGTGCTCAACGTATTTGTTTTAATTTTACCATCAGATTACTGCTACTCCGTACGGAGTACTCCATACTCCGTACGGAGTACAGCGTGCACTCGTCGTGCCTGGGTGGAAGCTCGGAGGACGCGCGACCAAGCTGGGCTGGGACGACGCGTTGCACTCCTGTCCTGTAGCAGGCTATTAATGGTTCCTCGTTTAGGCGGCTGGTGGCACACTGTTGGCACTGCTGGGCCACAGCTGAGTTGGAGTTGCCTCCACTGAGGCGAGGCGTCGCACCCCCAAAAATGGACGGGAACCTTTCCTGGAACTGAGAAGCCCGCCTCGTGTGTCAAGCTGGGACCGCCACACATCCGCTGCATCCTGAGTGAGGTCAGAGGCGAGAGATTACGAATATCCTCCGGCCGTTTTCGCCGTCGACCCGCTCATTCCATCCCAGCTTCAGTACTACTACGCGTTGTACTCCGTATGTACTATGCCATTCTAATTGCCCCCGGCACCAGGTTCCTATTGTGGCACCCCGTAATGTACCCAGAGCCAGCGCGCACGCGTTAATGGCTCCCAACGCGACCAACCACTCGCTCACTTGATGACTGAGAATTCCGTTTCTTCCTAATCACTGTCTAGTACGGAACTGGAGCCTTCACACCCAGTGCTGAGCCAGTCTCGCCTGGGGGAGATGAGTAGACGGGTCCTTCCCGTGGATCCTCAGGTCCAGAACAAATCATGCCACCTCTTCACGTCCTCCATACGAGGCACCACCCACTCCTACGAATCCGCTTATTATTAGAGCGTCAGCTCCGGAGCGCGTTCTAACTCTGTCACGACGGCCCAGGAAGTCGTGCTCACTCGTCCATTGCCGAGAGATGATCAGAAGCTGGATTCGTTTGGCACGCACCTGGCCTGGTGGACCAGCGAGCATACAGGAGAAGCATAAAGTCCTGATCCATATCATGTCTGTATCGCTTGCTTACTTGACACAGCTAGCGCACTTGGCCGCTTTACTCTTTGTTCTACTCTAAATAGTAGGATAAATTATATTAATATTTATCTTTAATCTCAAAGGTAAATATATTATTTGTTTATTTATCTATATACTATCCTTTTCGGGGAACAGTTCAAAGATCTTAACCTAGTGCAAATTTTGGATGAGGACTTTATGCGTCCGATTGCACTACGTGGTAGATAGGCAGGTGCCTAGGTGGTGTTATGGCACTTCTTCATGGCTAGGTAGCAATCCGTTTCCTGCCCAGTTCTCCAAAGTGGTGCACCTACCCTGTGCAGTTTCTTAGCCCATGACCGCTTCCATAGTTACGGTCCATATTCTGGTCCGTAGGTGGGCACGCCGAGGTGATTAGGAGGGTAGGTACGATGCGTAGGTAAAGGTGACAGTTAATATATTATCATACAGGAGAGCCCAAGGCTCTCAAGAAGAAATGACACTGTTTCGTCAAGTCTCCCGGCTCGCTCGTGACGTCCGTCACCCAACATCACAAAATGTTTCGACTTAATCCATCGATTATCACATTAACACATGCCGAGCTGAAGGATTTCGAACACCGAAGAAGGTACAAGCATTACTGGACAAGCGAAGACCACTCGTCAGCGACCCGTGGGAGTACTTACGCATCAGATAGCCATGCATTGGTTGACTCCTTCAGACTACAGATGGCAGCCCTTGGTGAGGATGAGTTGTCAGCTGCTGGGCGGGATGATGGGGACAGATGGAGATACTCAGAATCCGTCCCCAACCACGAATATCTTGATCCGACTAGTCCCCAAGACCCAAGATTGATGACAAACTTTGATCTGAATCTACCACCGCTACGTTCCATGCGGCATGGCGTCTCGATCCATAACCGATCCATTACAGGTGAGTCGCAAGAGATGCACTCTCAGATAATGTATCAACAAAATCATAGGAGAGTATGATGGTACCGCGGTAGAGGCAGTGACCCAAAACGACGCGCGACGAGGGCTTCGAGACGGCCTGCAGGATAGGCAAAATGAGCCGTTTACTTTCGATCTACCACTGCGAGGGGTAGTTCCGTCAGTACCCCCGACGGCACCTAGGACAATGCCTGTGAGTCGAGGCCTTCACCACTGTTTCCAGCTCATCAACTGACAACAACGGTGTACAGGTCGAGACGCCGCAATCAACCGATCAGTTGCAATCGGGGACTGGTCGCTTTCCGGGACACGTCAATAACCTACCATCCCACGATGGCGAAGGTCGCCTTGGGGCCACGGTGGTCAGTGACGCCCGGCAAATTCAACCACGGATTGAGCATATGATCCCAGCCGCCCACCCCCCCATTACACAGGCACGGAGATACAGGAGACGGTCCGCGACACTAGAAAGACCTCGTACAACACCGTCGCTGCGACCTGCAGAAGGAATCGCGGCCGAGTCAAACGCCAGAGCCACCACGCCACGAAGGCTGCCTGTGTACAACGACGGATCTTTGGCGACTGAGCAGCCACAGACACCACGGCACCTACCAGAAGCCCGTCACCAGAGCATATTCGACGGGTCTTACACGGCACCGGCAGGAGAACTTCGTGGGCGACCTGGAATGGAGACCACGGGCGCCTATGGACGGGGAGTGCAAGCAAGGCGCGGTGGCAGTCCCTCGGGGTCGAGGAGGCCCGGATTCCAGGGATTGTACGGTGGAAGAGAGAATGCGGAGGAAGAATGACCCATGGCAGGAGGCAGATACAGACAGAGAGACAGGGAGAGAGCTGGAAGAGCACTGGCCTGATGAGAAGTCTCAATGGCGGACGGCGGAGTTGGTGCGAGGCATCCAGGGTTGCTGGTCGCCGGTTTGCTCAGGACTCATGTCAGCGGGAAAATTCACTTGACTGGTATGATATCCGGTAAATCACCTCGACGACATAATTACGGGTGCCTTTTCTAGCTACTAAATTGAGAGCACCCCGTCATTCCTGGTCCGAAACTGCTTTTGAGGACGCCTGTCCCGGCTCGGGGAAAAAGGGAAACCCTTGCCAGACGAGCCTTTGCGGGCACCGCGGCGCTGTGACACTTCCAATGAAATCAGTCGAGTCGTGTCTGACCTGAGATGGTGGGCTGTCGCGTTGACCTGGGCAGAGCGCCGAACAAGCAAGTCAGCCAGCCCGCTGGACGTTGACCATCCAACCAGATGGCGACTCGGGATGTTCCCTCCAGGGTTATGCCTAATATGGGCCTAGTCGGCAGGGACCCTAACAATTACGCAAACCAGAAGTGGGCGAGTGCGTCGGGAGGTACGTACCATGCTGTGCAGGGTGATTTAGTTCCGCGCTAGACCGTTTTTAGGGCCGGCACGTTTGCAACAAGCGGCCGATAAGCTGATGCCGTGCAGACAGTGCGGGAGTTATTCGCACGCGCCCAGAAGGCCCTCGCTCGGCACGTCCCTCCCCACCTCATAGCGAAACGCAATCAACAGTAAGATTCGGCTATCGCGGGACAAGTACTGTGACTCGGAGTTCGCCGTCTGCGCGACCAACACACAGTGCCAAAGTCTTTTTTACCCCAGGTTGCCCATGCAGCCTCACTCCGATCTCCTGCAGCTAGAGCCAAGAGCCACTCGTGCCCCTTCCTCTCACACTCTACCTTCCTCTCGTTCCCTTCTCTCTCTCGCATCTAAATCTCTCCTTCCTACACCCACACAGCCAGACACACATCACACTCTGGGCACCTCACACTCACGTCGTTGCCCCAGGTCGATTCTTCTACTTCGACCTTGGCCATCAACCATCCATCAAGCCTCACCCGTCGCTTCTACCCTCCACACTCTCGTCTACCTCGTCCTCACCAGGCGCTCGACACCTTTCGTCAATTGACCACCTGCCATCCTTCTCGACACGCTTCCTCCTGACGACTTCCCCGGCGCCGACTATCATCTTCGCCTTCCTTCACTCACGTACTTACACGCGACTCGTGGACCTTGTCGACAATCCTACAACGTTCCTGGAACTAAATTGATGGTTTGTGACCGCGTTGACTACTAACCTCTCATCATTTCCAGTTCATCCACCTTCCAGCCGCCTCCCAAGATGGCCTACTTCAGTCCCCAGTTCTCGTCTTCCTCTCCCGTCCTCATCATGTCCCCACAACCTCCCCACCAGACACCTCTCGGCATGGCAAGCTTTGCAAACCGCCATGCATCACCGCGATCCTTTGGCTCAGGACCCAATCAGTTCGCGTCCTTTCAGTCAGCACGACCTGCCGCGGCTGGAAGAAAGCGCTCCCGCGATGAGGCATCCGTCAACCTGGAGCCTGACGTCTCTGCTCTGCCAGTCGAGGAGCCAGAAACTGAATGGGTGTACGGACCTGGCATGACTCTCATCAAATCGAAGACGCAATATGTCGCCGATGCCGGCACCCAATCCGGAACTTGGCTTGAGGAGAAGAAGGCTATTGAGGAGTCCACTATCCAGGAGCTGCGAGCCCTCAAGAGAAACCACAAGTCGCAACGCACCGAGCGCAGCTCTGGTGTTCTATCATCTGCGCCCGCCCCGGCAACCACCTCTCCTCTCAAGGTCAACCTCGCGCCTTCATCTCCTGAAGGTCGCCAAGCTCCTGTCATTGACGACTTCACCCTGCATCTCGGCATCGGCTGGAGAAGAATTAGCAATGACGAGCACATTCAGGCTGCTGCTCGAGGCTGGGCTCGTTTCATTGAGAACCATTTCGCCCTCTCCAACGTTCGCGTAGTTCTGGAAAGCAACGGTCTTCAGTCGTACCTCGTCGAAACATCCGAGGGTTTTTTTCTATTCGCCGAAAACCTCCGCCAAGGCCAACTTGTCAGCCAAACTGTCGAGGGCACACTCAGCAACCTTCAGTGCTCGCCCCCCAAATTTGACGGCGCTGGGACGCTCTCAGCTGCTGAGTCGCCGAAGCCCGTTGACATGCGTCCCGTCGTCGCCCTGGCTGACACGGAGATGAGGATGGACTAAGCCCCCGTCGAACGGAAACCTATTAAAAATCATGATATTTAATGTTTTTGGAGTTTTGTGTTTGCCATGCTTGGAGGACTGGTCTGGGGAGGGAGAAAGGCTTCGGTACTATCGGATTGGGAAATTTTACAAGGGGGCAATCGCCATGAACGGGGAGTTTTATCATGGCCGTGTACCAAACACATATTTCGGGTTTATTCATTCATCTACTTGTTAGGTCTCGCAGACCGCACCTAAGCATTGTTTCTCTGCACTAGTAATACCTTGCAAAGAGCCACCGCGATGGTGAAACTTGTCGAGCGCCATCTTTCGTTGCGCCCGAAGCCAACGTCGTGTCGTGGTAACCGCGCCAGCCTGGGTAGGGTGGTTGCTTGGCACTGGACCAAGCATTTCGGCACTACCGGAAAGCAGTCACCTCCGGGCTTTTTATTCTTGTCGGCTGACCCTGGTTAGAAAGAAAGTAGTCTATGTGCGATTAATTAAATGGGCGGGCATGGTGGCTTGGAGTGTCTCATTGATCCTTTCAAGGAAAGTGCAGGAACATGGCATTTTGCTTTATTGGGCGTGGCGTGGTCTGGGACAGTCGGGGGTTATGTGGGTTAGTAAGGTGGAAATTGGATGGCAAGAGACAATGGATTATATTGATTTACTAGTTCCGCTTTGTTGAAAAGGCGACGCCCTTCAATTAGCCCAAGACGGAACGATTTGGCGTGTGCTGGGGAGACGTACTGGAGCAGCGGTGATGGATACAGTACCTACCGTACCAAAGAGAATCGCTTAACCTACCCTGTACCGACATTTTCACCGCCAGCGGGATGCTAACCACAGGGGGACCTTGTTCCCGTGGGTAGGTACTTGTAGATAGCCGGACCTATATACGCTATCCTATGTACCGAATTGCACCTCTGCCATGACCCAAATGGTATCCGACCTCACCTCTTGGCAGCTGGCTCTCGCGCAAGCACAGCACTACCTACCTACCTATCCACTTGAGCGGCCCACGGTTACGTAGTCACTGAATAGGTAACCATCAACGACACAGCGACTGCGTCAATCCCAGCTTCGCAACCACTCAGTCCATCGTATCGGGACCCCCCTTCCAGCTCTCCATTCACTGCTGCCTGCGCTGTCGCGTGTGTCTCGACTCCATTGTACTTGTGCTTTCCCGCCCTCGGTGTCGCAGGTGGTCTTCCATCCTCCCCCCCAAAAACCGTCCGCCAATCCGTTCCATTCGCCCATCGAATTGCCCGCCATGTCGACGCCGAGCCAGCTCTTCCTCCTCTCCGACCACATCAAGCTGTCGCTGCTGGAGCGGAAGCGTGCGCAGAGCCTGAACCTCGAGGACGATACCCAGGATGGCCACATCTCCCGCTCTCTGGACCAGTTCCGCGACGGCGTCGCAAGTCTCGGTGACGAGCGACAACGCCTGGCCGACGCCGGTGATGCGACGTACGTCGTCCCGCCTCCCCAAGCCTGGCTCTGGGGAATTGCATATCTCTCTTCCGCCTTTCCTATCCGCTAACACACACTCTTAGTGGTGCCTCGAACATGGCAGAGTCTATCGCAACCCTCCAGAAGCAGCTGGACGACTTGACAGCTCAGTTCCATGGCTTCGCCAACCCCTCGACCACGGCCACTCTCATTCAGCCCAACTCGGAGGCCCTCGCTGAGGACTTCGCCCATGCTGCCTCAACATCACCCTCCGGCCGCAAGCCCAAGACGGTGCGCTTCAGCGATACGCCGCCGTCCCCGTCCGACGAACTCTTCGGCCGCTACCGCGATGACCCGGCCACCGCCGACACGTCCGGCTATCAGGACGAAGCCGCCGGCATGTCCAACCAGCAGATCCACGAGTACCACTCGCAGATCCTGGACCAGCAGGATGAGCAGCTCGATCAACTGGGCGTGTCAATCAGCCGCCAAAGAGAGCTGAGCATGCAGATTGGCGATGAGCTCGACAGCCACGTTGCAATGCTTGACGAGGTCGAGGGCGTCACCGATCGCCACCAGAGCCGCCTGGACCGCGCCAGCCGTACCCTGGGCAAGGTTGCTCGCGGTGCCAAGGAGAACTCGCAAATGACAGCCATCGTCGTTCTTATAATCATCCTCATTCTTCTCATCGCCATCTTGAAATAGTCGTCCGTCTTCGTTCAAGGGCAGCAGGCGCAAATCGCATGGTCGGTGTTTCGGAGTTGTTCGTTTGGCGTCATTCACACAATCATTCTGCCCCATTTTGGGAATTCAACAATCTTCTCGAGTCAAATCATCCCTTGTCTACAATCAGACGAAAGCCATGCATTAATTACTTGCTTGTACATATCGCACGTAGGAATGAGGATTTAGCAGCCTCGGGAGGCTAGCTATCATGCTACCATTCTCTAAACCCCAAGTTTGACTCTGCAGCCCTATAGCTTGTCTTTGTTTGCCATCACGAGCAACCTCTATCCGCTCCCCTTTGCGTTACTCATTAGCGAATAACGTCCCCTTCCTTGTCGATACCCTCCAGTCCTTCTAGAATATCGCTGCCACCCAACATCCCCCTCCCGCCTACCGTTGCTCCCCTCTCACGCGACCATACTTCGTGAAACTTGATGCTTTTATCACTGGACGCGACGACAATGCAACCCTCTTGGCCGACCGAACCACTCTTCTGGTTCTTTTTGTACGCTGGCCCATGAGGATACGGAATGGCGTAGAGAGCTCTCAACTCGCCCTCCTAGGGAATTGCCGCCACCTGCTCGCAATCAGGCCAACTGAATATGGCAATTCGGTATGGATGCTCCGGCTGAGCGTACCCAAATGTGGCCGCAATTTCGCGTCGCGTTGTTGACCAGATGAGTGACGTGACCTGCGCCGAAACAGAGATGGTAGCGAGAGCCGTGCCGGAGGTAGTGTGGAAGAAATGGATGCACTTGTCGTTGGAGCCGCCTCCTGTAGCAAGCAATCCTCGCCGCCAGGGACAGAAAGCCATTGCTTTGACAGCAGCACCGTGGACCCAACGGTGTCGTTCAAGGCCAGACCCGAGGTGGCGGAGAGAGTCGAGCGAAGTTCGAAACGTCTCGACCTCGGAAATGTTCTCGTCCGCCCTTATATTCGGATTGGGCGCCGCCGTATTGTAGCTGTAGAGGCTTGCCTCCTCTCCTGCGTCTGATCCAACACCAAGACTGAATGGTTCTGGCCGCGGTGGATTGTGGTTTTCATTCTGGGCTGGATAAATCAGGCTCTGTTCTAGGATGCGATCCACCTCGAAGAGACAACAGAGGTTGTCATTTCCCCCAGATGTGAAGAGCTTCCCATCAGGTGCCCATGCGAGGCCGCATATCTGCTGGCTGTGGATGGTGATCTTGGCAACAAGTGATACGGCTCCTGGCCAGGCGCTTGCCGAGACTTCCGAACCCATGGGCCATTCAACCACATAGTAGTATAGAGTTCCCATCTCATCCCCAACAACAAGGTCCTCCGTCTGCACAAGCACGCCGGGGTTGAAGGGGTTCTTGGACTGACGCAACGTGCATGTTGGGCGCCAACCCACACAAGCGATCGGGAAGGGTTGCTGTACCTTAAAACGAGGCAACCCATCATAGATTGATCTGAGGACTAGCGAGCCGTCCGACTGCCCGATCCCAAGTATGGCCCTGGCACCCTGTTCGGACGAGAATGCGATGGATGTCAACCAGGTCTGTGAATGAGCACCATGTATCATGTTGACACCACCTTCTTCGGTCCAAGCATACAAAATATTACCCAGGCAGATAGCAAGAGTTTGGGATACGAAAGAGTATGCCAAGGGTGAACAGTAGAAGTCATCCTTCAGGTTTGGCGCATCGAGAATCCTAAGTTTTGTTAGAACCGTGGTCTAGTACGTCTTCGAGTCACCACGTACCTGAACGGTGCCGCAGGAATGATCCGGTTCTTTGTTGGCATTGAAGACACTATGTACTGCGTCAGCTATTTCTCGGGGACTAACGCATTTCTTGTCCTCATACTTGAGGTCCATCCTTGATTCACCCATTGATACCCATTCCAGGCTGTTCGGGTCTTGTCTTTGGCCTCATATTTCTGGACGCTCGGGAAAGATCGTGGAAATGCGAGCCTCTGGTCAAAGTCAAAGATCTTTCGCACCCTGTCAATATCTAAGGCAGTAGCGATTCGGCCCTCATGTTTCTCTAGTTCATCTTGTGTGCCTGGTTTGATGGCATAAAACGAAGTCGAGAAAACGCGGGAGTTGGTGCCGCGGTGATATGTATTCCTTTGTATTTCGTCGATGCGAGTTGGTCCGGGGAGCAGCCCTCCAACCGACCAGACTGCGCCTCGGCTTACTTGTCTTCTGCTTCCATGGTTCTGCGGCACAGGACCCAGTATGGCGCCAACTGATGCAGTATGTTAGATAAGGTCCACATGAGGGAATGGATCTACCAACCTCTGTTCAGGGCCCTATCGTTGGTCTGAGATAGGGGATCCCGACCCGGTACCACAGCACCCCTTTGGACAGAAAAGGGATCTACAGAGGCACTGTCGTTCCTCATTATTCTTTCCTGCACTGAAAGATGATGGGATGTCTTGGTCGTTCGATATCTCTCTGCGAGGGGTGACATGGGGTCTCGCCTTGGGACGTATCGGTCCAGAGCCCGCCCATTTGCATCGAACTGCTTTCTCTGGAGAGATGGAGAGATGGGTGAGGTTCGACGAAGAGACGTAAAGGCACTGTTTGCTTCCTATTCGCTTAGTGGACGTCTTGGAGCTGACGTGGCTCTGGTGGACTTTGACGGTTTGCGGCAGGGAGTTTCTGGTTCTGCCTCTTCGATCAATTGGCCTGCGCCATCGTAGGATCCCGACCCATCGAAAAGAGATATCTGTAAATGTTTCACCGTTGGTGACAACGTGGGGGAGTTTTCAAGCGAGTCGTAACCAGAGTCTGCGGGACTGTGTGGCTGAGGACTAGCACATCGGATTTGTCGAAGCGCCTTGTGTGAACGAGTCGGTCGTCGCATCATTCGGGTATCTCTCAGAGAGGCAACAGCCTTCTCATCTATATTGGCAGATTTGGGGGACGGTAGTGATTGAGGTGAGCCTGGTCGTCAAGGCCTGGCAAAATTGGCCGTGGCTGCTTCGGCTCATGGAGAAGAAATGGGAACGAATGGACAGGAATATTGACAGAGACAATGACAAATGGGCCTAATGAGTAATTGGTATGATGAAATCCACCGAGACCGGATCTGTCGACGTGTTTGAGAAACGGTATGGATACTTGTCGATGGTTGTTGTAGGGAGGACGGGTCTTAGGTAGGGGGAGGATATATGTTCAGGGGAAGGAGTTACAGCAGTAACACCCAGCTACCTACTTGGTGGAGAGCGGCATGCACGTGAGATTCGCTGTTTTGATCACTGAAAAGGGTTTATGACGCCTGAAATAATCATCCGCGGCATTAGGAAAGATCAAATCTGCCAGGTGGTGATGTCACTGTTGCAGGGTCGGAAGGCGCGGTGATGTCGTTAAAACAGGTGAGCTCAGAAGCAGTATTCGGCGGACCGGTAGCCAACAGCATCTCCCTCGCTAGGGCACTGCCTTACTAAAATCCATAGAATCTCTGCTGTTGAAGAAGAAATACAATGGGCATCTCGGTGAAAGAGGAAGAATGATATGTACAACGTTATTTCCACCATTTCGTCACAAAGTCCTTGGGTTGACCACCACTCCCGTTACGACATTCCTGCGACAATGTTCGCGTACTGTGAGTTCGGATAATCAAGCCAATTCTCAGTTGTATCCAACGACCCAAGAGACTCGGAACTGGTGCGGATGAGTGAATCTGTACCAGTCTTGTCGGCTGAGGCCTCCCAGAACATGCTGCCACCTAAGCTCAGATTCTGGAGGTATGATACCTTCTTCTGGACTACATCAGGGGTGTCGAAGGAGATGAGCTCCTGTGCACTTGAGTCGTAGCTGTAGTAAGCCTGCGCAACATCGTCGTACTGTATTGTGGCACCGGCCTTGGGTAATGCCTTGTAGTCCCACACCCCGGCCTCCCAGGAGCCAGAACCAACTCCAGAGAACGGCTGACCAATGCCGGAGGTCGCCTCAAACGAACGGCCGTAAATTGGCATACCGAGAACAAGTTTCCCTGCGGAAACACCGCCGTTAATGTAAGCCTTTACAGCGCTATCGGTATCGAAGGGCGTCGAGTGTGGCTGCGCGGCGTTGGAATATAGGTTTGCAGAGTGGCCGGAGTAGGTATCCCAAGAACCAGCGTAGTCATAGGCCATCAAGTTGACGTGATCTAAAACACTCCCGAGTTGGGCCATGTGAAGTTTTGCGTAGTTCGTAGCACCAGCAGGGGCTGCGATTGACAACTGGAAGTGGTGACCAGGGGCGTATTGTGTCGCGTACGAATCCAGCTCATCCCGAACAGCCTGAAGAAGAAGTACCATATTGGCTGCCTGCGTTTCATCCCCAGGGTACTCCCAGTCGACGTCGATGCCATCAAAACCCCAGTCTTTCATAAGCGTGACTGACGACTTGGCAAATGTAGCACGCGTTGCAGCAGTGCTTGCGGCAGCTGGAAAATTGCTGGACCACGTCCATCCCCCAATGGACAGCATGACCTTGAGATGGCGGTTGGCCTTTTTCAGGAGGTATAATTGCTTGACGCAGCCGTATGCGTTGGTTCCAGAATCACTCCAGGCTAGTCATCTATAAGCGGATGTCCAGGCTGCATAGAGGGGGTGATTCTTACAATCGCCTGCATAATGCTTCTCCAGGTCGGCATAAGAGTCCCCCGTGTACCTTGGAGAAGAAATCAGCGAGTTACTCAACCAAAGCTCAGCTTGTCTCACTCACACAGTTCCGTCAGCTCGAAGATTCATGAAGGAATAAAGCACATGAGAGATCTCAGAGGCAGGGAGGTCTTGAGGTTGGTAGTTCCTTCCATAGATACCCCTGGAATGTATTAGATTAGGGACATGCATGGGCGACTGGGAATTCACAAACCAGTTTGTAAAGTAAACGGCATTAACATAACCATCCCCTCGCTTAGACACGACAGACTGGTGTTTGTGCTTGGTGATTGGGGTCGCCAAACTTAGCGGAGCTTGAACCAAGACGAAAATTGCCAACGCTAGGGCAAGAGGAGTGAGCATGCTGAATTTGGAAGGAAAAGGAAGTCAATGGATGAAGGAGTGAATAGTCGAATGAGTGGGATAATTCAGGTATCAGGCAGCGCGAGGAAGGAATGTGACAGAGGAATGTAAAGTGGTTGAAGACAGGGGAACACTCAACACCACGGGAGAAAGCCATGATTATATCTGTCAGTCACGATAACATCGAGCACGTATGTTGGAGGTAGCCAGTCTAAAACTTCACCTTACGAGTTGCTTTCGTAGGACTCTACTCGAGCAACTGGATCGTTCCACTTGCTAACAGTGGGTGTGTCATGTTGCTGCGCAGCTTGGTCCCATCCATCTAGCATCATGGCTGTGGTGGGAAACCATGATGGAGAGGATGCTAAACCCCAGCTCGTCAGTTGTGGGCACGTTTATCTGCAACGTTGCGCATGTCAATTTCTCTCCTAGACCTTCCTTACGGTTTGATGTATGGAACGAAACGTGTGATGCCATTCAAGGTAGCTGGTCGAGGAATGCTTCCAGCTTGGTCATTCCGGAAGTTGAAGGAGAGATATTGTTTCGCTGAAGTCTTTCATTGGTCAAACTATCTAATCAAGTTCACTTGCAACTCCGACGGCGAGATGGAGATAACGGGCGTAATGTGATGATGCATGGCATTGGTGAGGCTGCCATCAGGGGTCGTAGATCAAGCACACTAGGCCAGGATGATCGCGAGAGACATGATCGTCATATGAGACTCCTGGCCCGGGCGTGACACGCTCAGCAGACGACCCTGGTCACGACGCTACATAACATGATCATGGAGAAGTGTCCTTTTTCGACACGGCCTTGGTTCGTCCGAACTATCGGTATCTATGTATGTGAGATTTTTAGCACACATGTTGAGTTATTTACACAAACCGGAAGATACGCCGATTCTAAAGATAATTATCGAGAATGCACCCGAGATATTAGTTTAGAAATGTGATTTTTTTCTTAATAATACGAATGCTCAATATTTATCACCTTATTCATTACATTGTATAGGGAAGATCCTTTTGAGGACCGAAACGAAAGGCTCTCAGATACAACCATTTGGTGGCATTGGTATATTATCATTGTTTGATGAGCCTCTGCCAACGGAAGTTCGACATGCGATAAGGTTATGGATGATCGTGGTCCACGGGACCAACGAACCGGGGTATCTTGAAACACAATCGGGGGAAAATCGAGGAGTTCTGGGTCCATGTCGATCATGTTGATGGCGCAGTCAAGCTTGAGTTGGGGAGCCTTGGGTGGCACGTTACCAGGGAGGGATATCATATGGTGTAGCATTGGCATCCTAGACTGATACCTGCCTCATTCGGGAAACCAAGCCACCTTCCGATCCTGGCAATTTCAAATAATTTGGGAGATTATGCCGACTGGGCATACCGGGGTATCAACACCTCGTCTACATCGCTTCTCTTGGATCGTAGTCCATGTTGGAGAGGTTCAACTGGCTTGGTGGTTCGGTAATAAGGAGGCATAGGCCAAAAAGTCGTCGAGGACACCCAAACCCGACCCTAATAACTAACAACTGCAGAACAAGAGTCACAAGTGACAAGGCATCCATATTCAACTTCCGAGCTCGCCGAGTTCGCAACATGTGTTGAATGTGGATGGCCGAGGTTGGAAGGCCTATTCTAAAACTGTTGCCTACCTACCCTATACCGCCATGGACTGCGCCATCCCCGCGCATCCCCTCATAACGTCATCCCACCAGATTGAAGCTCGACCTGAGTGTACAACGTTCCGAGCGAGCTCCGTCGCCAATCGCTCAACTCAAGCCTTTGCGCAGCTTGCAGGATGACCAGCGTGAGTCCTCCCGCCCCTCAGTCCGCCGTTCAGCAACATTATTGACTGATACAAGGCGGCGGCTAGCACGGCGTAGCCCGCACCGCGCGGTTCCGAACTGACGAACAGCGCCAACAAGACCTCGAAAAGATCCAGAAATACCGATCCTTGGAAGACCAAGTTCGCCACCAGGTCAGATATGCTCCCTCCCAGCTTCGAGAGGCGACAGGAAGAACACCCTCTAACCCGACATGACACAGATCACCGAGAGCCAATACGGCCTGGAGGCATTCCAACTTACCTCTAAAATCCTTCGTCTTAATCCCGAGTACTACACAATATGGAACGCCCGCAGGCGCTGTCTAATATCTGGCTTATTATCCAAACCATCGGCTGGGTCGTTGCCCTCGAAGGCGTCGCCGAGTACTTCAGCGACCGGCATTCCCACAACCTCTTCCGCCGCCTCGTTTCCCTCATCCTCGACCGAGACCCCGCAAGTCCCCGACCCCCCGACAGCTGGGAGGACTGGTACAACAGTTGATCAAGAATCCGCAGCGACCGCAGATCATGTTTCGCAACAGGAGCAAGATACAGGCGTGATCCGCGCCGAACTGGGCTTCACGATCCCGCTGCTCATGGAGTTTCCCAAGTGCTACTGGATATGGAACTATCGATTATGGGTCCTGCAGCAAGCGAATGAGAGACTCGACGTCGCCGCCGCCCGCCGAATCTGGGAGGAAGAGCTGGGCCTTGTAAGCAAAATGTTGACCAAGGACCGCCGCAACTTCCATGCCTGGGGCTATCGCCGCCATGTCGTGACGCAATTGGAAAGCCCAGTGCTGGACGGGCGAAGCATGGTTGAGCCTGAGTTTGAGTACACAACCAAGATGATCCACGTGGATCTTTCGAATTTCTCGGCATGGCATAACCGCAGCCAGCTGATTCCCCAACTCCTCGCCGAGCGTAAGTCGGACGATGACTCCCGCAAGGCGTTCCTCGATAAAGGTTTATATGACTCTATTGCTGGTGATATATCGTCGCTAACGCATGCATATAGAACTCGACCTTGTCCGTGAAGCCCTGAATGTTGGCCCCGAAGACCAGTCCCTCTGGTTCTATCACCAGTACCTGGTCCTGAATCTTGTTGAGCGAGCTGGCAGTTCGCCAATAGCACCGCATTTGACAGTGGACGAGCGGAAGTCGTACATCCTCCGCGAAATCGTCGACATCAAAGACCTATTAGAAGACTACGACGATATTAAGTGGATATACGAGGCGCTTGTGGAGTATACTACCGCCCTCTGGCAGTTGACAGGCCAGGTTCGAGAACAACAGGAACAACGCGATGTGGGGGTCTGGCTTGCAAGACTTAGAGAGCTGGATCCCATGCGAAACGGAAGATGGAATGACTTGGAGACGCAGCTTGATCTCACAGGGATTCCCACGGAGTGAACCAGTGTTGGGCCAGTTCGCCATACAAACAAAACACTCGTGTATATGAGCATTGCTTGTATATTGTAGAAATAGACGATTCCATCACATTGTGAATGACTACCTGGCCCTGAACACCAACGGGAATACGTAGTCGTCATGCAACTGGCTTGTGCTTACTGTGCACTCGTTGGATCAGATGGTGTTCTATATCTTCATGCATTATTAGAAGAGTGCAAACGAATGAATAAAGCTACAACTACAACCACATTGCAAAACAATCAAGTTTGGATACGCCTTTCATATTTTTGTCTGTCGTTGCTGGATCTTGCTGCCTCTCGCTGTCCACCCGTCACCGACTAGGCGCACATAAGACACAGCCGCCTCACCAGCTGACAAGCCTCATAATCAAGGTTCAGCTCAGCGATCCGACGCATGGTGCGTCTCTCCCATCCAACCTCGCGTCAAAAATGCGGCTGTTGCACACAAGAGAAGTCAAGACATGCAACTTTGAGGGTTCTGACCGGCCGCCGTATGCGATTTTATCGCATCGATGGGGTGACGACGAGATCAGCTTCCAGGATGTCCAGGCCATGCGGGGCAAGTACTGGGCTGCCGCGCTGGACGAAGAACAGGAAAACGCTCTCATCACGTCCAAGAAGGGATTTGACAAGCTGGCCAAGTCGGTCCAGCTAGCACAGCGCAGTGGGTTTGAGTACATCTGGCTTGATACCTGTTGCATCGACAAAACGAACAGTGCCGAGTTAACTGAGGCTATCAACTCCATGTATCAGTGGTACGAGACGGCAGATGTCTGCTACGTCTACCTTGCCGATGTGAAGCCCGCTTTCGAAGAGGACATGCATGCGAATCCGTCAAGCTTTCGGCAAAGCCTCTGGTTTCGGCGAGGCTGGACTCTCCAGGAGTTGATTGCTCCCAGTGAGGTTGAATTCTTTGCCTGGGACTGGAGCTACCTTGGAAACAAGCGGGAGATGAAGCAGTTCACCGACCTCCTCACGGCCATCACCCGCATTCCAAATGAAGTTCTTTGGGGCGACACCCACCCGTCAGAAGCCAGTGTCGCCTCGCGGATGAGCTGGGCCGCAACCCGGGAGACGACTCGAGTCGAGGACTTGGCCTATTGCCTCCTCGGGCTCTTCGACGTCAATATGCCGCCACTCTACGGCGAAGGCGAGAAGGCTTTCACTCGACTGCAAGAGCAAATCTTGTCTCAAAATGACGACGAGACAATCTTTTCTTGGCACACTGAAGTGCCCTCGAACGGTGCCTTCTATGGCTTGCTTGCAGAGCGACCCTCATACTTTGGCAACTCATACAACTTGGAGCCGGTTTCCCGCCTAACTCTTGGTGAGCGTGGGGTCATGACAAGCAAGGGACTAAAGGTAGATTTCAGCCTGCATCCATGCACCGACACCCCGGGTGCCGATTGCTTCGTTATCCTGCACTGTAAACCACCGAGTCTTGACGAGGAGTCTCCAGTCATTTACCTCAAGCGAATATGGGTTGATGAGTTCGCACGAGTCTTTCCACACAAGGTCGTGAGTAGAGGGTTGCAGTCTGCGGAGGGTGTAACCGAAACTGTCTTTGTCAAACAGAAGCCCTCGCGGAAACCCAAATTCATTCGTATCATCGCCGAGAAGACGAATGCTGCCACTTCTTACAGCCCCGGATGGGACATCCTCGACGTTTATCCGAAGACAGGTTGGTCCGAGTCGGGTTTAGAGCTGAGGCCCAGCGACTTTCGCATAGGCCAGGCGTTTGCGTTGTTGCGGATCCGGGTCGACGAGTGTGGGACGATTGATATTGCAGTCGGCTTGAAGGTGCACAACCAGCGGCAAATCAGGAGCTGGTGTGTTCAGTTCCGCTCCGAATCAGCGGCATGGACCGCCGAGGACAACTTTTGGATCATCAGTCAAATTCTTAAAAAACGACCGGATCTTGAAGGCCTCGAGTCGACGTCAACGGAGGATATCAACGGAAGAAGAATGCCCGTGTCGATCACCGTGGTGGAACGGCACGGAGTTCGAAACATAGATCTGGTCCTCAGCGTTGAGAGGCTATCGCCCGTTGGGAATGGTTTCGAGACCGAGGAGGCTATGGAAGACGACTTGCCTTTTCAAAAGGCCTCAAGTCTTGAAGTGGATGTAAGGGGCGTCACCTCGATTGCGACTTGCGTACAGCGGGAACCCCAACGCCCGGTTTGGGGGCTCTCATTCCCGACTCAAAGGATTAATTTAAGGCCACTGAAGGGCATGAACGAATTAAACCACATCTACTTGCCTCAGGAGACGCCTAGTCATACAGAAATATGGTCAGGTTGGGCGCCAAGAACCGAGCTGCTGTACGTGTGTCTGAAGGAAAGTAGCTTCCCGCCCCCTCCCTCTGGCTCTTTTCATGAGTTGTGTTATAGTGGCGACGTGGCCGAGGCTTTGTTCTCCAGCGAATCTGAAGTGGCTGTTCGTATGAACCGGGACACCTGGATCGGGTTGACTCCTTTTGCCTGGGCCTTGGCTGGAAGTCACGTAGACCAAGCCATGTTTCTGTTAAAACACAACCCGTATCAATTAACCAAACTAGCGGCCGGGGGATTCTCAGCAGTTCATGTTGCGGCTGGGCTAGGACAATCGACTGCGATATGCGATCTGGTCAAGTTTATTCTGGACGAAGAGTCCCTCGTTGCCCGATACATGAGCCATGAACTCAGAGAGAATATGCTCATGGCAGCTTCAGAGTCGACCCATGACACGCCGTTGCACATGGCCGCGGCGTTCGCAACCAATATTGAATTCTGGCACGGGCTCGACACAGGAGCTTGGAATTACTTCGTCTCCGGGTCGAGAGTCGCCCGAAACAAATGGGGAGCGACACCTCTTCACCTCGCAGCATTTACGGGGAACCTGGCCGCTGGGATAGCCATCCTAAAGTTTTGGCGAGATGAAGAGATCCAAGTCTCCCATAACTGGGGGAAGGATAAGGTAGCTAGGATGTGTCATGACAGAGCCCACAGCGTGGACGACATGGGACGGTCATGCGCCTGGTACGCCGCGTATAGTGACTCGCCAGAAATCATCAACTTGATTTGTTCCGAGGATGCGCCCCTTGACCTGGCCGATGACAATGGCTTCGCCCCAATACATATTGCTTGCTGTCTCGGGAACGTCTCGAGTCTGAACAAGCTGCTGGAACTGGGCGCCAATATCAATGTCCCAACAAGTGACCTACTGCTTCTTCCGTCGCACTTGGCTTCGATTTACGGGAACATAGACTGCCTAAAGGTCCTCGTGGAACAAGGGGCAAAGATGGATTGGAACGATGATGCAGATTCGCCTCCATTCACTGCTATTACTCTTGCTGTCGCAAATGGTCACTTGGAGTGTGCGCGGCTACTCTGGGACGCTCACCAAATACCGGTTTCTGGAGTTGTTTCGTGTGTTGTGGTCCGCAACGCAGGAGCAGCTATCGAGCATCTGGATATCTTGATTGACGGCGATGAGTTTCGGTTCGAAAATTTGCTTCCTGACCGACCAGGGACTGCTCCGATCCCTATCCGAGTTCACCAAGAGCCCGACGAAGCAGCGAAACGTCATAAGACCAGGTCCTCATGGTTCTCGTGGAACAGCTCTAAACGTACCTAACTTGACAGACATTTCCTACGGGTTGAGTGCAGTATCTGGGGTGTGTAGTCGTGTACGGAGGTAGCAAGGAGAAGTTTCCGGCCACAAGATGGATGTCTACTGTATTATACAGATCACTTGCATGTAACTCGCTATGGCGAGCAACAACCTTTTATTTTGGGTCTCATGATAAAACACTCACTTCACCTAGTTATTAGGAACTGGAATTTAGGACTAGACTGGCTGTAAATCCGGGCATAGCCGCATCACATGCACAAGCAGTCGAGCCAATCCTATACAGCAACATGTACATATTAATGTGAGATGAATATGTTCATTACAATGACAGTCCTAACAACTGTCCTGTCTACAATCCCCGAGCTGTTACATCAAGAGAGCTCGTTCACAACCTGCTCACACCTCAAAGCATACCAAGTAGCTCGTCAAAATTACCTCCCTCGACCACGGGGCCGTCCTCTCCCCCTGCCACGTCCACGTCCTTGTCCTCGTCCTCGGCCAGAAGCCCCCTTACTGGCAACACGGCCTCGGGCAGGGATGTCCTCCGCACTACTAGAATCCGAGTCTGAGCTGTTGACTTCACTGTCCGCCTCCGAGTCCGATTCAACGAGTCGAACGACGGTTGGATGGCCAGTTTGTCTTCTCGCTCGTGGAGGCGATGGACTCCGCGAGCTTTCTTTCTCTCCCGATGATACTGATGAGGGCGTCTGTTTGGATTGGCTCTGGTATTCAGTGTCCGAGCTCGACCGGCGACTGGGACGTTGCCGCACTGCACTGGCCGAACCCGTACGACCGCCTCGAGTGGAGGGTGTGTTGGCTGCTCGATTTGGGGGTGCAGGCGAAGCTGCTATGATGGTGTCAGAACCAGGCTGAGATTTCCGCTTGCCCATCTTGAATTTCTTGCCCCTGAGTGCCATGCGCTCCGCCATGGATAAAAGCTGGGTGCTACCCAGGCTTGTGCTCTCAGTGACAGGTGGCTCTGGCGTCACCGCCTTTGACTGTTTCGCTCGCCGAGCGGTTCTGGAGGCTCGACTATCCTGAAGGGTTGGCGCTGTGACTTCAAGCTCATCACTAGAATCATGCAAGGACGCTGTGGCAGCAGAGATCGTGGTAACTCCGGACTTCCGAGGTCGTCCTCGTCGTCGTGGCTCCTTATTACCTTCTGCGTCCGCCGCAACAATCTCTGCAGCCAGGTCCATTGAAAGCTGTGCCTCCAGTTCCTGAACAGCCTTATCATGTTCGTCATCGCTATCGTGTAATTCTGGTTCGGCCTGGTCGCTTTCATCTGCATTCCCTATATCGCCCTGTTTATTTTGAGTATCCTCATCTGCAGCACTGACTTGGACCAGGTTCGACTTCCTTGGCCGACCTCTAGGTCGTTTCACTGACCCATTGGGTGTGGAGGAATTCTGCGATGTTGAAGTCTTTGCCGGAGAAGACACTGCTGACAATGCGTTCTTGGGAGGGCGGCCACGTCTTTTGGGTATCTTGGGTTCAACTGGTGACCCATTTTGCGTGGACAACTTCTCCTCACTCCCAGCTCCTCCAAACAGGGCGCGGACTGCATCGGCAGCTAGATCGACTGCTGTCCTACCGATTTCCGTAGGTTCATGTGATGGTGAACCGACCGGGTGTAGCGAATCCTCTTCCTCGAATTCATCGGAATCGGCATCTTCGAGTTCTACGTAAGACGCTCTGGGCTTGGCGTGTCGCAACTCTGGCTCATTTGCGTCGAAAAACCGAGCCATTGTCGTTTTCTTCTCAATGGGCTTCTCCGGACTTTTCTCAACAACTTCCGAGTCCCTTTCTTCATCAATCACAGGCTCGTCATCATTGTCCTGGACAGGATCATGCATCAGAGCCTCGGGAGCAGTAGTTGGAGTACCGCCGAACAATGCCGGGTCCATGCTTTCCAAGAAGTCTGGCTCAGCTGTAAGACGAGGTCTTTTATGGTGACTCTTGCCGACGACGAAGTCTGGGTCCTCGTTCGCTCGCTTCGCCTTCCTCTTTGCCGCTCTGATGGACTTCTTGACGAACTCTGGTACATCTGATTCTGGTAATCGCATGGCCTCTTCGGAAGGAGCCTGGAAAGGGTCGAAGAGAATCTTGTCAGGCGTGTCATCTTGTTCATAGTAGCCCATGCCAATGCGCTGCCGACTGATCAAAGATGGGTCAGGATACATGGATGTATCGAGATCTGCCATCTGCGACATGTCCGCATTGGCCAAGCCGTCGTTTGTAGAACCATGAACCCCTTCGGGGTAAGGTTGGAATGGCCCATCGACAGGAGCTTCCACCGCGGGAGGATCGTCCAGCCCCAGGACATGGCTTTGGTCTCCATACCCATTCATGACGGGAGAATGGAGGGGGTTGCCAGAGCCATCCTGTGCCTCGGGCTGATTCTGCATGGCCCGCTCTGCCTCCACCTGTTCGGTGATATCCTGGGCTTTGGCATTATCAGCTTGCTCCCGTAGTGCCTTCATCCGCTTGCTGTCCTTGCTGCGACTCTCTTCTCCGGCAGCCTTGAGCCAGGACAAGTTGTGAACGCGGAAATCAACTAGCGCTTCTACACTACGATCATCGGCAATCGGCCTCGTGTCATGTCCGAGTAGTGTGTTCTTGGGAGTGTAAGGATCTGTGTGACCTACGCGTCGGCAATATGCACAGTTGCAAATGCCTAGACACTTCGGGCATTGCCACTGCTCGTCCTCGAGCACCTTCTGGGGCATCATGTCAAACGCCCTGTAAAGAACACCATAGCAGTAGGACTCGGTACAACCAGGGTTTGTGCACGAGTGAACCCTGTAGCTGTAGTCCTTGTGACAGCAAACGTGGCATCGTCGGAGCTCGCCTTTCTTCTTCTTCCGTTTTCGCTTCTTGGGCTTGTCCTCGCCTTCTGCCTCTGATTCGCTTGGTGTGTTTTCACGTTCCTGCTTCGTAATGTCCTTCCACGGCCGTCTTCGCAACGCCTCTTGGCAGATTTGGGCCACCGCCTTCTTCCCTACCCTCAGGCGTGCGACCTCGAGTGGTTGGGGGGACGACTCAAAGTCCACGAACCCATCATTGAGGATAATCATGGATCGCCACGCCTCATAGTTGGTAACCAGCTCAGACCACGACCACTGCTCGCACCACTGGAGACCCGACATGCATGCACAGGATCGTCCCATCGCATAGCATTCCATACACACGTCGTATGCGTCCTCATCCCCGTCGACCAAGGTACGGGCGCAATGCTTGCAGGTCAGGAACCGATTGAAGATGTTTGACCGGCAGTAGGAGCAAGTGATGCAAGAGTCGAATGGAATTAGCTCCACATCCTTTTCCTTGTAGCCAAACATTTCATCTAAGAGGATTTCTGTGAAGAGACTGAATAACTTTTTGAAGTCGCCAGCTAGTTGTTTTGCGCGCGGCGAGCTGCGCATGATTTCCTGGCCAAGGCCCAGGAAACTCATCTGGGCCAGTTCTGCGTTCTCTTCCATTTCCTGCAGCTGGCGATAGTACTTTTCGAGGGTGAAGTAGATAATGGCTTTGTTCTTGTACTGTTCGTCGCGACAGACAAGTCGTGCTTTGGGGAGTGCTTCGTGGAGCGCCATCTCGAGCGTCTCAGCTGTGGTGCGGTTCCAAGCGACCTTTACCGTCCTCGTTCCCCGATTCCACACCTGATGAGCAGCTAGGGGGGGCACCAAGATGAAATCACCAGCCTTTTGTTCAACAACGTAAACATCAAACGGAGCTTTCTTCCACGCATTGACCTGAGCAAAGTGCTTCTCAATCTCAATGTCGTGCCCAAGCATAGAGAGGAAGTATTCACGGACGACCTCACGGTCCTTGCTCTCAGTCATGAACCAAATGGAGCTGCCAGGTTTCTCTCCGTTCTTGTCACCAGAGGCGTCGACCATAATATTCTGGCCCAAAGAAGCGCACATCTCACGATGGGCTGGAGTGTATGTTCCCTCATGCCCGATGTAACACATCAGATTCTGGGCTCGCATATCATGGGGTAGACTAGACATGAGGTCGCCTGCCGGTGCAGTTGTTGCCTCTTCCCTGAAGACATCATCTTCTTGGGTTTTCGCGCCTCCGTGTTCGCTTGCGTTTTCGTTTAGGTAAAAGAGGTTTGGGTGAATGGCCCTCTGTAGCGCATCGTGCCATTCGGGCGGGCAGTCGATGTCCTTGAGGTACAGGCGCTGACGGCGCTCGTCGCGAAAGTTGTTCGGTGTCCACTGGTCGGTGAGCTGCTTCATCGATCGCAAGTAGTGCCCAGTCGTCATGGGAATGTCGTTCGCAGCGGTGATGTCCCTGACGGTCTCCTCTATGAAGAGTCAACGTTAGCGACTTGGAACCAAGATTGCCAAGAGGAGCACCTACGTTTCTTATCGTATGTCTTCTCTAACCAACTAGAGTCGAAGAGCCATTTTGGCAGCACGGCATCCCAGCCGTCAATAACCAGAGGCTTGCCTCCAGCGACAACGTGGATCAGCACGAGCTTCTCAAACTCCTGTTGCCCCAGACTACGAATTTGCGCTCTCGACACCCGCTGAACCCACTTGAAGTTGGGCGTTCGATCGACTAGACCAGCCAAGTCAAGGTCCGGGGGTATTGGATCGAATTTGGCCTGTGGATGGAGTGAGGTCGGCATCTTGTCGAGTGTCTCGGGAGCGTCGTGTTCGATGCGACGTCGAGGGACGTGATGGCGGGGGCCTTAGGAAGGTCGGGTAATCATGAGGAACAGCAGACGTGATGAAATCGATTTAGAGTAGTAGCAATCACTAATGGCGGCGCGGGTTGTGCAGCCTTCTGTTCAAACGCCCCGGCCATTCAGATGGCAGAGGTGTTCGTGTTTGGTTGTGAATTGCAACAACAGCCTCGTTGGATTGGTCAAGAGGCGGCCCTTCCGACGTCAACTGGGCGCGTCTCAACGTGCATTAAATGCGCAGCCAATCAGAGGGAGAGCACACGCCACTTAAAGAGGCCGATGTCCGTGCAATTGTGCAGGTGGCCGTCACGTGATCTTACCGAAGGCAATTCTGGCGAATGAGCTTAGCATTCCTGTACCGGAGTCTCGGAATCCCGGCCTTCAAGATTTCGGACTCATAGCACTTCTCACTCTTATGGCTGGAGGACTGGGTGTCAAGCACGCGGTTCGGCTGGATTCGCCTCGGATATATTCAATTGTAAGTAGAAACCCCATCCCTTTCGTTGCAAAGTGAATAAAAACTCATCTCCGTTCAGAATATTGGCCATCAATGAGACTCGCAGTTCTTCCTAGGCCTTCGGTATGGGCGCAATGCCGAGCCATATCTGGGCAGACCCCCAGAGCCCTGGGGCGAAGAACCACTCGTCCATCTCTCACTCAACTGTCGAAGGCCTTGAGCCAGTCACGTCCCAGCCATCAACGGGTGCTTGGGTTCCACGAAGCAGGCAAGAAGTCCTCGCCGCTTGTTGGTGAAACACCAACGCCGGAAATCGCCATACCGACGTTGGCGCCCTATCAACCACCACAATCTGGAATTCTGTCGAAGCTTCCAGCCTCATGGATTCCGTACGCTGAATTGATTCGCCTTGACAAGCCGGCCGGAACCTACTATCTGTTCTTCCCATGTCTCTTCTCAACTCTCTTGGCTGCTCCGATGGCCGCCCCGATGGCGAGTCCTGGATCCGTCATTGGCACTTCCCTGTTGTTCTTCTCGGGCGCTCTGATAATGCGGAGTGCAGGGTGCTCAATCAACGACCTCTGGGACAGAAACCTAGATCCCCATGTCACCAGAACTCGCCTAAGGCCGATCGCCCGCGGTGCCATCACACCATTCAAAGGCCTTGTATACACGGGAGGCCAACTCCTTGCTGGACTAGTCGTACTGCTTCAGTTTCCCCTCCCCTGCTTCTTTTATGCTGTTCCAAGCTTGCTCTTCGTCGCTAGCTATCCGCTTGCGAAGAGGGTCACCTATTACCCTCAGTTCGTTCTGGGACTGACGTTTTCGTGGGGCGCAATCATGGGATTTCCCGCTCTCGGAGTCGACCTGTTGACACACTCGTCAGCTTCGACTGCCGCTGGTTTTCTCTACGCCTCCAACGTTGCATGGACAGTGCTCTATGATATGATTTATGCCCACATGGATATCAAGGACGACGTCAAGGCAGGAATCAAGAGCATTGCACTGAAACACGATGCAGAAACCAAGCAAGTCCTGGCTGGACTTGCTGTTACTCAAGTAAGTCTCCTGGCGGCAGCGGGTGTGGCTGCTGGTGCTGGGCCAACGTTCTTCATTGGAAGTTGTGGAGGAGCCTTGGTCGCACTTGGGGTAATGATCAAGCGAGTCAACCTCAAGAATGTCAAGGATTGTTGGTGGTGGTTTATCAATGGTTGTTGGATCACTGGCGGCGTCATCAGTCTCGGAATGGCAGCCGACTATGGCGTCAAGTACATCCAAGAACCTGAGGAACGTAGCTAGTGGATCAGGTACCAGGACCATGTAAAATACTGTGCCATAAGTCATACATTGAGATTGGGGATTAGACCCCGGACTGTTCGTCACACGGCATGTACACATATTGGTGAAGACTTTTGATCTATTTTCCTCAGACCTCGTCTCCCATGATCAGAACCCTAACCTGTAATGCCGATGCAAGCAAGCCGATTTGACTCCTCGTGCCGAAATATGACTTCGTTTCCTTCCCAGAGCTCCGTTTTTAAGATCGGGGCTTCTCCTTCTTCTCCTTCCACAGAGCGAGCAGACCGACACCAGAGACCTTGACGACCTTGAATCGCACACCGGGAATATCACCCTTGGCCTTGCCCTTGCGACCGAAACCAGCCAGGAGGACCTCGTCGTTCTCGTCCACGAAGTTGAGGCAACCGTCATTGGGGACTGCAATCAATCGTTAGTATTTGGTCGTCAGTGCGTGGTCATTGGGGTTTCTCGTACCGAAAGCAGTGACCTTCTTGCCGTTCTTGATCAACTGGACTCGGACACACTTTCGGATGGCGGAGTTGGGCTGCTTGGCCTCGACACCGACCTTCTCGAGGACGATGCCCTTGGCGTGCGAGGAGCCACCGAAGGGAGAGGACTTAAAGGCAGTGCCCAGGGCACGCTTCTTGTAGGCAAGGTCGGCCCATTTCTGGTCCTTTCGGTTCGTTCGCAGCTTTCGCGCGGCGTTAAGACCACGGGGTTTGCCTCCAGCCATTTTTGCTATGTGTTGTTAGTTGGATGTCGAGGATCGTAGGCGGCCACAATGGGTTCGGCAGATGGAATGGGTTGAAGGAGCACCTACCGACTTATCTGTGTATCGCGACGACGGTTGGTGATGTGATTTAGCGGAGACGGCGAAAAGTTGGAAGTTCGGCCAACGAAAATTGTAGGTAGGGTTTGAAGGCCCTAGAGAGGGTGCTGGGCAAGTTGTGGGGGGAAACCACATGATGTGTCACGTGCATCATCGAACCACCACACATGGCTCCACCATACTCTTAGCGTTGGTTTAGCGGGTTCCACCGAGGCTTTGCTGGAGCTCATGGCATGTCCAATGAGGCGACGGTAGGAAGCTCCTGAGTTCAACAGTATTCCGGTCATCTACATCATCGTGGAAGACGAACAGTTCACCATGTCTCAAAATCCTCGACCACAAAGCATGCAGCGTGATCCACCTCCCGCCCTGTTTCTCCATCCATCGCCAAATGTGTCCAATATCTCACTTCCCGGTGTCCCAGCATCAGGGGCTGTGTTCCCAGGTCATTCAAGCTTGAACCGCACCAACCTCGAACGCACCCCCTCAAACCGGTCCGGCACCGTCGTGTCCCCTCATATGCAGCGACCAGGCCGTAGGTTCCTTGCGGAGGAGAGCACGCGCAGTGCTGACAGGACGGATGCCCTGTGGGCGGAAATGCAAGCAACTCTGGAAGAGGTGGAGTTGTCGGCCTCTGGTGGAACTCACGTATTTGGCGCGGAACATGATCGCAAGTTGGCGGATCTACGAGCTGCCCAAATTGCATTGGCTCAAGCCTGGGCCAGGAGCGAGGCTGACGAGGCTATCGAGACTGGACACCGGGACCTCGGTACTTCCGCCGCCGGTGACGAAGTTCGCAACTTGAAAGGCGCTTTGGGAGATACATCAAAGTCTGGCGTTGCCGAAGGGACTGAAGCTGGGAAGAGCACGGCTGGTACCGGTAGTATCCCTCGCCCTGGGAGCAGTGGGACAGGTGTTGAGGGACTGGGCGCCAAACTGGAGGAGGAGACAGAAGTGGATATCCTCCTCGCTAGAAAGCGACGTGAAGCGAATGACCGATACTTTCAACGAGTCAACCAGGGAGTCATTGATGTCGTTACTAGGCTGGAGGATGTTGCGGTCGCTATGCGTGCCGTTGAGCAAGAAAGCAAGGATGTATGGAGCGACCACGATAGCATCGCAGGGATCGCCAGAGGATGAAAATTCCGGTTTAGGAAAACTTCTTATTTTCACATTCAGCTCGGCGTTTTGGGGCAAGTCTTCTTCCTATCTGGTTTAATAGAGCATTCGGGGTCTGTGTCCAGCCTCATGAATACCATGTTGTGTAGATAACACACAAGTTTCATATGGTTTCTAGATGGCAATGTAAATTATTTGAGTATCCCATGTTGGAAATACCATGACTTGGTAGGAGAATGTTCGATACACCTAAAACAGTTGGTGTCATGGTTAACGGCGAACCCACAGCATTCGATCCATCTCCAGGGTTCCTGGATCCGCTGTTATCCTGAGCTCCACTCGCCGACCTAGGCTTCCCAAGTTGAGCAACCACAGCTGGCTCAACGACTGGGCATGGATACCGCAGAAGGCGACCAAGCGGAACAAAAAGAAAGAGTGGGTGATTAGAGGATTGCGGCCATGGGGAGTCGAACCCCAATCTATCGCTAGCAATCCACTGTCAGATGGAAGGCGATAATGCTAACCGTTACACCATGGTCGCTGACTAATTGATGAAAGGTGAGGCTCTATCCGGGATGATCACATCTGGAAGACCAAAGTGACAAAGAGTGATAAATGCCAAATCATTCCAACGGCGAGAATCATAGGATGGGAAGGTGTTCAAGAAATGCGTACTAGCAAACGTCAGTGTATCCCTCTTTTTCACACTAAGAAGGTTTCTTAAAAACTCCAGTTAAAATAAATATACTAGTTATTAAGCTAAGAAAAAGTTGTCTATTCTAAGAAAGCTTGTATAGTATCGGAGGCGGAACACAAATATATATCAGAAGTTACAAAAGGATATAGATCTAAGCGGGAATACACAAAAATAATAGAAGCTACTAACTACCTCAGGTTCACAAAAAATCATTGCTCGAGATCACTAGAGGATAACACAAAGAAATTTGGAACGCAGACCGACCAATAAGAAGAACAATCTCGCCACGCAAAAAGGAAATCTGGCATTCTGTCGCAATGCGACCATCGGGAGTCGAACCCGAATCTATCGCTAACAATCCACGGTAAGATGGAAGGCGATAATGCTAACCGTTACACCATGGCCGCTTATTCCTGTGTATGGGTTTCCTGCTCAAATGTGACACTAGATACTCTTGGGCGCTTATACAGCCCCCATTACTCCACAGTCTTTCCGAAATATTCCCCGCATTCAGCTTCCGTGTTGTCAAATTAACAAGGGAGGAGGAACCAAGGTAGTGGGTACGTCCCGCACAACCAGATCCATCGCATCTATCCGCATTTATTAGGTTGGAATGCGAGGCGTATGCTCTCGGCGAGACCGCACTGAAAGGTTGCACGCACTTTGGTTCATGGGTGGTGCCACAACTGGTGAAGGACTTCAGGCACCCGTTTAACTTAATGCGTTAGTCCCTTCATGGTTGGGAGGTGTGCCTGAAATGGAGCGGTTATTCCTCGGGTGCCTCGGTTTCCGCGTGACAATGCGTCCAGTGGACAGACCCGTGCCTTCGCTTCCGCCGCCCAGTGCCCGTTGCCAGCCTTTACCTGATCGCATGCGACCTTGACTCAGGCTCCCTCAACTTGCGTTCCCCAACGACGTCCCTATAACATACCACCGATTCGCTCCGTAATCCAACACCCATCCAACTCGCTTCACCGACAATCAACACGACAATCATCGGAACCATCGCCTACTGCAGCCACCCTTGTTGTCAGACCCCTTTGATCACCATGAAGCCCTTCACCATCCTCGCCGCGACTCTCGCCATCCTCCCCGGCGCTCTTGCCGTTGACCAAAAGAAGTCGGTTATCGTCTGGTTTGAGGACGAATCTACACCTGACTCCGCCATCAACGACGCTAAGCAGTCCATCCTCGATGCCGGTGGCAAGATTACCCACATCTACACCCTCATCAAGTACGCCCGTCGCTCCCAAAGGATATGGCATCTGCCATGAATAGTTTGCTGACGACTTTCAGGGGATTCGCTGCCATCTCCACGGAGAAGGCGCTAGAGCAGGTTCAGACCTGGGGCAACAAGTACGAAGTCCACATTGAGGATGACGAGGTCGTCTCTACGGACTGATGTCACGGAGACATGAACAAACGAACCGGCGATTATTTCGAATTTGATGGAGCGCGGCCTGGGAATTGACAACTGCCACTTTGGCGGCCAGAACTGTTCGGCGTTTAGAGACAAGTTCCTCAACAGGGAGCGAAAGAAGAGGAAACACTCGTTGACAGAGCATGGGCTTGTTTGGACTCAGAAGGAGCAGTGCCGCACGGGCTGGATCGGTCGCGGAATCATTGCGTTGTGTACATATCTCATTCTGCATTCGTAGAGAGTCAAAACTTGAGACCCTACACTATCCGCTACCAATATTCTCGTGACGATGTACAAGGTTTATGGCTTGCCAGATCTCCAACTTGTTTCAGACAGCGTTGTGGCTCTTAGGTAAAGACATACATCGGCTGCATGAATCCTCCGAAGGGGGATGAGTCCTTTATTGTGGTCTCCTGGCCGAAGCGGGTGCATGAGACTGCCTCCCAGGCCTGGGCGCAATGTGAAGCAGCAGGTTTGGGGAACCGGTGATGTCACCAGTCGGTTTACCAGCGGTCAACCCGCGAGGTTCTTCAGTGCCTCCGGCTTTTCTCTCGAGCCAAAGCCAAAGAACTCGACAGGATAGAACTCTTCCAACTGTCTCGCTTTAGTGCATGACTCGGTTCGAGTGTTCCGTCAAGTGTATTCAGGACTTTGGGAACGTTCTTTGCAGAACATGCATGGAAGCAAGGAACAAAAGGCCAGCCCGGCACTAGCGCAGTCTTAAGGTGGCTGCATTGCCTTTTGTGACTGTCGATTGGTGCATCGAGGCGTACGCATCAAATTGGGGGTGTTGACTAACTTAGGTGTTGACTAGGTGTGCCTCATTTGCTTCTTCGGAGACGCTGCGGAATAGAGTCAAGGATATGCACAGATGTCGAAACACGTCGTGAGCGAGAAAGTGTCTGAATGTGCTGGCTATGTCATGCGCACCCCAGCCTACAAGACAGTGGAGGTCGGTCAGCGCGCATCGAGAGCCCACCCGGGCACCCTAGATTCGCCGTCAGTGGGGTCGCTCTGCAGCGGCAGCTCACTATCAATGCATTCCGTCCTCCGTAGACTCCGCTGCAATTGCCCCCTGGCTCACTACATGTGGCCCCTGTGCCCTGTGCTCAGGGCGCCGGGCGGAATCGATAAGCCCAAGCTCACCCCCTCAAGGGACTACGTTCTGATGTTCAGAAGAATGTCCGCTGCGGCTTTCAACTTGTGATTCAGAACGCTCGAACAACCACCAACCCGCCCCAGGATGGAAACACGGCCAGCTCCATCGACATTACCCTGACGCTTCCCTATAAATCACAACCCGCCGGACTCTGCCCGCTCGCTATGCCGTTGCCATCCTCCACTTATTCCCCTGTACTCGACACGCGACGCGACCCCCTACACTATCACCGCCCTTCGCCAACTGCGACCACATCGACGACTGCTACGTGCTGATTGTTCCAAGCTCCAACACCATCATCATCATCAACCTGCACAATGCCGACCTACAGTCCCAGCGCGCAGGCCGCGCTGCTCAGAGCTGTCAGTATCTTCCCCTCGCCCGATAAACCCCCGTCTCTCTGTCTGTTACCGAGTCCTGACTCTTTCCAGTCCAACCGAGTCTTTGAGCCCAAGACCACCGCCGACTCCCTTGCCGAACTTGCCGATGGAATCGTCCTCGGGCATATCCTCCACGAGCTCGATCCGGAGTTTAATCCTTCCGAGCTCGATCAAAGCCCCAGCACAACCAGATACCTCACCAACAAGAGAAATATCCAAATGGTCTACAAGGGCCTCTTCAGGTTCATCCGACGCCAGGTTCCTGAGCTTGGGTGCCAGGCCAAGAAGTTCGACTATCATGGCATTGCCGAAAATCCCGAGCCCCAGGGCATCAGCCAGGTATGTCTACCTGTCCACATCCGACCACGATATCCATTGCTAACAGGATACGCACTCCAGTTGCTAGCAGTCATGCTCTCCGCTGCTGCCATGGGCCCTGATAATCAGAGATTTGTTCCCCGAATCCAGAATGGTCTTGACAAGCAGACGCAGGCAGAAATTATGCAGATCATCCGAACCATGCAACTAGATATCAACAATTCCAGGGGCGACGATGATCTCGACGAGGCCATTGACGCTGTCATGGAGGCCCGGGACATTGATCTCCTCGTCGAGGAGCAGAATGCGGCATTGAGGCAACAACTAGATCTGACCAAGAAGAATCTCTCAGACTACATCACCCGACTCGAATACCTACAACAAAGCCACGAAGAGCTCAAGTACGAAAAGGAAAAGAACGACCGCGAGCTCGAGGTCTTGCGAAAGGCAACCCAAGATGGCGCCAACAGCGCCGAGTCGATCAAGGTCCTCGAAGCCCAGGTCCATGAGCAGATGGAGATCATCGCGCGGAACGAGGAGCTGATTCGTAAATACGAAAGAAACTTGGCGCACCTCGAAAGCGAGGTTCAAAGGCTAACCCAGAAGAGTATCGAAGCTGACGAGCTCCGCGACCAAGTGATGGAGTGGAAACACAAGTCTGAGGAGTTGGAGAAGAAGGCCAACACCGCAGAGCGATACAAGCAGAAGCTAGAGTCCCAACAGCACCTTGTCAGGGAAGTCCAGAATCTGCAGTACGAAAAGGCCGAGCTGCAAGACCAGCTCAGATCTCTCACAAGTGACCATGAACGAAGCGATCGCACTAGGAAGGCTGAGGATGAACTGACCAAGATGATAACCCAGTCAGAGCAGCATCTGTGGGACGAGCGCCACCAAAAGACGCAGCTGATGAAGGACATGACAGCCCTAGAGGAGGAGGTAGTCCGCCTTCGGGCTCGCCAAAGTCACGATGAGAACTTCATCAAGGATCTCCAAGAGCAACTGCAGAACAACTCTGGACCTCAAGGTGGAATTCCGGGCGACTCAGGTGCAGCCTTCAACCTAGAGGACGAGTTGAACAGCGCAGCCGAGGATGGCCAGGTTAACCTCCCTTTGGAGCTATCCCGCCTCAAGGCCGAAAACGCTCTGTTGCGCAGCACCGTCGGTTCCACCGGTGACACCATGACGCTTCGAAAAGAGCTAGACGAGGAAAAGCGCCAACGTGCACACCTGCAACAAAGTTTCAACGATGTATTCGAAAAGCATGCTGTTGCACAGGACCAAATCGAAGCCTTGATCAAGAATATGACCAACGAAGGGTTAGTCAGAGCTCTCGAAGAGTCTGCGGGGACAAATATACTCACTGGCGAATACTACAGGACACAAGCCTTCGTTAACCTTCGGACCCAGTGTATGCAATCCAACTTCGAGCTCGAGCAATGCAGGAAGCAAGTAAAGGACCTTGAGGCTCAGGTGGCCGATCAAGGTCGGGAACTCCTCGATGCTAGGACACAGCTATCTGCTCTCGGAAAGGATAGTATTGAGGCACTAAATGAGCTTAAGAACACTGATAGGTTGATTCGTGAGTCGCTCAAGGCTGAGCTGGATCGTGTCCGCCAAGAATTAGGCTACTCCGGTGCTGAGCGAGATGCCCGAGAAACCCAGCTTGTCGAGGCTCTCCTAGAGAAGGACAAGCTTCGAAAGGCAGTTGAGGAGAGCAAGGAACTTCAAGACGCCACTCCTTCTGACGCGGATAATTCCGAGGCTGGCAAAAAGAACGCTGAGAAGGTCGAGAAACTCCGCGCTCGTCTCATCGAAATTCGCAAGGTGTGTTCCAGTCTCCTCGATGCTGTGATAAAAGGAGGCGACGACTGTGAAGATTTGATGGAAGGAGATGGCGACTTCGACCAAGCGGCCGGGAGTGGTGATGAGGGACGAGGCGTCCAAGTCAACAGTTCAGAAACCAGCGCCAAAGTTGGCGAGACGGATGATGACGACTTGGAGTTCTTCTGCTCCAAGCCGACCAAGAGGCGACGTCTAAATGAGACGCCGCTTAAACACAGCAAGCCCCAGGACCTGGGTCAACCCACGGAGCTCCAAGGTCCCAAGCGCGCAGTGCTTAGAGGAACTCCACCTCATTTCGAGACCTAGTTCTCAAATAGGATGCTCGTTTCTTGATAGTCCGAGGTGGTTGCTAACCTTTGGATACTCCAGCAACTCGAGACATCCGAACAAGACAAGATTGATTTACAACGCAAACTCAAAGCTGCTCATGATGGAGAAGCGGCAGCAGCGCAGAAGGTACATTTTATTTGTTTTTCCCTCGCTCGCTACTTTCGCCATTGCGATGCTGCAATCAATATCATGAGCAGGAATCATATCCGCATATACACATCCCCGCCCCCCTTCTCATTCCTCGTTAATGGTAACTAACTGTAAAACAAAGGCTGCGAGCGACCAAATCATCCGAAACCTCGAGAGAGAAAACGGTCTCATCGCAACGGCATGGTATGATCTCACGAGCCGACTCCAGAGCAACCACGTCGTCCTCCAGAGGCGGCACGACGCTCCGAGGAGTTGGCTCAATAAACAGAGGCAGATGGTCAATGGTCAGTTGCGCCACCGCAACTCGCTCTACCTCTACTGACGTCCCTCGCCAGCCACCCCGCGGCGATAGGAACTCGTGGGGTGAAACCCCCCGCCGATCAAGATGGGCTTGACCTATGCTCCTCGCTCGGCGAGCATCGAAATGTCCCGGGGGGCTTCAGGCTCGAAGCCGGAGCCTCAAGTCAACAACAATCCCTCCGTAACCAGCAATATGCCTGCCTGCGGCCGGTGACCTTATTACATGATGCTCTGCCATCTTCCATTTTCTTTTTATAATCCCTTTTTGAGCTGGGTGTCAGGGCCAACCTCGGAGGCACCGCGTTACCTAGCTCTGCTCTTTTTTTTCCATTATTCTGTTTTGCACGCATTGCGAGGGAGCTTGGGGAGTTTCGTTTCAAGGGCATCGCTAGAATGGGTGACGGAAGATATGTCGCCATGGAAAGGAGGGAAACTGCATTCCTGGAGATCGGATGAACGGGCTTTGCGGGTGCATCAATATATACCCTACGTTTCGTAATTATTTTTCGCGGGCATCCAGTGATTGATCGAATTCAATCAATAGTGTCCCGCGAATTGTCTGTCTCAGTGATTGTGAAAATGAGTTTGCATGTGAAAAATCTGACGATTTGGTTACATGACCCGCGTCAGGATGGAGGTATGAGAATGGGTGAAAAATAAAAGCTCGGCGCTTTGGATGGCCACTTTTTAAACTAGGTAGTAGAACAGCGATACAAACAAGCGTCGTCGTGTAGCTTTTTCTTACACAGGACCCCATGACCACATGGAAACCTCTACCGTAACGCCCCATGGCCTGGAGGACTCTCCTTCATGCCAGTCATACCATTCATATCCAAGACGCTGCAGGTCTTGTTAGCGACCTGGTCCCGTAGCCCGTAGCCCGTAGCTCCCGGTCCTTAGTTCTTGGTGAGAATGTTCAACATATTCTTCCACACCTGGCCAGGCTCCTGGCTGGCGTCGATACCAGTCCAGATGTTGTGCTTCTTGTAGTAATCCACAACAGGGGACGTCTGCTTGTGGTAGGTGACAAGGCGCTTCTTGAGGGCCTCGGCGTTGTCGTCGCTTCGCTGGATGAGGGGCTCGCCAGTGATGTCATCCTTCATATGCTGCTTGGGGGGGTTGAAGGTGGTGTGGTATGAGCGGCCGGAGGCGGGGTGGACCAGGCGGCCAGTAATTCGGGCGACGAGGAGGGAATCGTCGATCTCAAGCTGGACAGCATGCTGGAGCTTCTGGTTTCGCTCTTGGAGCATGGCGTCGAGGCCCTCGGCCTGAGGGACGGTTCGGGGGAAACCATCCAGAATGAAACTGCAGGGCGCGAATAATCAGTATGCGGCGTTTTGGTTAAGACTCGGCTTCCGGGGAAACTGTAGGGGAAAACAATAGACCTACCCGCCCTGGCACTCCTGGTTGTTGGTGAGCTCCTCCTTGATCATGCCGATGACGATCTCGTCGCTGACCAGGCCACCCTGGTCCATGATCTTCTTGGCCTCAACACCGAGGGGGGTCTTCTTGGCGACCTGCGAGCGCAGCATGTCACCGGTGGCCTGCGCATTGGGGAATTCTCGTTAGAGGCACGGCTTCGCAATTGGGTGGTGCGTGCGACACGGATTGACATACCAGATGGCAGCAGGAAAAGCGCTCCTTGATCTTGGGAGCCTGAGTTCCCTTGCCTGCGAAAAGGCGTGGTCAGCAACTACGAACGCCCACAAGACGGCGAGAAACTAGAGCGGAATACGAACCAGCGCCAGGAGGGCCGATGAGGATCATGCGAATGTCCTCGGTGGTGGCGGCAGAGCCGGTGGCTCGCGACTCGAGCTTCTTGATGCGCGCATCGAGGTTGCCCAAGACACCCTTGAGCTGCTTCAGTTCATCCTCAACGAAACCCATGGTTGCGGCGGCGGCGGCGAGGCGGGAGCGAGAATTGCGAGGCGAGGCGGTGGCAATTGGAGGGGGGATGGCGGAGGAAGTGAGGATGGGGAGGCGGCGGCGCAGGTGGTGGTGAGAGGGAAAGCTGAGCGAGATACCAGGAGGAGGAAAAGAGAGGGCAAAGTCGAGACGGGCGAGACAGGAAATCTTGGTGCGTAGCCGGAGGATGGGAGGTTTTTGGGGGGAGCTTCGGCGGTTGGTGATTGGCTCGGCGCAATCGTTCCCAGGGATCACGATAGGGCCACGGCACGGGACAGCTATGGACACGCCGCATCTCAGGTCTGAGCGTCTTTGCACTTTAGAGCGCGGCTTTTTTTCCGGCTTCTGTCTTCGTATCCGTCGGAATAGTTGCACCTGTCGTCTCCAGTAGGTAGCAGGAAGCGATAAATTGTATTTTATTTAGGTATTAATTAGTTCTAGTACCGACTATATTGATGATGGTGGCGTGGCTAGAGCATTGTGCCCTGTTCTTGCAAGGCCTGACCTGCTCCGTGTTCTTTGCGCTCCGTGCTGGTGCTACGTCGATCCAGCAAGCATACCTCACTCATTGATTTACATGACAAGAGTAGTAGTAAAGGAACCTTTGATCCCAACACTTTAAGTAATGAACAAATCCGAATACCTGGATTTGATTACGAGTCCCAGAAGTACACCATTGAATTTGACCCATGGAGACGCTCGTTCCACCTGGCTTTCCTTTTTCCCAACTACCGACGGTTCCAGGGTAAGCAGATCTTCCCGGAGCACGACCGATCAAGCAATAGTTCGGGACACAGATGTCCAGCATTGGCAGCCGGCAATAGACCTGGTCAGGGCCAATAGAGGCCGTTTGTGCAATCGCATCCTCGAGCATGTTCATATCAAACGTGCGGTCATCAGGGCCGAGGCTGGTTGTAAGGAAGCATCGAGCGAGTGCCCAGGTCCCTTGATCCGAATGTCGCAACGCCGGCCGTTGTCTGCGGCCAGAACGCAGCAATGCCGACACTCGTTCGGTCGGCATCGCGCAAAGGGGTGCGGGAGCGGACCGAAGACAGGTGTGCCCATAGCCGGCTGGATTTCAATTCGCTCCGTTTAGCCTCCATCTTTCCGCCTCTTAAGACTCGTGTACCGTACTCGCTGCGGTCTGCAGCCAGCCATGGCATCTCTTCCCCTGGCGTCCGGCGCCGAGGTCCAAGGTGTGGATTCGGGCCCAAAAACAGAACATCCGCGCCTTAGCACAATGCACTATCGGTATCGAGAAACGGAAATGCTCCCAACTTTGCCTCCTTCGGACCCGGTTTTCGAGTCGGAGTGTACATGTTGGGAATACCGCCGGCTTGCCTTTTGGCACAAGATCGCCTTTCCACTCCTTCGGAAGTAATTAAGTGCATTCTTGAATCCAACTCCAGCCGCATTCTAGCATGTGTCTCTGTGTCTCTCTCACCGAACAATGATGTCAGCTGAATACCTAAACTGGGAGACAAGAAGCCACACCGCTTCCCACCTGCCGAACTGAACCAGCCACTCACTCAGTGGGGGTTCGCTTGGTTGTCATCTATTGTTGTGGCGTGTGGCTGAGGACCTGGAAGTTGTGGCTAGGCATTCAATCCACGTGACTGCATTTCTACGAGGCTCCAGCGCTTGTGCCCGCCAGCCTGACCCAATCGGGAGCTAAGCTCCAAGACGAAGGCAGCCTCAAGTGTACGTACGTGCAACCACACATCATCCACCACGACGACAAATTCCCATTTTCGCCCTCTTCTTCGCCGCTCTCGCATGAAATCAATCGCACTCCCCTCAGAAGATACGCCGACGCTGTGACCCCCCCACTGCAACGACTCTACGATGCCTACCACGACCGCAGAAACCCTCTCCCTCCTCACCCGAAACGTCACCGTTGCGCCTCTCGTCCTCCTCTCCGCCGTCGACCATTACAACCGCACTGTCTCTACCAAGACAAAGCGGCGAGTAGTCGGTGTTCTCCTTGGCCAGAACGATGGAAAGAACGTGAGAGTATCTAACAGCTTTGCTGGTGCGTTACCTGATGCTCTCGAGAAACCGCCGCCAGGTCGGGCGCTTACAAACATATCATAGTTCCCTTCGAGGAGGATGACAAGGACCCCTCAGTGTGGTTCCTCGACCACAACTACGTCGAGTCCATGAACGACATGTTCAAGAAAGTCAACGCCCGGGAGAAGTTGATAGGATGGTACCACACCGGCCCCAAGCTGCGTGCTTCCGATCTGGAGATCAACGAACTCTTCAAGCGATATACCCCCAACCCTCTTCTCGTCATCATTGACGTTCAACCAAAGGAGTCTGGCGTTCCCACTGACGCTTACTTTGCTGTCGAGGAGATCAAGGATGTGAGTTGCGCCGTGCCCATTTCGAAAAGGGCACATTAAATAGCTAACGCGACCGAACAGGATGGCACGACAACGTCGCGAACTTTTGTACACACCCCGTCGATTATCGAGGCCGAGGAAGCAGAAGAGATTGGTGTTGAGCACCTGCTAAGAGACATCCGCGATGTGGCCGCGGGAACACTGTCTACCCGAATCACCAACCAGCTCCAGTCACTCCAGGGCCTACACCTGCGCCTGCGAGACATTGGTGCTTACCTTCAAAAAGTCCTCGACGGCCAGCTACCCGTCAACCACGCCATCCTTGGAAATCTGCAGGATGTCTTCAACCTGCTCCCCAACCTGTCAACTCCTGAAGGAGACGGCAAGTCTGGCGCTGGCGAGCTATCCAATGCCATGAGCATCAAGACCAACGATCAGCTCATGACCATCTACCTGAGCAGTCTGATACGCGCTATCACGGCCTTCCACGATTTGATCGAGAACAAAATCCAGAACCGACAACAGCAAGAGGAGAAGGAGGGCAAGAAGGACGACGCCAAGGCCGACAAGAAGGACGGCGCCAATGGTGTGAATGGCGAGGCCAAGGAGGGTGACAAGGATAAGGACGGCAAGGATGGCAAGGAGAGCAAGAAATAGGTCAACAGACCCGGTAGAGGAACGTAGACTTGATCGCGGAGGTTCTCGGCGTCTGGAGGATGCAATCAGGGCGGCATGGTTGCCGGAGAGGGAGGGCAAAAGCCTTTGTACATTGAGCATATCATGTCGGATTACTAGATGAGGTCGCGGGGATAATACATGCCAGCCACCGCCTTGACGTCCATCTCACAACGCATCCAGTGCCTCGTTACATTTCCGCAGCGATGCCCGCCATGTCTTCCCTCGAGGTATCCCGGTCCTCAACGTACTGTCCTAGCATGCTCGGCCACTTTTCAACCAGTAGACACGCGAGGAGATGCTTACAGCATGGCACATCGCCAGCGGATACACTCAGCCCGTCTCGGCTCGCTCCGCCAAACGACCACCGCCCCGAAAGCTGCGACGCGTCCTCCTGTTCTGAAGCTGGTCCTGGATGGCTCGGGAAGGCGTCAAACGCGAAGCTCGCGCAGGAGCAGTTCCACACGCCGAGGTGGACGCTGTAACGCTGCGACGAGAGGGCGACATCGCGATTCCGGCGCGTCAGCGTCGTGGCTAGTGACCGCACGAGGAAAATGCCATCGCTTGATCCTCCAGCGGCGGCGTCCTTGGCCCCGTCTACAGATCCATCCTGTTCGGCGTCATTGCCCAAGGCGCCCGCCTCCGCACGACGCAGCCGCGTGACGAGCCCGCGGTCAAGAAGGTCGAGCGCCGGGAGGAGGAGGCTTGGGAAAAGCACGTGCAGGGTCAGCAGCAGGGGGCGCTGGGCCTGCGCGATGGCTTGCAGGGGCGACGGAGTAGTCGAGGATGGAGGGGCTGGTGGTGACAATGCGGCGTCGGCGGGCGGAGCGATGTCGGAGACGGAATTGATAAGAGTTGTTAGGAACTGGCGATGGGAGGGGAGACTCTCCATTGCCGGCAGCTTGGGCCGGGTGTCATTGTGTTTGTAGATGGAGGAGTGAAGAGAAGAGGTTTGGTTCTTTTGACGATACCGGAGTGGGCATTGGATGTTGATGACTTCACGGTCCACTCCAGTTCATGACTTGCTAATCCCCTCTTCAGCCTCCAGCACCACCGACATAACAAACCATTGGTGGATATAACGGTATTTTATTTTATTTTACTATCCTTCGTGCCGCCCGCTTTCTTGTGTGATTTTTATTTATACAGCCCTGGCATCCATCTATTATACCACATCATATTTTACACTCCATCTGATATCGTGACCTTGGACTTCATGCGTGGGCAGTACAACATTAGCCCAAATATTCGCTTACACCCATTCCTTGGGGTCCCTCAGCACTTCCACGAGACGCTGCTCGCGGCTCTTGGGTTCGGGCTCGTGCATGTACTTCCAGCTCGCCGTCAGGGGCAGGCTCATGAGGATGCTCTCGACGCGAGATCCGGGTGTGTTGAGACCAAAGGCGGTACCACGGTCGTGGACCAAGTTGAACTCGACGTACTTGCCGCGGCGGATCTGCTGCCAGTCCTTCTCCTCCTCAGTGTAAGGCATGTTCTTGCGCTTCTCGAGAATGGGGATGTATGAGGGCAGGAAGGATTTGAGGCAGTCCTGGATGAAGGCAAAGGTGTTCTCCTGATCGCGCTCGCTCTCGTCGAGGTCATCAAAGAAGATGCCGCCGATGCCACGGCACTCACCTCGGTGCTTGTTGTAGAAGTACTCATCGCACCACTTCTTGAATCGAGGGTAGTACTCCTTGTCGTGAGAGTCGCAGGCATCCTTGAGAGTCTTGTGGAAGTGAATGGCATCTTCGTCAAAGAGGTAGGACGGGGTCAGATCGCTGCCGCCGCCGAACCACCAGGCCTGCGATGTGCCGTCGGGGTTGGCCGTCTCAAAGTATCGGTAGTTGAGGTGGACGGTGGGGGCCATGGGATTGTAAGGGTGGAGCACCATGCTCAGACCAGCGGCGAAGAAGTCGAGAGACTCGACATTGGGGTCGAGGGTCTTGTGGTTGGCACGCATCTTCTCAATGGCAGGCTTGGGTAGGGAGCCGTAGACAACGCTGACACCGACACCAGCCTTCTCGAAGACCTTGCCCTCCTGGAGGACGCAGGTAATGCCGCCGCCGCCATTGGGGCGCTCCCACTCATCCTTGCGGAACTTCATGCCATCGGCTTGCTCGAGGCCCTCAACGATCAACTTCTGTTGCTCCTTGATAAACTTCTCCATGCGGAGACGCATGGGCGACTCGGTGCCGACACCGGACTCTCGCTTCTTCTGGGCATCTCGGTCGGCGAGACTGGCCGCGTCGAGGGCAATGGTGTCATTTTCAGCCTGAATGGAAGATCCGTGAGCAGTTGGCCTTTATCCAACTCGGAGAAGGTAAAGAGAGCTCTGGCGGGGGCGAACAGAGCTTGTAAGGAGTCATACCATCTTGTAGGCCAGAGGGGCTGCGACGGCTACGGCAGCCGCGGCAAGCCACACAGGGAGAGGGTTGAAGGGCGGAGCGCTCTTGGAGGAGCCGGAAGTGGTCGAACTCGACAACCAGCGCCTGTAAGACTTCAATTGGGTCTGGGAGAGGCGTGTAAGGCGTGTAGAGGGAGACCCGAGATGCGCGGTAAGGCGCTGGGCATACCGGCTGGCAGCCATTGCGACTAAATATCTGGGACGAGGACCGGCCGGACCAGGGAGTATAGGCCGAGAGGCACAGGAACTGACTGATCGTCGCAAGGTGGTGCTATGCGACGTGCATGAGGCCACTTGCGCAACCAGTTGGGGAGCGGTCAGGGCCGAATTGACTCGTGTGATGGTCAGAATCGAATGTTCAGCAATTGGCTTTCCTGGCGCGGCACTTGGGACTGGGGATTCTGGACCGCGCTGTCCTTGGCTGGGATGTCGGGCTTGCGGTGCTCGGACAAATCGGCTGACGTCGGTCGTCGGTACATGGTACCTGGTACGTACCTCCCGGCTCTTGATGTCGTCCTCGGATTTTCTTTCTTTTGGTCAGCCGATTGTCCATGTGATACTTCTCGTGACCTTTCCCGTGACCTTTCCCATAACATTTCCCGTGACACTTCCCATGACTAACACTGCCGCCTTCGGGACACGGAGAGACAGATATTGCGAGGACAGTGTGAAAGCCATGATAAAACTGTGAGGGGGCCGTCCTCGGTGACGCGCTTGGACAGGGGCTTGATGCGTGTGCAGGCAAGCTATCCATCACTGCCCTTCCTCACAGGCTGGTATGCTACTTGCCCCTGCCATGTAAGCAAGCAAGCACGCAAGAGCCAGAGGAAACAGGCGAGGAGGCGGGATGGCTTGTAGTGGATGCTTCCAGAGAGCACGAGCACGTTCTGCACTTTGCCGAGTATGCAGAGGTTCACAAAGCCAACGTGTGTCACCTCCCATCGGACCAGCCCTGCTGACTGACTGGCTGCCTGCCCGCTGAGTCACTTGGATGAGAGGAGCTAGGGACCCGGCATCTAGTTGTTCGCCTGTCCACCTAGCTACGATGCCGCACATAGCTCATGTAGGTACCAGCTGAAGGATGGAACAGCCCGACCTTCCTCTCGTCGCAGAGGAGGGCAGACCCGTCGGCTTGATGCAGTTCACGGTCACGGGCCCTTGGAATGATACAGTGCGACGCCTGACTTGCTGCGACTTCCCCGCCATAATCACCTGGCTGGCCTGCAGCTGGCCCTGAGCGCCTCTTGTGATTCATTGCACAGGGCGACGCTAGTTCATATAAAGGCTAGCGCAACAGCCCCGCGCCTGCCTGCCCTGCCACTGTCTCGTCTGCCTGCTGCTCACAGTGCCTCCAGCGCCCTCCGCCTCCGCTGCCTCCGCCCACTGTCCGCCCGCCACTCGTAGGCAGGTGCCTCCCTCGCCGACCGCTCATCTGTGCCGTCCGGGTGCCACCTTCTGACTGTTCCGGCCATTCTCCTGCTCCTGACGCAAACTGATCGCAACCTAATCCGTTTCTCATCTTCCATCTCCATTTCCATCTCCATCTCCGCAAACCATTTCTCCCAAAACATCCCCAAAGTAACATCCACAAACTCCCTCTCTCGAGTCCTCGCATCCCGTATCTTGCCTTCGCTCCTATCGGTAATCACACCTCCCACCGCCACTATGCGCAGCAAGTTCAAGGACGAGCACCCCTTCGAGAAGCGCAAGGCCGAGGCCGAACGTATCCGACAGAAGTATGCGGACCGCATTCCTGTGAGTATTTTTCTCTCGCCTTCATTTCCTCTCAGCTCGTCCATCGTCTCTGCGTCGCGAGGGCGGGCAAGCAGTCAGCAACCAGCAAACGCAGCGAGCGAGAGGTACCTTGGCGGGGTGACCGCCTTACTCTCTCGCCATGCTGCCAGCCTTCTTGCCCACCAACCTCAGCCAAACGGGCTTCCTGCTAACAATGATGTTTCAATAGGTCATCTGCGAGAAGGTCGAGAAGAGCGACATTGCCACGATCGACAAGAAGAAGTACCTGGTTCCCGCCGACCTGACTGTCGGTCAGTTCGTCTACGTCATCCGCAAGCGAATTAAGCTCTCCCCCGAGAAGGCCATCTTCATCTTCGTCGACGAGGTCCTCCCCCCGACCGCCGCCCTCATGAGCAGCATCTATGAGGAGCACAAGGACGAGGATGGGTACGTTGCTCCCTCCGCACCATCGAGGCTCGAATCACATTGCTAACTGGTTTCACAGCTTCCTCTACATCACCTACTCCGGCGAGAACACCTTCGGTACCGCTTGAGTGATGTGTATTTGATCAGTCATCCATTCCATGTTGCGAATGATGCGGGCGTTATGGTCGTACGTGGGGGAATCTATTTGTTGGAGGGCACTGGCACTTTTTGATGTTACGGTAATTTCGAACCGTGAGGCTTTGGAATGGAATAGAATCTTGCACTATCGTCTGCGATAGGCAAGCTCCATTCTTGGCTTGTCTGGAACTGGACCTGGGTGCGCCTCTGCGTGCGTGATAAAGGATCGTTGCCAGGCGAAGAAGCTTCATTGGATCTTACGTGAGAAGACTTGGTTCTGGTGATTTTAGTGACGGTTTCCCTAGAATGCACCTTTTTCAAACTTGACGATTCATCGCGTTTCATCTCGCAGATGCAAATCATTGGCTTTAACTCTGCCACAATGTCATGGATGGGTCAGGATCATAGTTCATTTTGGTTCAGAGGACGGGATGGCCAAAGTGAACGGTCTATCGACTTATCGAATGAAGCACAATAGCTATGTTACCCTGCTATGCCCTGTTTTCCCGCACCCACCCTTCTTGGGATTTGGTAGGACCTGTAAAATTGGCCATGTGAGACGAAGGCGTTTGATACCGTTCCGTGAACTGATAACGGATATGTAGCCGCTATTTGCCAGATTGGATGCTATTCCCAGGCAGTTGCGAAAGTGACGATGCAGCCTTCTTAACACAGGACGGGCATCGCAACCTGAAAAGAGACTGTGCCTGTAGCGTTGTTGGAGGGACGTGAATCGTGGTAGATGGACAGAATCCTCCTCGGTACTGGTTGCATCGTACATTCTGTGTGAGGTAGAGGAAGATGTTCTTGCACATATGGGGGGGCAGGCAGCAGTGGGCGAGCGCCATAATTAGAACACACATGGTGAGTGTAGTAAGCTTTGGTAAGAAGTGTCGTGATTTGGTGAAATGTGGACGAGTGAGTGAGTGAGATATGATGGAAGGATGATTTAGGATCTCCCAAGCAGAGGGCTCTGAATAAATAGACGAGGGAAAGAAGGCATCGGGATTAGTTAGCTGTGAAATATGTTTGAGACTATGTTTGTCTTGAAGCGTTTGCTATACTCTGACTTGAGTTCTTTCAATCCACAACCGCGCATAAGTGAATGAGGGCTGAAGTCCAACCAGTTCAACAGGCAGGATAGAAACATCCTGTCTAAACCGAGCACTTGTTGAAAGCCATAACAGCGTACCGGAAGCTTCCATTGGCGTATCCCCGTCTCATGGCCCGGAACGACTGCAGAAAGGCAATGCCATCGCGGCCTTGGGCGAAAGCGAACGCCCACAGTGAGGGGTTCTGTACGAGTGACCATGTAATGTCCCTAGGTTCTGTCAGCGTTTGACCTGATGGCGTCTAGGGCATCTGGGACTTGCCATGTTTTCCGGACTTCTTGGCTGATATCTTTCGGCTCCGCGAACACCTGGAGTCCGGCTTGGGTAGCTAAATCTACATATCCCCGTTGCGTACAAAGAGGAGGCAGAAGCATGCCATCTATGTTTGGTTAGTATGCATATTTGGGGGTAGTTATCAAAGCTCTTGCCTTCGATTGGTTTGATGTCGTTGACAAAAGTTGTCTCGTCTAGGTTCTCTGCCTTGAACCAGTCCGCCAGTACTAGTTTTCCTCCTGGGTTCAAGACCCTCTTTGCATTCTCAAAGAATAAGGGTTTGTTGGGAAAGTGACTCAGAGCCTCGCTGATCCAAACGGTGCCAAACGTGCCCTCTTGCCCTACAAAGAAGTCTGCCATCTTCTCTGCGTCTAGTTCAAGAAAACGGACCTTACCGGAGCCAAGTCGGATGAAGCCGTCGGCATCTGGGATTCCGGGAGCTTCGGCGGACGTCGACTCAGCGGCGTTCTGGCTCTCGCTTTCTGCGGCGGCCTTGGTGAGTCGGTTGGCAATTTCGACTTGCTTGGAAGATATGGTGATCCCAGTCACGGTGCATCCATGCTTGGAGGCGAGATACCGAGACGTGCCACCGACGCCACATCCAACATCAAGGACGACGCCGTTGGCAGGGCATTTCGAGACATCGAGGAGGAGTTGGATGAGGTTAGTTTGGGCCTCCTCCTTTGTGATAATCGCCTGGGACTCTTCGGTTGGCCAGTAGCCGTGGTGGATGTGCTCGCCCCTGATGACACAAGGAGATCGTCAGTCAGCAGGATGCTACAAACTACAGATTGATGTGCAAGGGTTTTATTGCTAAAGCGGGAAGAGTGTGATGCTTTGAATGTACGCACCACAGACTGAGGTAGTAGTCACTGGCAAGATCATAGTGGAGCTTGATTCTATCTTTGAGAGCCTGCATAGTTGAGTGGGCCATTCCAAGTGGAGTGTCATATTGCTTGGCTAGGTCGGTGGCCTGGTCCGCCGAGGCCATTGAAGCTGTAGCAGTCGTCATTGCGAGTGGTATTTGGACAGTATGAATGAGGCAAAAGGCAAATGTGCACAGCCTCCTTCGGTCTGGAATTGAGAGGAGGGGGTGGTCAGGGATTTCGACCCCCTTTCGAATGCCAATGTCGACTAGAAGAAGCGTGGTAAAGAGATGGTTGCGGTTGAAATGGCGGGGAACATGGAGGCGGGCTTACCCCGTGACGTCGCACCCAGCTACAGTTGGTTAGCAACGCGGTCATGTCCAATTAGGCTCATCTATAATGATGACTGCGATTCCTGTGAGATTACACCGTCAGGCCAAAAATGTAGGTAGTTATAGTGGTGACTTTAATGCATCTAAGTCGATATACCGCAATCTGACAGTTCCCGCCGCCTCCACCACCTCGACGGGCCGTCCCGAATGACGTCTTCACTGCTCTGTGTAATTCCTTCGTAAATAAAATTGACAAAGGCCATGTATCATATGAGAAGCCCTATGATTTCCTGAAGCAACTTCATTGAAACCCTCATCATCACCAGACCTACCACCCAGGGTAGATCATTACGCGATGAGGCCCCGCGACCATTGGACCACCCCAAGGACTTTGGCGATGAGCACTCGGAGGTGAGGTATTGGAACGCTGCAACTTGGCTTCATTGTGGGGTACTAATGAGAGCCATAGGTGACTGGTTTTGATCTTTCTCCAATTCAGCCCAGCTTGTAAGATTCCGATTCGGTTTGATGGATCACCACATTAAATGACACGCAAAGTGTCCCGACCAACGTCCGGTTCATCATCGACGACATTGACGAAGAATATAATTATTCCGAGCCTTTTGACTACATTCACAGTAGGATGATGAATTTAAGCATCCAGGACGGGACTGAATTTTCGCAAGAGGCCATGGATTACTGTGCAGCCGTCGTCGGGTGTACTAAAGTGGTGAGCAATCTCACCAGGCGACGGCTCCCTCACGGAGCAGCACGCGCTGTACAAATGGACCCGGCACCTCAAAGACGGCACCTCAAAGACGCCCCCGTCAAGCTCGGCCGGCCTTCACGGCCTTCGAAATCATGAGCGAGTGCATGGCCGACGTGGGCTTCACGGATATCGCGGACCGCTGATTCAAGTGGCCGACCAACCGCTGGCCTGGAACAACGAGAACAGCAGCGTGGCGCTCGAGTCGGTCAACCCGACGCCGTCCACGACGGCGCACGGTTGGACGCGTGAGGAGGTGGCGGTTGATGCTGGCGGATGGGAGGAAGAACCTAAACGACGCGGGCATCCACGCCTACTGGCACACGTATGCCGATATCCGACCTTGATTTGGGGGGTTCTGCGGGCTAATTCTCGTTGCCATTGTTCGATTTATGGGACGAAGCCGAGAGAGTGAGCATGGGCTTGGCTGCAATGATTCTGTTGCTAGGAGTCACAAGACGCAGATGATGGGACAAAAAACGACCGTCCCCTGAGGCATATGAGACCCTTTCCTTTGGTGTGGCACACCGCGACTAGGCTGTTTGTGGCTTGCGAGCGCAGCTGTACCCCAGAGAGCTATCCACCTTACGCACTATGGCGTTGATGAAGTAGCAATGACGTTTCGTTTGCTACGAGTTGGGGTGAACAACAGGTCCTTTACTTGAGGGCATATCCCAATATGCAGTACGGAGTACAGAGTCTGTATGGTTGAGAATTCTCCATGCCTCAGCCCGTCAATAACCCCACGTCTTTGTTCATCTGTAGTCCGTAACAGGCCATTCGCTCGACTCGTGCGCGCTACCCCAATGTCATTGTCATTCTACTAGTGGCGGGGAGATCCGTATCGTCTCAAGCGCGAAGCGAGAAGGCGACTTCGATTTGAGGAGGCGCCCCGTCACCAGCAGCCTGGTTCTTGGTGCCTCTGGGCTTGGATTTGATCTAGACGAGTATTTGTATCCGTACACTGACAAAGGGTTGCCCTTCAGCTACTTCACCGGGTCCATTTGCTCTCCACCTCTGAGTGTCATCTCTCAGGGTCTAGGCTCGTGTGTGGCACCAGGGAGAAACTAACGCATTAGCGTGCAAGACCCTGATTCCTGCTAGTCGGGGGACCTCTTGTATCGGATCGCTGTCAAGATAAACTCTTTTGCCAAGCACCCAACAGCCCATTAGAAGCAGCTGGGCCGGTAATATTCGATTATTTAGCCTGCTGTCACAAAAAGACGAACGTCCCTTGCGGGGCCGCCTACCCCCCCTTATACCCTTCGCAACACATGAGTCCGTACTTATACCTAGTGTATCGCTGGATCCACGTCTCTAGACCGTAGTAGGTCTCAATTTCCTTGCCGTGTGGCTAGAATAGCGTCGGGGGGACATATGGCTTGAGGAGCAAACAGTCGGTAAGAGGGATGAGGGTATCGTGGTACTCTGTACGGATATACAGAGATGAGTGAAGAATGAGGACAGAAAACAGAGAATATCGTCGGTCGAGGTGATGGACTCGAGCCTGATACTCTGTCAGACCTAGTTACTCCTGCTCGTATCTGAACCGCTTACTCTCATCCCCTCGGCCAACGACACCCGAGAATACGAAGAGATGCAAACTTCGGGAACCTCCCACAACGGCCACAACGCTCAGTTGTGGAGTAGTGATTATTCGCGCAGGCGCCACCTCATTTGATACGGAGCCACGGACATGTTTTGTGGAAAGTTTGGAGCCCCCTAGCCCGTCTGGCAGCATTGGCGAGGCCAGCTGAGAAAGCAGCGTCGGGGAGGCGTTTTTAGAACGTTGGGAGCTGAAGCTTAGCCCTGCAAGTGCGGCCTATGAAAGGCGCAATCATGGGCTTCATACATGCGAGGGGAACTAGGGCTGATCTCGGGGTCTAATCGAGGAGAAAAGGGTCGTTTCGATCATGGGAACTGCAACCTCAAAATATATAGCCCAGGGTTGGGCATGAAGGCACCACACGACCGTTGATCTTTGCCTCCTTCGCTCCACACTACCAAGCAAGCCTGTTCCCCAGATCTGGCCGCTGGTTTCCAGGAACCGTTGCCAGGAACCGTTGCATAGCATGTCGGTCAAGCTCCTCGTCGGGGCCGTTCTCCTGAACCTTGGGCTCGTTCTCGCCCACCCCTACGGATACGGATACGGATACAACGTCTGCTACGACCATCCCTACAAAGAATTGCTGCCTCTGTCCAACTACCCCCCTGCACAGTCGTACTGTGAGGCGAAATGTAACTAGATACCGAGGGAGAGTGGGAATCGCGGTGCTTTGGTTGACGGTTGTCTAGATCCCAAGCCGCCTTGTACTTCCACGAAACATGCAACGGCCAAGACGACAAAGACTATCACTCGCCATGCCACCCAAACGGCCACGGTGACGACTGGATACTCGACGGACCTTGTCCACACTGCGACCACTGTCTCGTATATTTATACGACGACCGTTGTTAAGACTTCAACCACTACTACCTCGGTAGGTTTTTGGATACAAGTAGCCTTATCACAGCTAACATGTTGGTGCCCACAGACCGCAACGACCTACACGGCGACTTCCGTCCAGACCGTTTACACCAACTCGCGATACCCCGTTGAGTACACGAAGACGTTTACCGAGTACACGGTCACGGGGACAGACGTCCAGTAAGCGCTTCACGAAAACAATGGTTAGGAGGAACGACTAACAAGACGCAGGACGGTCACAGTCACGACTCTCCCGACGACCGTCATCACAAGCACGGCCACATCTACGTCGACGATTAAGACCACGACGACGGTGTCTTCCGGAACGAAGACGGTGACGACCAATGTCGACCACGGCCTGAGAAAGCGTACGGTGGCTCCCGAGGAGACCAACGAGCCTACGAGTGGTCCTTGCCGGCGTGGATACCCTCCTCCTCCCAAGCCGTCGGATTTGTTCAAGAAGCTGAAGCGCCTCGAGCCTCGCAAGATTGAGAAAGCTTGCTCGGTAAGTTCTTGTCGGGTCCCTCCTCGGCCTCTTGGTCACGGCAAAGAGAATGACAACGAGAAGCCAAGGCTAACCAACGTTTTAAAACAAATTTAGTGCCTGGAGCCGCACCCTATATGCAAAACAGTTACGTCGACGCGAACATTCACCGCGAAGTCATACACTACGGTCACGACTGCCAAGACCCAGCCCGTTGGTGGAGTGAAGACAGTTGACGACGTTTACACGGAGCTCATCACTACCGATACCGTAAGTGCTCAATCAGCCATTGTGCCTTTCGACCACGTCTATGCTAATATTTCTCTCAGACGACTACGACTTCAGTTGGGTACACAACCACCAAAGAACTGTTGCAAATCGACACCACCTCTATTGAATATGTCTCGACGGTATCCACGGACACTACGACTACTCTACCGACTAACACCGTAACGAGCACATCCGTCACGGCGTACTCCACCACTAACATCGTGACCACGACTACTTTCACCACTACGTCGACGGCTAGCCAAACAGTCCCTGTCACCACGACCACTGTGGTCGTCGATTTCCATTATTCGCTCGTCTCCGGCCCGTTGGATGGATGTGCCTATTCTCCAGAGTAAGCTGCGCCCCGTGCCCATGCCTCTTCGTGCTGGCCTGTAGTCAACCGGCAAAGGCGGAGCAAGCTAACCATTCTCGTAGCTCTTGGATCGACCAAACCGGCTCGAACATGCCCGCCGGAGCCACCCACGCCGACCGCGTCGCCTTCTGCGCCGCGTGGTGCGATACCGTAGCCAACTGCAAGACGTTTGGCATGAACGACTTCCCGCCGTGCGGGCCAAACGGGGACTACGTCTACTGCCTCGCCTCGGCGAATACCTGGGTCGCTGGCAAGCTGCAGTGCGGCATTGGCACGGGTTGGAACGGGTGTCCTACGTACCGGGATGGAACGGTGTATCAGTATGTTGTTTCCCTTCTGAACGTGTGTAGAGATTGCTGACGATGTGTAGACGGATTTGATTCGAGAAGGTAGGGTGGATTGGGGGGCAATGATTTCTAGTTAAGACTGGGTACTTAGCTAGAGGTTCAGGATTGAGAGAATGAGTTGGCGACAATCAGATGGAGAGGTAGGGAGGCAGCCAGGAGATGAAAGTTACCGCCCGGGCCTGACACTTGTTGGTCATACCTAGGAGGCTATAATTCTAGTACATTTATTCGACGACGGCGTTTCACAGAACCCAATATTCCGTCTGTTTCTCGTGCGGGAGGATAAAGCATGGTTCTCCAAGTCGTCAGGCTCGCCACCAGGCTTCACCCAGACAAACGCATCGAGCAGGTTGTCGTCAGTATCGGCAGTCAGCAGTCACCCCACGCAGACTGTCCCGTGAGCTGCTTTCTGGAACAGCCCTGGTCGGTGATGAACTGCGCGCCGGTCCAGCCCCTCGCCACAAACGGATTGGGACTTATTCAGGTAGGTGTGTAAGAGTCAGAGACTTGAATTGCCTCCCGCTATTTAGGACGTTTCAGGTGTGTCTATCTCTGTTCAAAGCTTAAAAAAGCCTCAAGGCACAGATTTCTTATTCTAGAAAGAGATAGCTATTTGTCGATCACCGCAAAGGACCGACGGTGGTGGGTGGTTGACTGCGATGTCGCCGATAAACTTGGTCACCTGAGAAGCTATGGAATCGCCACCGCAGCTTACTGTAGCTCCCGTCTGGTGGGTGGGCTTGGCCTAATAGAGCGAGCCTTCACTGCGCTCTGCTTCACCTCGCAAGCTCTCATGACGGAGCTCGCCCTCAACACAGGCATTCGCGGCTCAAAGAAGACACGCCAGACGAACTCGCGGTCGGGTTGACCCCATCGCCCCATCGCCCCATCGCCCGAGCTACCGGTTACAGGGCGTTTTCGCTATTTTAGGTGCCGTGCGGATGGTTGGTGAGGGCGCGTTCTGGGCGGGAGGGACGCCCCATCGGGTTTCCATACGCGCCCGCCAACAGGCAATATGGGCGCTTAACCAATTATTCGGACAACCCAGCGCTGTGCAGAACCTCAAACACGGAAAATACCATTTTCGCTCTGGTGGGCTGATGATTGGCAACACCGCGTCTGCAACATTACTGGCGGAATGTCGGAGCGATTCGTTCAGTCATTCGCACGGTCCGTTATTCGTTGTTGGTTTCCTGGTTCCTGGATGGTAGCAGGGATGACGTCAGAGCCCAGAACAAGAATCACAGCCCTGCGCCGCCTCAGTCACTAACTAAACCAACTAACGGTCAACGGAACGAGCCTATCTTTAAAGCTTGGCTCGAAGGGTCCAAGTTTCAGAATAAAAACCTGCGACAGCTTCCAGAAAACCGGTTTCGCTTTCATCCACATCCCAGTCTGCAAAGTGGCGATGTTTCTGGGGTTCGTTGGATGAGATCGGCGGTTATGTGCTGTAACTTCTGTAAGTAGGTCCCCACGCGAACCCCGGTCTGTCCAGGACCCTTCTTTTCCAGTGCCATTTTGGGACTGCGGTGACAGGGGTTTCTACCATGATGAGTGTCTTTCAGAGGCTTGATTGGACATCAGTCATCGTCACCGACGACCACATCCTGGTCGCCACGGCCACCTCCAGCCACCGCAAGACGGCCGCTTGCAGGGCGCCTACCGATGATCCTCCCTCTTTGGATCCCCTCGTTTCCTTGCGTTTCTCATCCAGCCCTGTTGTCGCCAGTCAAGCTTCGGTCCAGCTCACCATCTCGGCTGACCATCCCGGGCTGGATGTCCCCAGGTGGACGTATCCGGGGGCTTGCTGGTGGGCTTGCAATGGCGTCAGAGTGCATTCTCGGCCCCGGTCCAAGACGACTTGTTTTCCTATCGAATATATGCCACTGCTCTTCGCTGCCGACCTGATGGTGAGATTTGGAAAGATGGGCACCATTCACCAGTCGCTCCGCCGGTGTTCCCCTTGCCCTCTGAGTGAGTCACTATATATCTACGCAACCTGCACTCCATTCATTTGGTCGCTGCAATTGCTCAAGATCGTGACCCGCCATTGCGCGAGTATCATAAGTCAAGTTAAACCGGAGCGACTACATCCATGCTTGCGGCTGTGCCCAAGCGACAACCTGAACCTCACCCCAACCTCAGCTCACCGCGAAGCCTCAACTGATCTCACTTGCAACGCCACTTCGAACTCCCCAGCTCGCACTCTCCGGGCCAAATAAAGCAACCTTGTCTCTTGGCTTTGTTTTGGACCATCCGTGCCCGAGACTCAACCAGCATCGTGACTGGTCTCGTTTGGCTAGGCGCTTAGCCAACCGGACCCTCTCTAAGCGCTGCCGCCCGTAACGAACAAAGGGCCTTGGAGAGCGTTTGCGCATTGAAGTGATTTCAAACTGAGAGGTTCTTTTATTGGACACTCTAATTGTGGAGTGACTCAGGTGAGTGCTTGCCGTATTCATACAATCACCGGCGCTTCTTATTGTCTTTGTTCCCCTCTCATTTTTCCTATTGTCTTCCCTTTTCTGCATGCACCTGCACACACAATCGCACAACATCTAGACACCATGGAATCATAGAAGGCTAGATCAGGCACCCATATTGACGGCCATTGTTTTCCTTTGTATTCTTTTCTATGTCTGAACTTCTCACCTAATATTATTTTCCCTGCGTCGCACTTGGCCGCCGCCCTCTTCACCATTTACTCTTCTTTTTCATTCGGATACTCTCAGCACGCCCTTAGACGTCACTTACCAACACAGACAGACTCAAGATGTTATTCTCACGAAAAAACGAAGACTCGACGGTCTACCCGGCCGTCCCCGACTCCCTCCGGACAGACTCATTCGAGATGACCGAGATGCGCAAAACACAGGAGGCTCGCGCTGACACTGCGCCAACCTTCACACCTTACCTCAGCCTCCGCTCAAGGCTCTCCCAGATATGGATAAACCGCTGGACCGTCCTTCTCATCCTTGTACTTATCCGACTTATGTTACTGGTCGCTGACCTCAACGACAACGTTGGTGACGCCAAGACCAAGGCCCTTTCGGCTTGCACCAAAGTTGAAGACATCGGCAGTACTATGGCTTCCATGCCCCACTACCTGTCGGTGGGAGTCAATGATATGGCGGCTTCGGGAATCGAAAAGTCCGTCGAAGCCATGGTGTTCATGCTGGGCCTGATCATCACGGGCGTGGAATCGATGATCATCTTCTACATCAACTTCCTCACGGCTACATATACTTGCCTCATCACAGCAATGATCCATGGCAGTCTTGATGTCGTCGCCGATGTCACCTCAGATGCCACGAGTGCCTTCAACGAGGTGATCGGAAAAGTCGTCAAGGAGATCAAGGACATTGCTGGTACCTTGGAAGACGGAATCAACAAGGTCGCAAAGGACATCGAAGACTCTGTTTTCGGTGATTTGATTCCCGATATCCCCGAGGTGAACTTTACCGCCCCCATCCAGGACCTCCAGGACTTTAAGCTGGACGCAAAGGACTTTGTCAAGGACGTCCGACAGCTCGACGAAGACCTTCCAACGTTCGAAGAAGTCCAGAACCTGACAAAGCAGGCCATCTCCATTCCGTTCGACTTGGTTCGCAATCTTCTCAACGAAAGCTACGGAAGCTACAAGTTTGACCGGAACAGCTTTCCCCTAGCTCAAAAGCAGGAGCTGTCGTTTTGCTCCGATAACAGCACCATCAACGACTTCTTCACCAAGCTGTTTGACCTCATTCAGAAGGCCAAGACCATTTTCCTTGTCGTCCTCATCATCCTGGCGGTTTTGGTCATCGTCCCCATGGCTTGGCTCGAGATTATGCGCTGGAGACGCGAGCAGCGTCATGCTAAGCTCATTTCCAAGAACGCTTACGACCCTATGGATGTGGTGTACATCGCATCGCGCCCGATGACTGCTACCTATGGCATTAAAATTGCCTCACGATTCAAAGGCAAGCGACAGATTCTCGTTCGTTGGTGCATTGCCTACGCTACGTCTCCTATGGCTCTGTTCGTCCTGTCTCTCGCACTGGCTGGGTTCTTCTCCTGCTTTTGCCAGTGGCTTCTCATCAAGGCGGTAAATGACGAGGTCCCAGCTCTGGCTGCGGAGGTCGGAAACTTTGCCGATGACGTTGTCAAGACCTTGGAGAACGTCTCAGACAATTGGGCCACAGATGCCAACTCTGTGGTCAAGGGACTGAACGACGAAATCAACAACGACGTTCTTGGCTACGTTACCAACGCAACAGATGCCGTCAACGACACCCTGACAACATTCCTCGATACCATGGACGACGGCCTCAAGACTGTCTTCAATGGTACTATCCTCTTGGATCCGATCAAGACAGTCTTGCACTGTGTTATCGGTATCAAGATCGAGAGTGTGCAGAAGGGTCTGACGTGGGTACACGACAATGCTAATGTCAACTTCCCACTCTTCGCCAACGACACATTCAGTCTGGGAGCCAAGGACTCAGTTGAGGGCGACTCGGGCCTCAACACATTTTTGGCGTCCCCGTCGTCTGTCACTACTGATGAAGTCACGGGAGCCGTCAAGTCTGTTACCGACTGGCTTCACAACCACTTGGTCAAGGAAGCGTTGATATCCACCGGCCTGATCCTCCTTTACTTCATCGTCATACTATTGGGGGTCGTCCGAACACTGGCCGGCATGGCAACTCCCGACCGCGGTAGAGCCGAGGGCGGTATGCGGTACACTGGAGACGAGCGGCCCGCCATGACTCCTCGCATGGGGCATGAGGGACACGATGCGGGCCAAGGCACGACATTCCCTCGCTTTGGATCATCCTCCGGCGAGCTCGAGCGCTACAGTGCTGCTCCCAGCGGAGGAGTCGAAAAGGTTATGTCGGGCGCGCAAGGCGGCCGAGCTATGGAAGTGGATGGACACCAGCGGAGCAGCTCGTATGGGCAATTTGAGTCCGCGGGCAAGTACTAGCCTGCATGAGCGGAACAGAACCGCAATGGCTGGCTTTATGTGACAAGGGGATGGTGTTGATTGCAGTGTTACTCCGGCCTGGCTGGACCGTGCCGAGAGATTCTCTCCCTGCTGACTGCATGAAATTATGGAAGCGACGGAAGCTATGATTTTGATCCGCATGGACTGGCGTTGAGACAATCTTGGAAAGGAGGCAACTCGAACCGCATTTGGTTATTTTCCTTTGTTACCATTTAGGTGTGGAATTTGAGTTATTGGATAGGAGGGGGTCAAACAAGATACCCTAGTGGTTTGATGTATTCGCGCGGATAGACGTCCTGAGTCTAGGTTGTGGTCTACACAGATTGGACTTTATAGCCTCCATGGCAAACCTATCGATGAAGCTAGATTGAGACAGCGATAACAACAACAAGAAATGGTGGCTACAAACTTGAATGATTCTTTGTGACTGTTCCGCGTTCCGCATTCCGCGTTCCGCATTCCGCGTTCTGCAGTCTGCTTCTGCAGTCTGCGGATGCGTCATGTATCAAGCCAGCGACTGTTGCATAGTGTCGGTGAGGAGGGACAAACCAGGCCTGGTGATACACGACTGAGTCAGGATGACGACGACTATGGGCGATTCTAGAGAGTGTCATGACTTGTCCTGTTGGTGGAACGTGTTGTTTTGCGGGGAGTCCCAACCAACTCCCAGTCGTCTGCCAGGGGAGGCAAGCAGATTACTGCATTGGGCAAGTCCGGCTGCGGAGGTGGGGTTGTCTGCTGCAAGGCGGGAACTCATGCAGGAGCAGGTGTGGCGGAGAGCATTCTTCCGGGAATCGGTGGCGTGCATCCGCCTCGCTTTCACAAAAAAAGGTCGGATGGGCGCCAGCAACTCTAGTCATAAAACCGTTGCCATCGCCCGCCTCGACTTTCTCTCTCCTCGACACGCTTCCTCACACAACACGCCACCCTCCCCTTTGACGACGACAACGACGACAATATGGAGGCCATCAAGCAGACTTTCCAGCGCTGCAAGGCGCAGAACAAGGTCGGTTTTACTCACTCCGCCGCAATTGCCCCTCCTCGCCCACTCGCCTACACCGCGGGGTAGTGAGGCGGGCGGTTGCACATTCCACGAGATGTGAAGGCTGACGATGGCTTCAATGCGTTGCAGTCGGCACTTGTAGCATACGTTACTGCCGGTTATCCTCGACCCGAAGACACTCCCGATATTCTCCTCTCTCTGGAGAAGGGCGGTGCTGGTGAGTCCCCATTAACGCTTCGGTGGCGAAATCGCTTCTAACCTTTTCCATAGACGTCCTCGAACTCGGTGCCCCCTTCACCGACCCAATTGCCGACGGCCCGACCATCCAAACTGCCAACACAGTATGTGACGACCCCCATAAACCCTCCCCGTTTCGCTTCAATGCAGGATTGACGCCGGATAGATTGCTCTCGCGAATGGCGTTACCATCGAGTCGACCCTGGGCATGGTCAAGGAGGCCCGATCCCGCGGCCTTAAGGCCCCTGTTATGCTCATGGGATACTACAACCCCCTGTTGAGCTACGGAGAGGAGCGTCTGCTCAAGGACTGCAAGGAGTCTGGCGTCAATGGCTTTATCGTCGTCGATCTCCCTCCTGAGGAGGCCATTTCCTTCCGCAGCCTCTGCACCAAGGGCGGCCTGTCCTACGTCCCTCTCATTGCCCCGGCCACCTCGGATACCCGAATGAGAATTCTCTGCCAGTTGGCCGATTCCTTCATCTACGTCGTTTCCAGAATGGGTGTTACCGGCGCCACCGGCACCATGAACGCCAACCTCCCCGAACTGCTGGAGCGAGTCAAGAAGTACAGCGGCAACAAGCCCGCCGCTGTTGGCTTTGGTGTTAGCACCCGCGAGCACTTCCTGAGTGTCGCTAACATGGCCGATGGTGTCGTTGTTGGAAGCCAGATCATCACTACCATTAAGAACGCTGCCCCTGGTGAGGCCTTCAACGACGTCGAGAAGTACGCCGCCTACCTTTCCGGACGAGGAGAGGGTGAGGCCACCCGGGAGGTCAGCATCATTGAGGCTGCCGTGGGAGCCCAGGAGCCCGAGCTCGCCAACGTTACTGTCAATGATGTCATCAGTGCTGAGGAGGACAGCGCCCTGGTGGCTCAGCTGGCTGCCCTGCACGGCAAGATCCCCGAGCGATTCGGCGAGTTCGGTGGCCAATACGTTCCCGAGAGCTTGATGGACTGCCTGTCGCAGCTCGAGGACGGCTTCAACAAGATTAAGGACGACCCCTCGTTCTGGGAGGAGTACCGAGGCTACTACGAGTATATGGGACGACCCGGCCACCTACACCTGGCAGAGCGGCTGACCGAGTATGCTGGCGGCGCCAACATCTGGCTCAAGCGTGAGGATCTTAACCACACTGGTAGCCACAAGATCAACAATGCCCTGGGCCAGCTTCTCCTGGCCCGTCGTCTCGGAAAGACTCGCATCATTGCCGAGACTGGAGCTGGCCAGCACGGTGTTGCTACCGCCACTGTTTGTGCCAAGTTTGGCATGGAGTGTACCGTCTACATGGGAGCCGTAAGTTTTACCAACCAAGCTAGATTCCCGACCAATAACTGACAATATAACAGGAGGATGTCCGACGACAATCCCTCAACGTCTTCCGAATGCGACTACTCGGCGCCAAGGTCGTTGCTGTCGAGGCTGGCAGCAAGACTCTCCGAGATGCCGTCAACGAGGCTCTCCGCGCCTGGGTTGTCGATCTCGACACCACTCACTACATTATCGGTTCCGCCATTGGTCCCCACCCCTTCCCTACCATTGTGCGAACGTTCCAATCCGTCATTGGAGACGAGACCAAGCAGCAGATGATGGAGAAGCGTGGCAAGTTGCCCGACGCTGTCGTGGCCTGTGTCGGTGGTGGCAGCAACGCCGTCGGCATGTTCTACCCCTTCGCCAACGACCCGTCGGTCAAGCTTCTGGGTGTTGAGGCAGGTGGTGATGGTGTTGACACAGAGCGACACAGTGCTACCCTTACTGGCGGTTCCAAGGGTGTTCTGCACGGTGTGAGGACATACGTCCTCCAGGACAAACACGGTCAGATCTCCGAGACTCACTCAGTGTCGGCCGGTCTCGACTACCCTGGTGTCGGTCCCGAGCTGAGCTCGTGGAAGGACAACGAGCGTGCTAAGTTCGTCGCGGCCACTGATGCCCAGGCGTTCCTGGGTTTCAAGCTGATGAGCCAGATGGAGGGTATCATCCCCGCACTGGAGTCGGCGCACGGCATCTACGGTGCCATTGAGCTGGCCAAGACGATGAAGAAGGACGAGGACCTGGTCATCTGCCTGAGCGGCCGAGGAGACAAGGACGTGCAGAGTGTGGCCGACGAACTGCCTAAGTTGGGTCCCCAAATTGGATGGGATCTTCGATTTTAAGGCATGAGACGGGAATTATGAAGTGAAACGACGACATGCAGGCACCTTGGAAAGTGGGACAGCAGCAGCAGACTCATGACACTTTTTGTGTGTTGATTTTTGTGGTGATGATACAAGGCTGGTTGGCGTTTATCTGAGAAAAAGGGCTTTTGGTACATATAATACACAGAGATATTACACAGTGACGGTGTCCTTGTTCTTAATCTTGCTGGCCTGAGCCTCGGCCAAATCAAGCTCCTTAAACAAGCGAGCCTCCTCTTCGTCTGACAGCTCCCCAATTCCCTCTAGATCGGCCAAATCTAAATCGCCCAGAGTAAAGGCCTCGTGCTCAGCAGTGGCGGCCGCTTTAAGCTCCTCGAGTGTCGAGCGACTTCGCATGCTCAGAGGACCAGGTGTGGCAAAGTCGAGAGCGTACTGGATGACATCGTCGCGGTTCTCAATGGGCTTGGGCTCCATACCGAGGGCGATGCGCTCCTCGTTGAAGCGCTCCTGGATGGCTCGGCTCTGCATGAGCAGCCAGCGCATGTTCCAGCCGCCGGGGCCGAGCTCCTTTAGGCGGGCGGGCTTGCTCTTGAGGAGGTACTCCTGGAGGCCGCCCTCGCGGCGGATGGTCTTGAGGACGCGGAGGGTGAGGCGGGTCTTGATGTTGGCGTCGAGGGCCGGCAGGTAGAAGCTCTTGACATGGACGTTGGGCCGCCAGAAGCGGCGGCTCTTGTTGCCCCACTTCTCAGCGACGTTGTTGCCGAAGCGGATGCGCGCGGCGCCGTACAGCCCGCGGTTGGACTGCTTGTAGATGCGGCGCTCGCCGTAGGGGTACGGCGGGATCAGGCGGTCGGGCAGGCGGTGCGCCTTGACGGTCTTGGTCTGCTGGGGGAGGGTGGTGCTGAAGGGGCGAGCGGCGGCCGCGGCAGGCTGGGCGAGGAGGGAGGAGAATGCCGAGGCGGCAGCGAACGGCCGTCGGGCGGCGGCGAAGGACGCCATGGCGATGGTGCTTCGTGAGGGTTTGGTTTTTGCCGTCGGACGAGCGACTAGGCGGCGAGGTTCGGGGTGGCGGGAGGGTTCTTCCGGGTTATCGGCGAGGCATTGGCCTCAATTGGCGTCGGGGGATGGCGGCGGAAGGCGTAATTGGGCGCGGTCCAGCTCCCGTCCAGAATGCGCTGATCGTCGGTCGCTTCGTCGCTTTCTCTCTCTCCGGTGACGAGAGGTTTTGGGGAGAATTTTGGCATCGTGAGGTTCGGAAGCGCGTGATCTTCCGGTCCCGGGTGGTGGGTGCACGTACGACACCGGCAGCTCTGTTTGTGGCTCTGCCAATCAGGTGACTGCGTGTGCTGTTCGCGAAACCCCCACCACCCAGCGTCATGCTGTAGCTCCCTCCCTGTAATTATTTCCTCTCCGATAAATCATATCCCTACTGCGGCTGAGCACAACCGCCATGTCAACGTTTCCGCCCGTGGACGCCGCCGTCCTACAGAACAACCCGGACTTTGCCATCCTCTACGGCAAACTCACCCACGTCGTTCTCAATCCCGATGGCTCGACCAAGGAGGACCCCGCGGCGAAGGAGCGAGCTGCGGTCCGCGAGGTGGGTTTGCAGACAGCCGCGGCTGACAATGGCTGGCCATCATGACGACGGATAGCTCGACTGACATGCAACTTCTCGGCGTCTAGGAACTCGACCGTCGTCGGCTAGAAGCTGCCAAAAACCACATCCTCGCCCGCGCCATTGCTACGGCTACTCCCGCAGACCCAGCCTCGGCGCCAAGGACATCACGGCTCCGGCCTCAACACCAACAACAGCCATCACAGCCACCCGCGCAGCAGCAACAATCGAGCCTCTCCGAGCCCCTCGTCGACCTCCTCCTCATTCTCCCGCCACTGCTGAACCCCGACTCCCCGCCGCTCCCGCAAGCCTCCCTCGAGCTTCTCTTTGCCCACCCGCCCCTGTCCGATATCGAATCCCTCCTCCCAGTTCTGGCGCCCCTCCTCGCCTCTTCTCTGCGCTCCTCCGCCCTCAGTCTCGCTCGAATCGCCCACCCCTCTACAAACCCATCCTACCTCCACCGACACATTGCCGCCCTCCCGCAGACCCTGGCTACTCTCCGCACCGACCTTGCCGCTGCCCAGTCCGCCCTCGTTGCCGACCGCCTCCGCAGCCTCACCGCCCTGACCACGGTTCTCCACGCATCCACACAGGCGCTGGCCCACCTCGTCCGCGCCCTCGAGGTCAAGCATGGCGTCGTTGCTCGTAGCCTCGAGCTCCGCGCCGCAGAGGTCAGCCTACAGGCTCAGCGACACGATGCAGATGCCGCCCTCGCTGTGGCCGCTGTCCGCCGCGATGTCTACACCCCTGAGGCCCTGGCTGCACTTAAGAACTACGCTGCACACCTCCGGGATGCGAGGATTCGCAGCGAGGAGCGCATTCGCGGGCTCAAGGCCGAGCTATCAGAGTATGGCGTTGGTGTCGACGGCGGCGAGGGCAAGCAGAAGATGATGAAGGAGATGTCCCGCGTATATCGCGACATGGGACGACAAATGGACGACGTCAGGGGTGACCTCGAGCGGCTGCATCACAGCTAAACAGCAGTGCAAACAACAGTCTTGGGGTATGTATACGAGACATGACAGGATATGACGGAGATGTGGCGGTAATACCAGAAGTTTTTGTACATATGTTTGGCGAAGTGTTGTTGTCTACGACTTATATATACCCTTCTAATCACATCGCCAGAGCAGATTCAGACACATGGAAGACACATGTTTATAATTCATATCATCGTACATTTGATTTTGGGGGTTGTCTCTGTTCTTTCTAAGCCAAGAATTTGCTCCCGACCCAGACCTGAGACTTGGGTATTTGCAGTCTATCCCAGACCAACACTCCTGGTTCATTAGATTCCTGCAAAGCTGTTCCGATCTACCTATCCTGGAGGAGAACCAAAAACGACATCATTCGAACCGCCAGGGCCACTCCGGTACCCGTGCACTCGCTAATCTGCCTCGACACCACTTAACCCCGGACGGCGTAGATGGCCTCGGCCAGACGGCCGACGTTGTCGGAGGTGATACCGGCAACGGAGATACGTCCGTCCTTGGTAGCGTAGACGGAAAACTCCTGGGCGAGACGGTCCATCTCCTCAGGGGAGAGGCCAGTGTAGGCGAACATGCCAATCTGGCTGGTGATGTGAGACCAGTCCTGCTTGGAGCCGAGCTTCTCGAGGTTGTCCTTGAGAAGGGCGCGCATGGTGATGATGCGGTCGGCCATCTCCTTGACCTCACCGAGCCACTGCTTGTACAGAGTGGGGTCGTTGAGGATCTCGGAGGCGATGCGGGCGCCGTGGATGGGGGGGTTGGAGTACAGGGGGCGGATGATGATCTTGAGCTGGGAGTCGACGCGCTTCTTCTCAGCGGCATCTTCGCAGACGAAAGAGAAGGCACCAATACGCTCGCCATAGAGACCCTGGAGATTCAGTTAGTCATTGAGATGCATAAGGCTCCGGGTTCGAATGCGACTCACCATGTTCTTGGCGAAAGACTGGCAGAGGGCGATGTTGTGGCCCTCCTTCACGAAGTGACGGACGGCAAAGGCATCCTTATCAGTGTCACCACTGGCGAAGCCCTGGTAGGCCATGTCGAAGAAGGAGAAGTGGCCCTTCTCCTTGACAACATCGGAGATCTGCCTCCACTGCTCAGGGGTGGGGTCAACGCCAGTAGGGTTGTGGGCGCAGGCGTGCCAGAGGAAGACACTGCCGTTGGGGGCGGCCTTGACGTCGGCGATGAGGCCCTCGAAGTCGAGGCCAATGGTCTTCTTGTCGTAGTAGCTGTACTGCTCAACCTCGAGGCCGGCATGGCTGAAGACGGCCTTGTGGTTAGCCCACGAAGGGCTGGGGATGTAGATCTTCTTCTCGCCGGGGAAGAACTTGGCGAGGAAAGCAGCGCCGATGCGGAGGGCACCAGTGCCGGAGATGGTCTGGGTGATGGCGACGCGGTCGAGGGAGACGCTGTCACCGTAGGCGAGCTTGGCGGCAGCGGGAGCGAACTCGGGGACACCGGTGATGCCAGCGTACTCCTTGTTCAGCTTGCTGTCGACAACCTTCTGCTCGGCCTCGCGGACGGAGGGGAGGACGTAGGGCTTGCCAGCATCGTCACGGTAGGCACCGACACCTGTGGGTCAGGAGAGTCAGATCATGAGTGGAGCAATAGAGCCGGGGTTGACTCATGTCATGATGTCGTGGGTGGGCAACGGCAAGCATGGCAAGAGGTAGCAGAGGGGGCGGACATACCCAGGTTGATCTTCTTCTCGAACTTGTCGGCCTTGAAGGCTTCGGTGATACCTGTAGACGAGGGGTTAGTGTCGATGTCGGTGAAATGAGGTGTTAAGTTTCTCCTCCACCCCTTGGATCGGGGGAACGGAGGAAAAGACAATTGGTATGAGACGTACCCAGAATGGCCTGTAGTCGAGAAAAACAGCCAATTGATTAGTTACGCAGCTCGCGTGAAGCTCGTGGACAAGTAGATGGACTTACATCCTGTGAATAGGTTAGCACTGCACGAAAAAGGAGGTGCTCAATTGGCACGGGGGAGCTTCATACAGGAGGGCCCTGGGCAACGTTGGCCCAAGTGGAAGCAGCGCGGATGACGCTGAGCTGGGCGGGGCGGAAGGCAGCCTGGCGGCTGGCGACTCGGAGGGTGGACAGCATTGTGAAGGAGAGGAGATGATTCTGGTGGTGAGGGAGGTGGATGGGGAGGAAGAGAAGGGAAGGAAGAAGGGGAGAGGGAGGGGAGGAGGAGAAGAAGGAGGGAGGTGGTGGTGGTGGTGGTAGTGGCAGCAGGCGGGAAGGTGGGAAGGTGGGTAAGGTGAGGGCTGTGAGGCAATGCGATGCGCGGAGGTGAGCAACAGAGTGTGGTCACTGTGCTCACTTGCCCACAGTTGCCCGCACAGCCAGTGCTTCCTTCCCTGCGGGCTGGCGCTCCAGCGTCGGACATCTGGGCGATCGGAGCTGCACGGAAACCAGGGCAGGGAGCTGCGACCAACCAGAGGGCGGCATGTGGTGCGAGGCCCTCTTGAACGGGACCCCACCCCCCAGCGCGGCATGCACCAAAAAGCATGTGGCCCCCAGGGTGCTAGGGTTTGCGCCAGCGGGAACCGCCAATTCCCAGCGTGGGCAAAGGGCGCGGGATACAGCGTGGGATACAGCGCTCCTTCGCTTTTTTTCCCCAGTCAGGACTCACCTTCCGCAAGGGTGCGCGGTTGACGGGTGGTAGGAGGAGTTGACGGCCGGCAGGAGGGAAAATTTAGTGGGGCTACCCCGGACATCGGCGCTGGTCGCTGCACAAAAAAAAAACGGACAAAAAAAAAGGAAGGACGCCGTGACGACTGAGGTCCGCAGCCAGACTCAGAACGTCAGTTCTAACCGCTCTATGCTGAAGCAGGGCCGCTGAGTGGCGCGCCTGAGGCGGCCGGCCGGCCGAGTGCTCTCCTTCCATCCACCTTGGAGGGGTTCCTTTTGTCCAGTGCATAGTGCATTACGATGTGCTCGCTTCGTGTGCTTAGATGCTTGCAGTCCAAATGCCCTGTTAAATGCCCTGTCAAATACCGTTGTCAACATCAAGGCGTCCGTACAAGTGCCGCACATTCCCCGATCACCCCGATCAAGGTTGCGTTTCAGGCACCCGTTCCGTTCGATCGAAACAGCCGTCAGTGCGAGTATCGGCCGGCACTGAGTCGTAGCTGGAGATGGGGAAGGACAAACCAGATATGACATGGCCATCAATTCCCGCGCCAATCCCAATCTTCTCTTCCTGGCTCTATATTCACAACACACCATAATTCCCATCGATCCTCTTCCATCTGCACTGACCTTTCCACTCTCGTGTCCGCTTCCACTTCCACTTCCACTCCCACCGGAGTGTAAATCCCGATCCATTTTCTTTTCTTCTTCCTCTCACTTGATTCTTCACACCACCTCCGGTCTACTCCGGGAAGCGCCGGACCCCAGGTCACCCGTCTTCAATCTCCAAAGCTGGACCCTCTTGGCTCCTCCTCCGCTTCTCCAGCCAAACTGGAGCCCAAAATCATCCTCTAACGCTTCCGCTACCGCGACCAAGCCTCGTTAGCGCCCTCGTCTTGCATCATCTGGCCCTTGTCTCAGCCTTTCCGCCGCTGGCACCCATCAGACCGCCCACCCCTGGAACGCCTCCAAGTCCGCCGCGCTCCTGCCGGTCCCGTCCCTTCTCCTGACCGGCCCGGTCCTGTGGAACGGCGATCGTAGAATCCGTGCTAGATGTAAGCCTCAGCAGTGGAAGCTTTTTCGTAAATCCGATCAGGCGCCGTGGCGAACATGCTGCGCTTGTTGGATGCGCGACTTGGAGATTGCGTGGCTTAGCGAAGGCCTGCTGTGGGGGTCACACATGATGCAGCATGCACATGGCATCGGCGATATGGTGTAGTAAATATCTCTTTATCATCATATTTAATTAACTACCCTCCATCATCGTACATATGTACAGCGTACAGCGTTGTTGATTGGGATGCGTGCGACCACGTGACCACTTATCAATCCCGAGTAAGATCCGAGATATCGCCATGATGTAACCCCGAGTGCATCGATCGTGTCGTACCCCATCATTCAACGCCTATGCAGAGGGCATTCCTCGCTTCCTTGCGAACCCAGGTCTCGTTGGACCGTCCAATATTTACGCAGTGCCCTGTGTCTTCTCCAAAGTCGTGACGCCAACCTTCTCATACTCGTCCATGACCTTCTCTTCAACCGATTCGTGGAACACGTTGACCTCGGTCTCGGCAAACTTGCGTGCGCTGATGCGTCGCTCAAACAGGACGTCGAGCTCGGCGAAGGTTCGGCCGTTGGGCTCGGGAAGTCGGAAGTAGGTGTACACGATGCAGCAGAAGGCAATACCACCCTACATTGACCTGGTTAGTATTTACGTTCTCTTTCTTGAACATACGTGCAGTTGCTGGGAATTGGAATTATTTGCTTACCCAAAAGAATCCAGTGAAGTTGCTCCAGTTCCAAGCCGTGGGGTTGAGCATGTACGGGGTAAGAACACCGTTGATAATACCGACGACGTTGCTGTGAGGCGTGTTAGCTATATGAACTAAAACGAGCCAGGACGTAGGGCATATGGGATGAGTCAACTTACTAAAGGTTACGGCCGAGCACAACAGTCTTGATCTGCAGACGACGAGACGACATCTCTCCAACCAGCGAGTAGGCGACGGTACCGACGGTCAGTTGGTAAACGAGGGCCCATCCGATCATGATGCTGCCAGTAGCGAGCGCAGCCTGCTCACGGTGAGCGTCGGGCACCAGACCAAGGAAACCGAGGATGAAGAGCATGGTGCAGAGACCGCAGAGACCGTAAATGTACAGAGTTCGACGACCGAGGCCAAGAGTCATCAGACCCCAGGCACCGAAAACACCGACCATGTTGATGGCGTACTGGCCAAGAGCGAAAGCATACGACTTGTTCTCAGAAAGACCGGCCTGCTTGAGGAAATAGGTGGAATAGTTGGAGAAGGAGTTGCCGCTGAGGTTCTGAATAGCCCAAACCATGCACACAATCTCAGTTCGGCGGCGGTCGACACCCTTGAAGCAATCCCAGTACGAAGCACCGGCGGTGATCTTCTCTTCGAGGGCGGTGGTGTGAACCATCATGGCAATGGTCTCATCGGCGTCAAAGTCGGTCTCACGGTCGACGCTAGTCAGGCGAACCAGGGACTGCTTGGCCTCATCCAGGCGGCCCTTACGCACCAACCACCAAGGAGACTCGGGAGCGAAGTAGATGCCAATGGCGAGAGGAAGGGGCCAGATCCACTGGAGGGCGTAGGGAATTCGGTAGGCCCACTCATCCTCACGGTCCAGCATGGCGTAGATGATTCCGATACCAATCTCCTGGCCGACACCCCAGCAGAAGTTGACATAGGTGGTGAGGTAACCACGGAGGGCGACGGGGCAGACCTCTGAGGCGTAGGTGATGGTGATGGTCTGGAAGATACCCCACGGGACACCGCAGAGAATCTCAGCGGCGAGCAGGGCCTGGACATTCTGAGCAGTGAAAAAGATGGTGATGCAGCCAGTCAACCAGATGAGGCAGCCGATGATAGTGTAACGGTAACCGAAGCGTTCGGAGATCCAGCCGTTGATGAAGAGACCGATAATGGAACCACAGTTGGCACCCTACTAGAGGTTAGTGTTTGTCTTGTGTGTGGATTTCTATCCAAGAACCTACGTTGCTCAGACCAGCCTGCCAGGGGGCAGGAATCTCATAGGTGCCATCAGCAGTTAGTTCACCATATTTCTTGTTGAACTGGGGGAACGCGTCTAATTGCCCAGTGTTAGTAGACCCACAGCAATAGGGAGATTGGAGTGGCGAAACGCACAGAAGTTGTTGACCAAGCTGATGTCGAAGCCTTCCATAACAATGCACGTGGAGATGAGGAAGCTCCAGAAGATGGCCTTGGGATAGAGGCGGATACCCTGCATGAGGGTCATGCTGTGCTCCTTATCGGCAGCAGCCTTGGCATGCTCGATGATGGTCGCGTGGGTCTTGCTAGGATCGGAGCCATCGAAGCCAGCTGAGTCGGTGGCCTTGAGGTCAGAGGTGGCAGCGGCAGCGGCAGCCGGCGAGACCTTGTCGTCGTCGGCCATGATGGCGGTTTTGCAGCGGATTGGGAGTGAGTGAGAGTGCAATTGGGCCTGATGAGATTCAGGAGGATGGTGGAGGATGGAGATTGGAGAATTGTGACTCGGGCTGGTGTGGGGTTTTCTCGGTCTAATTGTCCCCACTCGACGGACGTCACACAGTTGCTCTCAACGGGGATGCCGAAAAGGAGCAGACTTTTTGCAGTGTACTACTGAAAGCACACGCAGCAAAGGGATCAAGGCGGCAGCAGCAAGTGAATTGCAGACTGCAGCGAGATTCCCAAGGGGATTGAGAGGGTTGTGGGTGAAGATGAGAGAAGAGTGTGAGGGGTAGGGAAGGGGAAGGAAAACGGCGAAGATGGGGATCCGGGGCGGTTGCTTTATACTTATCCAACGACCCCAACTTCGGCAACTGCTTTGGACGAGCCGGCAGTGTGGGGGGGAGTGAACGGGGAGCCGAGAAGGGGAGACATTCTGATAGTCGGCGGCGCGAACGAGAACGAGACATGGCTCGGGCGTATGCCATGCTGGGCACTGACCAGACTCCCGTTAGTGTGCCTCTGGCGACGGCCACGAGACGGGGATTTCGACGGGACAGTAGCAGCGGCGACCACACTTTGGCCATGCTCAGAGAAACGCCATTTGATAGCCGTAGGGGGTCTAGTTCGGGCGCGCGGGGGAAGGGCGTCAACGACGGGGGGTTGGACGACGGGTTGGCTGCTAACCCCAGTTTGGGCCAGGGCCGGCCAGGGCGACATGGATGAACAGGCTGGGGGAACTGGGGTAGCATCGATGGGCTGGTGTTTCTACCATGGCCGAAGGATGGGTGATGGAGCGGAGGATGAGTGATGGCCGCGCGGTGATTGGGTGGCTTCGAAACGAGTTCATGACTCTCCGCGTGCGTCTCACATGGCCGAGGATGGAATGCCTCCCGGGCCATGTGGGGAAATTGCGCACTAGGCCGCTAACGAGACTGTCGACCTTCCTGGACTGGGAAGCAGAGTGGAGATGCGTCTTGGAGGGGAGAGTAACTTTACACTCTGTTACCACCTCACCACCCTCTTCGTCTTGCCAAGGGACGGGGGAGGCAGCGCGAGAGGGAGCATGGATGAGACGCAGAATGGCATCAACGGTGCAGATCATCGCCGTTGCATCCCACCTGAGATGGGTGAAGTGTATGGAAACACAGACCGTCTCCCGCTTCCGCTTCCCCCTCCGTCTCCCCACCAGGACCCTCCCCCGACGTTGGAGAGAAAACTTGGGGGACCGACTTGTTGGAGTTTGAAGTGGATTGGTATTAGGTTGCGGCTCTGCCGCTGCGCTTGCCCACACCACCTGCAAACCAGCAGTGAAAAAGAAAGGTGCGAGGAAGGCGCCTCGATCAATCTTGATCCATTGTTAGTGGCTTGCTCGGCGTGCCTGAGGGGGGGACGCCACCCGGCGAGAAGCCCGATCAACGACGACGACGCTTCAAACGGCCTCAACGGTGGCATGGCAAATCCCTTACTCGCTGCTCCGGTTTGCCTCGGTTGTTATTGGACGCTATTTGCCCTCTTCTAACACGCTATTCTAGTCCCCCGAAAAGCCAAAAATCTCGGCCTGTCGACTCGGGTCTTGACAGAATCCGAGGGACCGGGGACGGCATATCGTCTGTCGCTATCTGAAGCCATGTTAAAGACCACTGCCTCCCAACGCTATGTACTAAGCGTAGTCAACACTACGTAGGCCAGACCCGAAAACCCCACCCCGGGATTACAGGACAGGGCCGTGGAAATGGAATTGCAACCCCAAACTCCGATACACACGTACAATGGCATGTTTCTGAACGCAACCCAGGGTTGGGGTACCCCCTGTTACGTGCCCTCGCCGCGACGACATATTGTGGACTAACAATCACACAAATCGGGCCAGAACCATCGGAAGTTTTCCGACCTGAAATGTGTCTGCATCCCACTGTGCCGTCTTTTCATGACGGAATACCTGCTCACTAATTAACCGCTAGTGTGCTTCTTCAATGAATCCCTTCAGCTTGTGCCCCGGCAAGCCAGCCGTAGTTCAAAAAACATTGCATGCACGAAGTACTACGCATTAACGATATCGCAGCTGGCCACTCACACCTAGCCAGGCCAAGCAACTAATTAGACCAAGGCCCCCGCCCTGCCAGGCTGCGACCGGGGAAACCAGCCAACCATCCTTCTCCGCGCGGGGTACTCCGTAAAAGAAAAAAAACTTACACGAGAGTGGTCTGGGGGAACCAGGGAGGACCAGCCCGGAAGAAAAAAGGCGGAGGAGGAGAGCGAGTGGAGGTTAGCTCAGCTCCAGCACGCAGGTGGAGATGGGAGGTGGGGAGTTTTGGAGGGTAGAACCGGGGGAAACACCGGGGAACTCACCGGGGACCACATCGAAAGTCCCAAGTCCCCAGCGTCAACGGCAACTCACTCGGCCGGGGATCGTGGTAGAGGACTTATCCCAAAGGACTCAAACCACCCGTTAGCCGTCGCTCGCAGCAAGGGTTCCTGATTCTCCCGTCGTTCCAGGCCATCACGAGGACACCACCGGTTAAAAAAACAGCACCGAGGGTGAGGAGGTGAAGCCCTTTCTGGCATGGTGTCAGCTGATTTGGCACTACCACGTCTGACACAGCACACTATATCTACGGCCTTCTCTCCGACGGCTGGCGATGGGTTCTCCTCCCTCCCTGACAAGCGCCCCCCAAATCATTCAATCCCTGATCCCCTCTTTCCTTCTTCTGATTAATGACATCCTCTCGTTTGTTGGGTTCGCGTTGGATGAGCACGTGGACCAAGCAGCGTCTCGGCATCCGTCGGACGAATGGGTGTAAGAGCTGACCAGCATGTCCCCAGAGATTTTCCCCAGAGAACGGGTAATGCTGGGGAAGAATCTGCGTTGCAACATGACAAACAGGGCCGCCCAGTCCGTTGCGGTATGTGATATATGACAGTGATGCCCGTCAACAAACTACACATATCTGGAAGATCATATCAACACCATACTACGAACACAGCTATAGTACAACCAAACCCCCGGAAGACATTAACCACTTGCTAGTCCTTCTTCCACACGTCATTCCACCACTCCTTCAGCCCATACGCCTTCTTCTCCGCCTCCACATGCACTTGAGTCCTCTTCCCCCCAGACATGCGCTCCAGAATGCCTCCACTCCCCCCAATCGAGTCCCCATCCCCATCCCTCCCCTCAAGGCCCCCCCGCAGCCCACGGCTCCGCACAGTTCCCCCTAGCGCCCGCACCTGAATCTCCTTTGCTACCTCAGGCGCCACGTCCGCGAAGCACGCCCGCAGCTCTCGGTCCAGTGAGAAGTACCCCTTCTTGGCCAGGTCTGGCGCCATCAGGTTGTAGCTCCGCGTCAGCCGGTTGAGCTCCTCGACCGCCAGTCCCAAGTATGATTTCTCCGCCTGTTCCCACGCCGGGTCCCGGAAAGGCGGTGGGGGACGTTCCGATGCCATCCCCGGATTCGATGCGGGCGTTGTCGATGCCTCCAATGGAGCTAGGGTCTCGTTCTCGCTCGTCGCTGAGCTGCTCGTTTGCCGTGCTTTAATCTTATTTGACTCCTCCGTTGTGTCGGATACCACCGGCGTACTCGTCGTCGCCTGCTCCTTCTTCTGGCCCCGCACTCTTGGGTTATGTACTTGCTCTGCTGCTGCGTATGCTTCTGCCCTCCGCATCTGGTCTAACAATGAGCCCCCCTTTGACGCAATCATTCTTGCTGCGTGTCTCTTCCAGTCGTTTCGTAGTCTCGCCCTGAACACTCTCACGGCCTTGACCAGCTCCTGCTGCTTTTCGATCCACGGCGGCACTAAGTCCTGACGTTGGATCATCTTGTTCATAATGTATTCCGTCGTATCAATGAATGGGTTGTCTGCCCGTGCATCTCGCTCAATGCCAGGGCCCCGCGGGATATTCTTAAACTGGCCTCGAGCTATGGCGTTCTCGATCCGCTCGTTGGCCAACCCAGCAAGCCCGGATATTGTGTTGGGCATCGCCCGGAATCCAGGCTCGAACCGCTCCTTGAGCTCCTTTCGATACCTCTCCCTCTCCTCCTCAGTCAGTCCATTCTTGCTCTTCATGTCCATGCCCGTGTACATCGACGCTCGATCCCTCGCCGTGGCCACCTTCTCTCCGGCTGACTTAGAAGGTCCCCTCTGTAACCGCATGTCCACGGGTGGCGGCTGGAACTTGCTTCGCAGGCCTGGCCCTAGGGGCTTCTTGGCGTCGTCCAACATCCGTAGAACTCCATCCCCTATTGGTTCCTGACCAGTCCATGGTTGTCCGGTGGCTATGTGTCGTGTGCCCTCTCCCGCGGCCGCTGGCATGTCCGCCTCGGTGAAAGCCCCGGAGTATTGCGTCCTGAAATTGGCGTCCGCAATCTTGCTTAGTAGCTTCTCCTTGAGTTCCTTTGAAAATCCCGCGTCCTCGATGGCACGCCGCCCAGCTCTCCCTCCTGTGAAAAGGGCCTCCTCTGTAGCTTCCTCTAGTCGACGGGCCAATGGCCCCGGTTCCTTCACAGCAGTCGGTTTTCCATCATTTGATTCCGGCTCCTCTGCTTTTTGGCTTCCGCTCTGCTCTTTACCTGCCTGTGAGGGCTGTGATGAGTAGTGCGCAACCAGGAGCACTCTGGTCTGGTGAGTTCCCTGAAGACAACGCCGGCAAACAAACGACGTCCGAGCCAGAGGCAGCGCCATAATTCGATCCTCCACTATAGTTTTACGTAAAGGGGAGGCAAAAAAGCCGAGAGTGGAGGTCAGACCTGAGTCCTGAAGCTGGTGGTGATGATGAAAGTGGCTCGCCGAAGGTCCGATCACAATGGTGATGGCTTAGTCAGCCGTTGGGCCGTCTTGACCTCAACTCCAACTGAGAAGTGGAAACAGAATTCGATGCCTCACATACAGAGCTCAAGCTTGGAGACTTGCAACAATATATTTCAGAGAACACCTCTATTTACATAAAATAAGAAACTCATTACTCCATCCGAACAATAACCCGGTTTTGCCAATCATTAGTGCCAAATTTTATAGGTTGCTCTGGCCTCCCTTACCCTATAACATATGCCCCATGATGATGGTCACCAACAGCGCTACGACCGAAGTCAACGGCATACTGGGATGTGTTGCCGCGTCTTCTTCATCTTCGTAGTCATGCCCGTCAAAGTCGCCCTCCCTATTGTCCTCGTCCGTATCAGTGGCCAACCTCCAAATACTGCTGCTCTTTCCAAGGATCTTGCCGCTCACGATGTCAACCGAGGCCGTTAGTCCCTGTACTTCCCCATGTTTATCGAAGGCGGCTGCTCTGGCGTATCTTGGAATATGCTTCCCATCAAGGACTATCATGGTTTCGAATCCCATGCGGGTTGAGTTGCCCACTCGTTCATGAGAGAGGGTGATGTTCATTGGGTCGTTGCCGACATACTGCCATGGAGCGTTAGTGTCAAGTATTTGCCCTCACACCATGTTAGGACATACCACTTCCCATCTATCAACCTCGGTGTTGCCATTCCAAGAGACGTAGAAGGTGGCATTGGTCGTCATATTGTTTTGCGATACCGATGCGATATCAGGACCCCATTGAGGTCGGCCAACCCAATTCATTTTCCAGGCCCGGTACACCGTCATGTCAGCGCCTGGCTCGACTCCAGCAACTTTTGGAAAGGCGCCTCGCTGCACATCCATAACCACCGTTCCGTTGGGGAAGTGTTCCGTGAACCCGGGGTTCAAACCCCATCCTACAAGGAAGTTGCCGTTCTTCAACGCCTGGACACTGCCCTGAGACCCAGAAGAAACCTTTTGCGGATGGCGAAATTCCCCCAAGAGCTGAGCCGTCATGGCGTCGTAGTCGAGTTCCACTACCACTCCTCGGGAGCAGTTTGTGTGGTTGCATGGCCCAGTCTCTAGGACGTGGTTGTCGAAGAAACTGATCTGGCTCTCGTTTCGCTGGACGAACCGCGCATTGTGCTGATTTGCAAACTTGGTCGCATTACCACCACTGAGGTCCTTGAACTGATTGTGCTTACCCCCAAGAATCCATTTCGGATTACCGCTCTCACCATTAAGAAGAGCAATCATCGACAGGGCTCGGGATGATATGAGGTAGTCGCCGTACCTGGACTGTTCAAACAAGTAAGAGAATGATCTATCTGTAGCAACGGAAGGGAGCCTTACTTTGTAAATACTGTCGATGTGAAACCAATCGAAGCCGTCCGAGTTCATGAAACCCTTGTCAGGGCCATACTTGACGTACGTATCGCTGAGGTTGAAATGGTTCGAAGCTCTCCACAGATTGAGGACCTGGTTGTTTTCGAGCTCGACCTCTTCAAATATGGCATCGGTTAAGAGACCGTTGTCATCGCCGCCTACAGCAGTCATGTTGTATTTGATGTCTTGGTACACCGACATGATGGCGGTTCCTTGGCCAGTGAACTGAAACTCGTGGAGATCGGCCCTGGTAGTGCGACCGAGGCCCTTGGCTGTAACCGAAAATTGCTTCTGGTAAGAATCGTTGAAGACGTGACAGTCACCGTTTTCGATGAAGGTGAGGTGCGTGATGCCATTCCGATCTTGGGCGCGGGCGTCGAAGCTCCGGGCATAGTTGAGGTCAGCATAAACGAGGCTCAGGTCCTTGCTGGAGAATATCGCTGGGCCCCCTCTACCGTCAAATTCAATCGTCAAGAAGATGTAACCCGCCTCATCAACGAGATCTGGGCGGAAAGTGTTGACCTGGAACAGCGGTGCAATTATATCAGTGGAGCGGAATGTTTGATTGGGGAACCGGCCTAGTAGCCCTTGATTGAAGCCGTTGAGGTCGTTGAAAAAGGGCGCGTCGGCAGAGACGAGGCAAGCGCCCATCAGCGAGGCCGCGGCCAGCAAAAGAAAACGAGTGTGCATGGTGAAGACGGTTTTCACACTTGGAGCAAAAGACATCCGAAGATGTGACCAAAGAGAAGTCAAAGAAAGGTGCGTGTTCCAAAGTTGTTCCAAGACGACGCTGTCACGGTGGTTGAAGAGAGTTGCGATGGCCCCTTTCTCTGGAGGGACAAATGACCATTGTCTACTTGATCCCGAATAGCAGGTGCACTGAGTCCTCCCCGTTGTGAAGGTATGACGCATGAGTGTGGGGATGTGGATGGCCCCTGAACATGTTGTCGATGCGCAAAGAGTAACTATAACGGTTGCTCCTTCGTTCTCCCTGCCAACTCACACTTAGATCTTCACAACATGGCTCCTGGAAATTGATGATGCGGAAGAAATTCACGTGTTTTATGGTATCAATGGTCCTCATTATCCGAACCTCGTCAAATATTCACAGCCCCCGAGCTCCTGCTACAGGCTTGAAGAATGAACTGTGACCATCGCCACTCCTCCATTTATCCAAGAATTCCTAGGTATGTTCCCAAACACCAAACAAAACTTTTCAACACAAGTTTGCCCTCAAGAGCTGCCCGTCTAGAAAAAAAGCTTACCGGAGCCGGTGCAGTTGAGCGCTTCCGACTCACATCCCAAAGTGTATATATAATATCCTGTCCCAGTCACAAACTCCTCCCTGCGGTGTAGGGTGTATGGGTAATGTTGTGATTCCCATTATTCGTGATTCATCCATTGGCGGAGGGGAATGCTCTAAATCCGTCCGCCTTCGACAACTTCTCTCTCGAGAATCTCTTGTCCTGCCTCGCCTGTCCGACGTCGTTCTAGGACCCAACGAGTAGCCCCGCTATCCTCCTCCTCTTTTGTGTATGATATACTATCAGCTGATGCGTTGTGCCGATGACCCAACTTGATGTGTCGAGAAGGGCCGTTGGAGCCCGAGCTGTCAGAACTCTTGTGACGTTCGAGCGGGCTCATCGCGGAGGGTGAAAACGGCGTACCCACCGAGTCCGTAAGCGGCGAAACGACTGTGTTCAACTGGGATGGCGGGCTTGATGCCATGTTCCAAGTTGAAGCACCCATATTCACTGGTGATTCAGCACCAGGGCTCATTAATGGCGGAACGGGTGGTAAGGAGGGCGTAAAACCAGGAATACCCCCCGTCAACGTGGGACTTCCTGATACGCTGCAATTGTCATCCGAGTCCTGGCTGACGGTGGACAGGACCGAGTTCTTCCGAGCGTGGTAGCTAGTTGGGCTTGAGAATGTGGCCCCCCATGGCGAGTTGGGAGCATCTCCCCTTTCTGACCGGGGAGAACCTTGGCTGGAAGCCAGGCTGACTTGAGAGCTGCCCCAAGCCTTAGACCGGAGTCGAAGAAGTGCTGATAGGCTCATCTCGTCACCGCGATCGCCCAAGCCCAAGAGGGCAAGCTGTGCAAGACCGGGGCTCTGGATTGGGGTCCCTGAGCTGAAGCCTGGCATGTTGAGACTCATCATTGAGTTGCGGTTAGAGTATTCGGACCGTTCCGTGATGGGCGTAAGGTTTGGTTCCCGAGACACCATGCGACCACTGGTCGATCGGTCGACACCACCCTTAGGTCCAAAGAATCCGCCGTTGGAAAACTCGTATTCGACCGACTGGTTTGGATTATGTGATCCGTACTGCTGACCTGGCGCGGAGTAAAAGCCAAATTCCTGGCCGTACCATCCATCCGAATCATTGGCCAAGGCACTAGCATTTGCCTCTGCAATGATGGCGTCGTCATCGAGTTCGAAATCGGCCATGTTCTCGTATGAGTATCCGTCGTCCTCATAGATATCATCCTCAAAGGATGTCCCATGGCCGGGCGTGTCTGGTGATTGTCCCATTTCGGACGAAGGAGGCTCATCTAACCGGGGTGATGAGGTGCGTTGGAATTTGCCGGAGAGAGCAGCTTTGTTTGCAGCAGCAGCGAGAGCAGCTTGGTAGGCAGCCACAGAATCACCATCAAGTTCTTCTCCCTTGGATGCAACAGGGCTCTGTGACGAATGCAACGATGGGGTGCTTTCTTCAGGTTGCTTCTCGTCGGCCGGTTTTTGACCGTTGACACTTAGTGAAGTATGGGCAGTTGACTGAGAAACGTCAGAATGAGCAGAGAACCGAGACGTTATGTCATCAGATTCCCGCTTTTGGACATCCTGTTGACCTGCACGCCGATCCTCCTGTGCCTGCGCAAATGCTCCTGCAATTGGCCGACCAAACTGGTCAGTGTCGTTGTTGTCAAAGATAGACTCATCGAAAGGGGTGTCATCCCATTCTGGAGGGGCAGCGAGATCCTCAGCGAACTCCTGGTTTTCGTATCTCATCAGTTCATCGTCGTAATAGGTGTCATCCTCCCTCCCGGGCTGTGGCGCATTGGTAGTGGGGAGCTGTTGATGTTGCTGGAATGCAACGTCGCTCTCAAGACTGGTTGGTCCCGGAATGTCGAGGCCTTGAATTCCTAACCCAGCAGCTTGTAGGTCAGAATTTGGCAGCATATGTGGCGAAAGGAGATTGGGCGATAGAGAATCAGGAAGTCCGGGGCTGTTTTTGCTCATGGCGAAGCCGATAGCATTCCCTTCCGCATCCCGTGGCGTTGCGATGAATCCAGCGCTGAGTGGGCTGGTCAAAGTAGATGTCGGGTTGGATCTTTGGAACACAAAGCCTGAGAAATTCTCCTGGTCGTCGTCAGGGTCAAGCTCATCGTCAAGAACACCTCCAAGACCGCTACCAAGACCGCCTCCAAGACTGCTGTTGAGATAGTCGATATCATCCCCTACCATGTTGATTTCCTCCTCGGGGTATTCGTCGTCATCCATCATGGCGTCATAGTCAAAGCCATCTTCGTCAAAATCGTCATATCGAGAATCTCGGTTGGACGGGGGGTCGGGCTCAGTTGTCTGCTTTTCCAGCTCTCGCTGGCGGTGCCTGTCTTCGAGCAGCTTTTCTTGCTTTGCAGCGCCAACCATATCGAAGCTGAATCTTGAAGACGTACTCTTCATGTGACGGGGTAATGCAGAAGGTATGTCTTTCCCGGAAAGACCAGATAGGGAGGGTCCTCTTGAACGACCGACACGCGTAGATGATTTCGAGTATACTGACCCGGCGTCATCGATGAGACGGGATGCCTGAGATGACCTCGGCTGGACCGAGATCGGTCCCTCGTTCTTTGGAGGCACCGGAGGAGCATGTTGAGGAGGGGACAATATTGCATTTGCAGTCCCATTCATCATATCAGATGTGTTGCTCAGGGTGGGTTTGAGCGAGTCTTGTGAGTACACAGACGCTGAGGCATTACTTGGGTTCCGTTCGCTTGTGGCAGACGCCTGACCACTCTCGACTGGGGAAGCTATTGTATTTGGAAACCTCTCCAGCTCAGGCAAGGTGCCAGATTGGGATGGAGAGAGGACGTAGGCTGGATCCCTGTTGGTGCTGGGAATGACTCTCTTGGGTCTCGGCGCACTGAAATCGTGAACACGCGTGCCTTTGATACGAGGGTCGTACATGGGCTCCTCTGGGCGGTTTTTAAGCGGGAGAGGAACAAGGTTCGGGACTTGTTGGCTGTTCTTCCTCCTCATCAATAAGGTCGACATGGGGTTCTTTAGGAATGGCAGTCCCTTTTTGGGCTTAGGGTTGTCGCTGTTGCTGCTCGTTGTGGAAAGTGTTGGCAGTTCGGTATGGAGGCGGGCGCCAGCAGGACGACGACCTGTTGGGGAGGCTGCTGAGTTGTGGAGATCGGTAGGAGTACTGAAAGACGCTGGCTGCTTGCTGTTCCTCACGGGTTGGGGAGGTGGCCTTAAGGGCGCAGGAGGATTGACGGGGGCCAGTGTCGACTGGGGAGTCCCTCTGGCAGAGTCTATGGTGTCGGTGGATTGAGCTGCCATGTCCCGCCGATACTTCCTGAGGGCAACGCCCCCTATAAAGCTGGACTCGCTGTTGTATGGCGACCGCGGCGGCGGGGCTCGAGGGTCCGGTTGGATCGTCATATCGGCATCTCGTCGAGGCTCCCGTTCAGATTCGGCTGACGTAACTCGGGTGATGGGGGGTAATGTGGGCGCTTGAGCGACGGGGTTGGAGGCGGCCTGGCGTAGGTCGGGCGAGAAGGCGTCTGGAGAATAGGGCGAGAGGAGCGAGGAGGGAGGAGAAGTTGGATGCTGGTCGGGAAGCGGCGAGGGAGGATTCGAATGCCCTCGCCGGTGAAATCGCAGATGGGACAGCATACCGGGCTAGGTCGGCCCAAGACGGGTCCGCGACTCAACGGGCCGCAGCGGCTGGTGGGGAGCAGAATCGAACGGTAGCGGTGCGTGGGGCAAACTCGACAGTGGGCGATGTTGTGGTGGGCGAAGCGATCCAGACGCGGTCATGACTCAAAGTGTAGGCGCACGCGCATCATCGCTGGCGGCTCGGGTGAGAGAGGCGCGGACGGATTCGGGGGCGGTGCTTGCGGATAGGTCGATGTACCAGGTTAAGTCTCGGGCGCGCGAATTGCTGACACCGGGGGAGCGGTGCGACGGACGATCCTCTACTTTGACGGGTCGGGACATGTACATGGGACGTTTGTGGTTTGCGGGAAGATGAATCGATTCGGACGGGCTGGGTGAGGCTGGTCGTCGTGACGTTTCAAAGTCTAGAAAGTGCCGGGGTTCGCAGCACGTGCGCGAGCTACTTGCCTGATAACACCTCTGAGAAACTGGGAAACCTGGAACACGACCAGGATGGATAATGCTTGGCTGATACCAGCAAAAGGCGATCTGGCCTTCCTTTATGTTGTTGCAATGCTTATCTCTACCGAAATAGAAAGTAAGTATCCCCCGGCAGATCTGATTGAGTTTTGGCGACCCTTCGATCTCTGGTCAGTACGGAACCAGCCTTGTGATGGTGGGGCGTGACCCTCAGTCTTAGCAGGACTACGTGGGGCTCAGGTAGGACAACGACGATGACCAAAAGAGCATCAAATCCACTCGAGGGAGTTGATCAACCTTATTTTCACTGGCTGCAATGAATGGCCTCCTTCTTCAGGGTCCTGTAGGACAATCCGCTAAAGCATTGAGTTTCTCGTCCCCTTTCGTTGCCCTTGACGAATGTCCCTGGTCGTTCTCCCTCACGGTCCCGCGCATGACTTGTTCACGATGAGCTTGACTCCTCCTCGCCGTCTAAGACAAAATCTACACCACGAGCCGCAGTCTGCAGACAGGGCAACGCTTGACCACTGTTGTGATGGTGCAGCCGTATTTTGTCTCAGAAAACCATCCGTCATTGGCAGAAAATATGCCAGTGATCTGCCATGCATTCCTTCGTACCGCCGCCCTGTGAAGGGTGTTGCGTGGAAGGAGTATGCTAAAGCGAGGGAACTGCCAGTGAGCTGTCAACTGATATGGATCGGCCAACGAAAGCGTGCACCACGTGATTGAAAAAGGAGTCCTGACGGAAGCCCTTAGCATGTCCTGTCCTAGCAAGCGCAGTCGTGGCAAGCAGGCCTGAATTGGTGGAAATAAGGCCATATTGCTAGTGCTTAGGACTGGAATTGACTCCCAGTCCTTAGTCCTCCCTCTCCCTCACCCTCTTGACCAAGAACCAAGATAAGGCTGAGGCTCAGGGCCTCCTCACTACTGAGCCCCCCACCCAAAGGTCAGATTTGTGATGACCGACCAGTTGTAGTTTACTCTGCGTCTCCATCATCGATCACACCGAACTGCCTTGATTCGGGGTTGAGAGGACTGAGGGTTGCCACCAAAATCTGACACACATTGATTTCTCCCCATCAGGATGATCACTGTGCGTTTTTTTGCGGGGTGGAGCAAGATACCTGCCGGAGCCAGATATACAAAAGGCATCAGTTAGAATTAACTACAAGGTAAGGTGGGAGGTTCTTTAAATAAAAGCATGAAGGTAATGTAATGACATGGAGAGACTCCTTGGTTAAGATTCACACACCGATCCACAAATATCCACATCCCAAAGCTTGGTGCTATTTGTTTACATTACTGCGTAGTAGTGCAATATCAAAAAAGGGCTGAGTTGCTCACATCACCGTGTGCATCCTTCTCTGCACTGGGAGGGTACGTGGCAGGGACATGCCAATCATGGTTGGATTGCAGAGGGGTGACGTGCTGTTGCGGCGTCGCAGAGTTGGGAGTATTATTGGCTTGGCTGGGGTATTACTACCAACTAAGTTAGAGAGTTGTGAGTGTGTTTGGTTGGGAGCATGTGTGGCTGCACTTGGGTTTGAGTCTGGATGCACGAACCAAAGCGTAGCTGCTGGCATGTGGATGGCCAGTCAACCCATGAATTGATTGATCTTGCTCCGTACTTTGTCGGCACGTCGGCTGGGATTTCTTGAATTAACCATGATTAGAGGCCGTTCTTGGTGCCGAAGGGCGCCAGAACGGCTACACGGCCGGGCCAGAGAGCGCTTAACACGGCAACGTAGCGGGGAAATCGAAGGGGATTGGAGGACGCCATGACGCATAAGGCCAGTCTCGTCCAGTTTCGTATATTATAGCAGCATTGCAGCGGAATATCGGCATCGTAAACAAAAGCCACCGCCAATAAAAGCCACAACCAATCCGACTCACCCGGGAAAGGATTATATGAGAGTTGGTCAAGACAGAGAGAAATTGGGAGGACCAAAGGGACAGAATTGGGCTTCAAGTCGGGCTCAGTCAATTGATACAGGGCTGACCTACATGATGTGTCGGGAATAAGAGGATGAAAGAAAGGTGACATGAGCTGCAGCGACGTGGCTCCCAGGGGCAGAAGTTATCAACAGAGGTGGCTATCTGTGCCTCGACTTTTTTTCCCGTTCCGAACAAGGCTGATGGTCTCGGAGCTAAATCAATAACAGTAGCACCGGACTAAGTTAATAACTGCAGTACTGGGGCCAAGTCAGGGACTCAGAGAGGCGTTGAGGTGTCTTGTGCCTCACAGCTGTTTCTGGTCGGCTCAAGATGAGACTCTTAAATCCGGATATATTCGTCTCCTTCTCCGCAGCCGCCCATGTGGTGCATCCCTGTAGGGCATCTTGGCGCGTTGGCAATCGGAGGGAAAGGGTCCGCCACAGAGCACTCGACTTGATGGCAATGGACGGAATCTGTCAGTTGCAGGCGTGGCGGCGACTTCGGTGGCGATGCGGCGATGCGGCGCCGCCAACCGCAATTCGGCACCACCATGGCGGACCTAGAACCCGGTCCACCAGCTGACGACGCTAAGCGTCACTGCAAAAGCGACATGGAATGGCCGTGTTGCCGAGAAAAAGGAGGACCGGGGGCCTTGCGTGGGAAACTGCACCAGCATTGCAGATTGCAACAATCCAGTTTTTCAAACAGCCCGAGGCAGAGAAAGCCCAGCGAGACGTGGTGTCGCGTGCTCGCTGGCCGGGAAGTGGGCATTTTGCACGCGGCTCCTCTGCTCCTTTGCAACCACCAGCCGTGGATTGCGCGTACAGAGGCATCAGAGCGGAGACCGGAGGTGGGCTCTTCCATGCACAGGGCACCTCCAATGCGCATCCCAGGGATCAGGGAACTGAGGATGTTCAGTGCAAGCAAGTGGGACATGCCCAAACCCGCCGTACGCTCGATGATGGTTGGCTCTTGGCCGGCTTGGCTCTCTGGGGGGCGGATGGAGCTGAGGCGTCCTGGACCCATGCCTCATCCCTCCTCATCCCTCTGCCGTGCGTTTGGAGGCCGATGGCTGGGGATCCGCGTAATTGTCCCGGCCTTGTCCCTTTTTTCGCCTTGTTGTAGCTTGTAACTTGTACTCCGTATGCGCTACTGATGAAGCTACGCGTACGTTATGTGCGACCTCTCCTGACGTGCAGCCTCCAGGACCTGCTTCTGTCTCTGATCAAACTTCTCTCTCCTAGCCCGCTCCGCTGGACCAACTTTGTCTTTCTTTTATCTGTTCGTTTTCATATCCCGACGCTCTTTTCCATCTGGTCTCCGATCGTCTCCGATACTCTCTTTCCTCCCTTGTCTCCGCCCTTCGCCGTCTTCCCCATCCGTTATCCTTTTCGGCTCCTCATTTGGCTCCTTGCTTGGCATCCACTCTAAACCGTCCACCGCGCGTCACTCTTGCCCACGTCATCTCCCAAGGGCCAAACCTGGCGTCAATATTGTTTCACTCCACCGCTTCTCTGTCACCTTCGGTCGGGCTGGTTCAACAACGACCTCTCAACCCAGCCCAGTGACCTACCTATCTGGCCCTCTCGCCCTCTCATCGAAAACTCCCATCATCACTTTCTCGATCGGCATCGATTTCTCGTCTTGTTCACGTCTTGTCCTTCAATTACTTCCCCTCCACCCCATCATGATCACCTCAGGGTGGCAATCACCCACTTCAATGGACCACAGTAATGGAGGCAACTCGCTGGCGAGGACCCTCGTCTTTTGTTCCACCCGCGCTTGGCGTGGCGGCTTCCGAGTTCTCCTCCAGATTAGCGCCGTTCTGCTCACCATCTTCATTCTCTTTGGCCTGTTGCCTGAACGGATGGGCGTCAGTAGCAACTTGATAGGCTACAAGGACATGTTGTCATGGAAAGCCGAGCCCGAACAGCAGTCCAACCTCAGAATTGTCGTCTTTGGTTCCCCCGATGTAGCTGGCAGCGCTGCTGATCAAGTCCATGTGCGCACAACCTGGACCGAGGAGCTTTGCAAGCAGGTAAGAGATATCCGCCCTTTAACCCACAATATTCCCAAGCAACTGTCTCACACTTGCCAGATGAACTGCACATCGCATATTTCCCTTGTTCCCACAGGCGACTCCAGTCATGGGATGGCATCTCACGCCCTCTATGCTCACGAACTCAGCGCCTTGAACCAGATCACCAGGGAAACCAACATCACCGACCAACCTGCCCTTGATTACGACTTCATTGGCGAACAGTACCCTGTCCCGGTTGGCACGCCTGATTTGACCGATCAGATCAAGCAGTTCCTTGCCATGCCGCCACCCGACGCCGTGCCACACGAGACGCTCTGGATCTTCACCTTTGGTACTTGGGAAATCTGGAACATGGCTGCGCTTCCCCTCGGCACGGCAGAGGATCTCATTGACTCCATGACCACCCACATCTTCGCCCAGATCGAGCACCTGTACAAGCATTCGCTTTACCCCAACTCGGTTGCCTTTTCCGATTTCTGGTCTAATGCCACCGAGTCCCAGGTCCAGGAGCTGACGGCACCCAACGCTGCTTCCGACGTCGACGATCGCAAGTTGGAGAACTTCCGAGTTCTGATCCCTAAGCTCTTTGACATCACCCTTACCCCAGGCTGGCGCGGTCGCCCCTCGCCTCCCTTTCCCAACACCCAGGCCGAACAGACCCGCAATGCCGTGTGGCTGACCAGGTACTGGGACCAAGCAATGGATTTGGGACTCATGAGGTGGAAAGAGATGAGGACCAAGAAGCCTGATGGCGTAATCGATGAGACGGATGAGCATGTGGTAAAGAGGAGGAACGAAGAGGGTGACGAGAGTGACAACAATCAGTCCCACTCGTTGTTCGATTACCTGCCGGCGTCCATGCGATCCAAAGCTCTGAATGCCACCGAGGCCAAAAACGAGCGAGTCATCTATGCACCGTATCCTCTCCGCAACGGTCTGCAAATCGACCCGGCCAAGACCATTCTAAACGCAATGACGGAGGAGGATATGCAGCGGTCTGCAGTCAAGGACTCCAAGGGCTTTGGAACACTGTCTGCCAACGACTCGTTGCGATTTCTGGACGTGTGGACGCCCTGCGTTAGGGCCATAACAGAGGACTTGTCCGTCGACATGGACGAAGTGACAGAAGAGTGCTCGATCCCCCACGACCACCTATTTTATGATGCCTTCACCATCGGCCAGCGAGCCATTGTGGAGGTGACGAAGCCGGTACTGGAATCCGTGCTGGAAGGCCTGTTTGTGCGTCAACCAAAGTCCAGCTGGTTCTACTAGAACCGTGGGTGACATGTTGCGGCAAAACCAAATGATTTTGGGAGTTTGGGGTCCGGGATAATTGTGGATTTCTTGTTGTATACCAAGGGACGCACGCATGCAGATTTGCATCAAGTGGGTTTGAACCAACACAGGCGTTTTATAGACGATGCTTTTATTTGTTGAATGGGGAGTGTATGATATATTAGTAGCCGTAGAGAGCTACTCTGTTACCCTCAGAATTGATTCGATCATTTCTGCATGATGAATTGAGTTGTGGATATTTTAAAGTCTAATACGGGTTTCCTGGTCCTGGTTCTTAGCTCGCTGGGGGTTGGATGCCGAAAATAGAACCCCGGCAGTTGATTCTGACTGCCAGATACGGCGATATCAGGCGAGAACGCGGACCAGATAAGCCTGGTCGGAGAGACTCGGCCGGTCCACTTGCAGATGCGGCGGACAGCAAGGTACGCGGCCCGGGGACCAGTCTTTACGGGAATGCCGCTTCGTTCAATTCTTTCAAGATGCCACCGGCCTCACCCGCCGGCCCCGTCAGCGCGCCGACCACCCTCCCCGTCCGCGTCCGCGTCTTGCCCGCGCCAAGCTTTGTGGCGTCGGCTTCCGAGATGAGATCGCCCTCTAATTAACACCCAACTTCGGCGGGGCGGGTCCCGTAGCGCATCCAATAGCGCCTGTCCGCAGCCCGTCGCTCATGATCCCGGCGCCTCACAGGGCAAACGTGCACTACCGCACAGCACCGCACAGGCTGGCAGGTGACCGGTCAGCAGCCTAAACGCCGTTAGTGGGTCACCTCAGCGGGCTTAGGGCTGGCGATGACGGCATCGTCGCGACTTGGGACGGTCAAGTGCAGCACTATTCTCGTCGACTTGTCGATGCCTTCCCTTTCGAAACAAGAGCCGTCGCTCGAGATCCACCCGCGGAGGCGGATCGGTGCGACGAGACGAGACGGACACGGGGCTGAGGCCTTATGCGACCTGCGACGCAGAAGGAATATGGGCGTTTGGTTTAGGTTGCTCCAGTCCGTGACCCTCATCATGCAGCAACGTCACGCCCCCTGGTCCGTCACTCGCGGGATACGGGATGTGGTGTGCGACACTCTGACTTCCCCGACGCAAATCCCACAACTCCAACTCGGAAGGTCACAGGTCCCCTGGAGCCAAGACTTGTCAAGGTTGTCCCTCAGCCATTCAGCTGCTGCAGGGCTCTTTCAGCTCTTTCCAGATGCGCGGGGTCGCCGCGGTTGCACGGTTGCACATTAGCCTATCGCCCGCCATGTCGTCGACACGGGCTCTTGTCTTTTATACACTTGCCTATAACAACCGCCTCTCTCCCCGACCTGACCTGACCGAACGAGCACGAGACTCGAAACCGCTGATACAACCGCTCTACAACCCGCTAGGCCACGCGACCCCGACATCGCCATCCAGAGTCCTCAGCCGCGAGGACGTTGTTCCAGGCAGCACCTCGCACCAATACCTATACCCAACCCCAGGCACACGGCCCGCCGTTCCCTTCTTTCACAATGGCAGTCCCCGATCCAAAACCTTCATCTGACGCCAACGCCATGCAGTTGCGCACCCGCAAAGAGAAGAAGTTCGAAGAAGTCGAGGCCAGCCTGCCCGACCCCAAGGCCTCGTCCCTGCAGCGCCCGCTGTCGTCCCTCAACTTCAGTGGCTGGTTGTCTCGCATAGGCAGCTTCCCTCGCTTTGGGAAGCCAGTCGACGGGGAAGATGTCGTCTGGCTGTTCGACAACACCGCATACAAGTCCCCAGAGAAGGGCGAATGGGAGGCAGAGTTTATTGCCGCTGTCTTCGAGCCTGATCTGAAGTACCACCTCGCAGATGTCGTGTCGAGCATCGCTAAGATGCTGGGGCTCGCCGACGATGCTGACGAGCGCGACACCATCGAGGAGCGCCTTATCCCGTTCCTGTGGGACATCCAGACTGTGCGAGTGTTCAAGGTGGACCACCTAGGGAAGGAACTCAAGTTGGGGCCGACAAGCATGAATGGAATCACTTCCCAAGTGCTGCCCGTTAAGCGCCATCATAAGGGATCGTTTGCCAAAGGGACAGCCAAGGTGCCCAGCAGCGTCAAGGGGATCCTCCAGATGCAGACATGTTATGCCGGTTCGGAGGGTTGGTCGATAATCTCGGGTATGTATCTTCTCTTCCTGTTGGACTTCAACAAGCCATCGCTAACACATGTCGCATTAGACATCGACGATACAATCAAGATCACACTCACAAGCGACCCCCTCGGCATCCTGCGCGAGACATTTGTTGAGAAACCCAGACCAGTCCCGGGCATGCCCGAGCTCTACGCCGACCTCAAGTCCCTTCTCCCGCGCGACACCCCGTGGTTCTACCTCTCTGCCTCTCCCTACAACCTATACCCGCTGCTCCACGAGTTTCGCACCCGCTACTTCCCCCCTGGTACCATGATCCTGCGCGACTCAAACTGGCGGAGCGTCGCTGGTCTACTCACGGCCCTGACCGTGGCCACGGAAGAGTACAAGACTGATCGCATAAAGAAGATTTACTCGTGGCTGCCCGAAAGGAAGATGATTCTCATTGGTGACTCCACTCAGTCGGATCCGGAAGCCTATGGCGAGATGTAAGTTTCACCACGTCCAACCACACACTTGTTACCTTCATATTCTAACATAGAAATAGCTACCGGGCTAAGCCTGGTTGGGTCAAAATGATACTGATCCGCAAGGCTACCGACATTTCCTCCTACGGCATCGACGAGAAGAACCAACTCCAACGTTTCGAAAAGGCCTTCAAGGGCATACCTCCAGAGGCTTGGCATGTCTTCGAGGACCCGAGCGAGTGCAGCTTGATCGTGAGGAAACTAGTCCGCAGGGGCGGTAAATGAGGGCATCATGGTCGTTTTTAGTACTTTTCTTTGCTTGCGCTTTAACTATGGTTACTGGTTGTACGGGCGTTGCTTTGGGTGTTCTGTTCACGATGACTTACGGTGCATAGCGAATTAGGTGTGGTCGGGGCAATGCGGTTTCACACGGTTTTGGGTTACTGGGTACACATAGATTCATTTTTGACGAGTATTGTCATTCAATGCGCTCACAATGTTATTTACATATATCAAGTCCATGCCACAGCTCGGAAGAGAATCATCGACAACGCAAACAGCAAGACCGAGGTCTAGCATATCCTTCCGCTTAGCATAATGTGGATAGCCATGTAGTGTAGATGGATGTGACACCATGGACCAAATTATTGCAAGACACTTTGGAGATGATGGTAAAAGAAGCGAAATTCGTTTGTATACTGTCTCGAACTTCCCTAGCATGCAATCAATAGATACCAAGAACTGTTGGTTTCGTGCATGTGGCGAGAGTGACCCCCCGCAACCATGCCACAGTGTATGAGGCATCCTCCAGACCCATGACCCTCCCTCATATTTGCTTCATACACACCAAAGCCGTGTTTCAGTGTCCTCCTGCAACTTTCGGCCAGATCAGCCTACGCCAAGTCCAAACATCTGAACAACCTGTGCAAATATTTGGGTGTCAGTGCCTGTGCTGCTTCACTAATCGCTCCAAGTATTATCCCATCCACCAGTGTCTGGTGAAAAATGAATGACTCCGTAGTTCTCATCGTCAGAACCCTCACCTTTTTTGTCGGCAAAGCCGTCAGACGACCCGGTAGTGAATGTCAAGTAGCCGCCTTCATTGCACAACTCCGCCACTGCTTTCAGATTGGCTGACAAGACAACTTCGGTTGTAATCCGAAGGCCTTGAATCTTTTTCAGAAATGTAGTAAGTAGACAGCAAATCAAATGTCTCTTGCCATCATTATGAACAGAATTGTTGCGGGTGAATCGAAGCCGCAGGTTGATTGAAGATCGCGTGTAACATCCTTCCATGACATGGAGTAGGGTTTCGAGTTCCCAAACAGAGGAGCTGGTGGAGTGACTGGATTTGATTGAAAGCCCGATATCGCCGAGAAAAATGTCCAAGTGTTTGATGAGCGAGAAATATGGTTCGACTTGAGCTTTGAAGTGAAGGAGGGCTTTCGAGTTTTTGAATCCCAACATGTTAGTGCCATATAGCACCGGAAGGCCTTCCTCGACACTTAGGTCACGTTAGAATCCTGGTACGGTAACGATTGTGGGTTTGTAGCGACGCAGGGAGACTTACGCTCGTTTACAAGTGCGAAGCAAACTCGCCGAGAGAAAACACCACTTGTGGTTGGACTCATCGTGTTTGTGTGGCTCTGTGTCATTTCTTCGACAGACGCAATGCCACCAACCTGGTAGGCGACCGGCAGGATGGCCTTTTCGGTGGAACAAGGGAGATTGATGGCAGAATTCAACATGTAAACGGCGTTCACCGAAGAGTTCCAGGTAAATGAGGCGCCGGGTGTCTTCACTGAGATTCTTGAAGAACGGCGATTTTGCCTGGTCATGACCCTTATTGAATCTGTGGCCCATCTTGGAGTGCAAGGGTGACACACGAGAGAAAGGTCTGATTGACGGTGAACTGGCCGAAGGGAGAGGCCCCAGGAAGTTTTGGAAGTGAGGCGAAGATGGTGAAAAGGTGAAAAGGTAAGAATTTGAGGCGGGCGATGGAAGGACCTTGGGGGACACAAGTCACGAGCGGCTGCAAACCCTTTCAGTGAATCATCACGGCCATTTTGTGACGTGCCAAAGTTGGGGGTTCTGCGCCTTGGCAGGTTTATTCACGGAGCAGCCCTCGCTTCTCACCAGTCCAGAGTTATGCAGAATACACTTTTCGTTATCACTACCGACTAAGCTGTCGCAATCACCAGCCTTTCCCCCTGATGAAGTGCAGGTACATCCACCCACAAGAAAATTCGGGCTACCTTGATTGACAAGTATGAAAACTCCATGCTCCAGCTCTTAGCGGGCAAAAACCAGTCCCAAATTGCCCTCAGAGCAGACCGCTGTCGCCTTGCCCACCCTTGTCCACCCCCTCAGTTCTCGCCAGACTTCCTTCCACTTGACAAGTTCAAGAGGCATTGTGAAGGCCACCAAAGCTGTTCACATATCGGGTTCAGAGTCATGAGAGCCATGCGCTTACAAAAGGTGTTGCGAGTAATAGGTTCGGACATCATCAGTGCGAGAGCGAACATGGCCGCTGAAGTCACGGCCAAAGTCAAAGCACGGAAAATTTTGTGAGACCCCGAGATTTAGTTTCCTCACACTCGGAGCCCTCGTCACTGTTGTCCGTTGGCGAACATGGCATCAGTGCGAGCAAGTCTCTTTCGATCAGTCTCTTCACCTTGGACTGAACGGCCGACAAGAGGTTTTCCGACAAGAAGAGATCAATATGCCGGACAAAATCGTCATCACTCCGTAGAAGTTTTTGCACAGCTCGTGCTATAGCTGACACGACGGATCTCTTCCCCACCGAGAAGCCATACTTTTCTAAAACCCGAATCCGCAGGTTGAGACGGTGGAAAGGCTCACGGATGGTCGTGCACAAGGCTTTGAGCTCTGGAAGCCAGTCACCTTGGTGTCGACGAGGTCCATCGCCCACGACGACGTCAATAAACCTGAAGGAGTGGAGGTATGACATCGCGTAGGACTGAAAAGTGGAAAAGTCTCGCGGGCTGTGGAATATAAACGAGTTTGTCCCGTAGAGGATGCCAATGCCTTCTTCAAAACTATGATTTGTCAGGTTCACTTATTTAAAAGCCATGGTTACATGTCCAAGCACAGGCACAACTTACGCAAACTTGCAAGTGAAAAGAAGATGAGTGGCCAAATAACATTCCCTTCCCCTGTGTCTGCGAACCTCCTCCTGAGCACCCACTGCTAGCAACCAGCAAGCCCAAGAGCACCACTCACGATCATGCTCGCGGTACATATCGGGGGCTTCCTCGCGTGATTTTCGACAAATGCAATGCCACAGGCCAGGAAGCTTGGGAGTCTTGGTTGTCATACCTCCCGCTTTCGGCTGAGAAAAGCCGATATGGACGAGAGATTCACCAAAGAGTTCGATGTAGATGAGGCGACGGATATCCCAGTTTAGCTTTCTGAAGAATGGGGACACATCTTGTGCAGATCCATTCCTAAACCTGTTCGATATCATGGTGCAAACCCGAGATGTTGTTGGGTCTTGAGGTTGCAAATGGGGAAGAAAGATTGAAAAAGGAAGAGAGTGAGTGAAGGGAGACAGATAGAAGAGTGAAAGCCTTTATAGGCGGTGACCTCGCAGGTTAGTAACTAGCAGTAAGCAAACACGAGTGTCGTAGGCAGGCATCTGGTCAGGCTCAAGGCTGCCTTTCGGTTCCTCATCCTCGACATCAATCCAAACGCCAGGTTCGTTGGTTGGTTATATAGAGGCTATCGCAAGCCCATCCAACGGAACCAACTACTCAGAGGTGACTCAATATATGGTCAATTGGTCCATGACCCCCGCGTCGTGCAACTCGCCCCGTAACCCAGCGCGTTCGTTCGCAGATTTTCACGGAGGTTCACAGCCACGCGAGCCGAGCTCTTCCACGCACGCATCAGGCTACGACATATCTTCAAGGTTCATAGCCTTTGTCTTTATCAGATGGATCACGGCAATAAAGCAGCAAACAACTGGGCAAACCAAGCACCACACTCAGTGTTTGGAATCGCAGTAATTAATAGTGGAGTTGTAGAGTTGTGTTTGTCTTGAGTCCTCGCTTTGACCCTGCTTCCCTAACTATGTGTAGGTAAAGAAAGATATTGACGTGTGTGGATAACAATGCTCTGCACGGGACGGAAGATCCATAGTTGTAAACAACTATCAATCTACTCAACTGGTAATATTTCAAGACTACATTCTGTGCGACAGCGAAAGAACACGAGTTGAATCAAAGTCGAGTTGCTCCTTTTGGAACGCAGACCTCGTTGACTAGAGTTACAAAAGCGCTCGAGGCTGTCAGCGTTCTTTTTCTGGGGCATGAGCGAGCTGCCTGTGGAGTAGGCATCGGCGAGGCGAACGAAACCGAACTCGGCGGTGGAGTAGGACGAAGTCACGGTCGGCAACAGCGCCCATGGAGTTCCACAGGATACCCTCGAAGCCCAGCTCCTCGGCCATCATGTCACGGTCGATGCCGAAGGGGTTGCCAGCAAGGGCACCGCACCCGAGAGGGCTTCGGTTGATGCGCTTGATAACCTCACGGAGGCGCTCGAGGTCGTTGGCAAAGGCGAAGCCGTAGGAGAGCATCCAGTGGCTCCAGCGGACGGGCTGAGCGCGCTGCAGGTGGGTGTACCCGGGCATGATGTAATTGATCTCGCTCTCGGCACGGGCAGCCGTCAACTTCAAGAAGCTGGTGAGCTGGTCGTCAATCTTGCGAAGCTCATCGCGGAGCCACATGCGCATGTCGCAGACAACCTGCTCGTTGCGGCTGCGGCCGGTGTGGAGCTTGCCGGCGACATTTTTGCCAATGATCTCGCCGAGTCAGCGCTCGTTGGCAGTGTGAATGTCCTCCTGTTATCTGTTAGACTGGGAAGATGGCAGAGATGACGCCGAGGCGCAATGGGAAACGACGTACGTCGACGCCGGAGATGATGGTGAAGGTGCCAGTCTCCCACTCGTTTTGGACCTGGAGAAGACCCTTCTCGAGCTCCTCAAACTCCTCCTGGGTGATGATACCGTTCTTGGCGTTGGCGCGGGCAAAGGCGATGCTGCCAAGGATGTCCTGCTTGTAGAGCACACGATCGAAGAAGATGCTCTCGTTGTACTTGACCATAAGAGGATCGAGGCCACCTACGGAGTGACGTATCAGAGCGCCGCCCTTGAAGATGCTACCATGATGGAAGGGGACCAAAGGGAGACATACCGGTGAATCGACCACCCCAGAGCATGCTGCCCTCTGGCTTGGAACTAGAGGCCATGGCTGCAGATGATGTTTGCGAATAGAACGAGGGGCGGGCTAAGGCGGGAATATGCGCGTGAGACGAATTGGAGGTTGCAGGTGAGGTTGGGCAGATGATTTGGGCAGAAGTTTTGGGCAACAGGTCTGGTCCCTATTAGAGCGAGATGCGGTGCAATGCTTCACACATGCCGTCAAGGAGTCATCAAGGAGTGAGTCACGGACCACCCGGATGAGGAATTCTCAAGGTGTTGGGACTGATTCCATTGGTTCCATTTGTTCCATTGGTTGTATCAGCCTTTTCTTCCCCAGAGAACGACGGGTAGCTGCAGCTTGGGGGGAGATGATTGGCCATCTGGGGGATGTCTTTGACTTATCGCGGGGATATTCAGACATGAAAGGCAGGGAGACAGAGACAACATACAAGTCTGTGCGGGTACGTCTTGGTGGGCGGAAGGGATGGAATGCCGACACTGACTGTTGAGAATGTACTTTCCTTTTGTGTTAAACAACAGAGGACTACCTACTCAAGCGCAAACATCTCCTCGCTGCCCATGCTGTCCGCTCTATCAATTAGGTACGGTATGTAGTTAGTCTCCATGCCTTCCCGTCATCCCGTCAGCTACTAAGTGGACGGGGATTACTAAGGTGGGTTTAGGGGCACGAGCCATGGCCCAGAGAGAGAGAGCTCCTCTGCAGTCACGTCAGAGTAGCCAAAAAAAAAAAAAAAAAAAACCTCCGTGCCGTGAAGGGTCCCCCGATGCCGGTGCTGACCGACCGCCGACCGGAGAGAGGAAAAGGCAAAACCGGGCGAAACGGTCCAGGTCCGGAAGGGCACGATGGGTGTTGGTTTTTTTCTTTTTCTTTCTCTTTCCCGTCGTCATCCTGCATGTGTGCGTCGGGCGTGAGGGTGTAGAGCAAACATGGCATGTGCTCGTGCTCGTGCTTATGCTTCTGTGCTTGTGCGTCGTGGGGTGCAGTTCTGAAATTCTGTGAATCCCGAGTTCCAAGAAAACAGGCGGGAGAAAAGCATGTGCCTCCCCGATAAATCCCCGGCGGAGGTTGTGTCGCCGCCGGCGTTCCTGGGCTTGCGGGCGGGAGGTGTGGTCGCTGTAGCATCAGTGGTGTTCACGTGGTGGGGACTCTGCATGTGGACATGGATGCGGCGAGCGGTTGCTCCAAGTCGCAGCTCCGTCGTTTGTTGTCTGTTGCTCTGCTTCCAGAGCCGCTGCGGCGCCTTGTCGTGTCCCCCGGTGAGGCGTCCGTGTGGGTTCGCGAGGTGTGAGGTGTGTGTGGAGGTGGAGATAGTCGCTCGACGCTGCTGTGGTAATGCTCATCTGTCATAGCCTCCACCGGCGCTGGGATTGGTCCAGATCCGGGCGAACGCGTTGCGGGCTGCAGAGATATCAGAGTCGTGCCAGGGGAAAATCAGACGGCATGTCTCGAAGCTATTGCAATTGCATTGTTGTCGGATGAGCGGGGGGTCCGCGCGAGGCTACAGTACGCTCTCATGTTGCGTCTCGGAGCCCTCCGCCGATTCAATTGAATCCAAGAGAGGGACGCAGGCCACTTTACATAGTATGGTCAGCGATCCGGCCGTCTACCAATCCGTCTCGGACCCATCTACAAACTACGGGGCTCTCTTTTTCGCTGGAGTCTGGAGATAGGGTTGATGGGCGATCGAAAAGTATTCATCAACCAGATTATCAATCATCTTGGGCGCGTCGCTCCCTAACTCGCTGCCAGTCGCCGAAGCTTATTACCCCGTACACCCGACCCTACACTAAGACCCTTCTAGGCCAAGGTGTGTCCACGACAACATGAATCGCCTCGTTCGGATGTCCGGCGCGCGACTCTGGAACGTTAGCAGCAGTTCGTACGTACGGGACTAGGGGAGCAGGGTCTAGTCTCCTCCGCATGCGGCGGCAACTAAAGCAACAGTAGTACAAACGAATGTTACGTAGGTGGGTAATTACGTCGGTGGCCAGGCAGTGAATTGGGGATGTGGTTGGGGATGTGAATGTTGGCGGAAGTCCTCCGAGCCGAATCTGCCTTTGCATCCACGCAAGGCAGCAGCATCTAGGTTAGGTGAGACGACGGCAGATGCAATTAGATAGCCTTTCATCCATCATTGACATTCCCATCAGCCGGACGGAAGCTTCTTCCCCAGAGTTTAGTGGCGCTGAAGGCAATGACAGACGCCCATATGCCCGTCGACAATCGCCCGCCCGCCCGCAAGCCAACCACCCCCAGCGAGCTGAGAGTGCGCTTGCTGGAAACGGCAATAATTCCCCCCGCGAAACACCCTGCACCCGTGCAACGGAGGCGTCTGTAGCCAACATCCCGCAGGAACGGGAGTGCTAGTACTGTAGGTCTGTGATGAGGAGCAGGAGGAGGGGTTACGAGGGGGTGGGTGGCCAGGGCATGGGGATGAGGTGTGAGTAAGTGTGTGTGTGTGTGTGGACAAAGAACGGCCAGTCCGTCAGTGCACCACCCATTCACCCATCCATCCATCCATTAATTCACCTCTCCATCGGTCCATTAGCACGGGGAAGAAAAAAAAAGTCTGCTACCACACGCCTTCTAGCTCACAACCAAAAGGTTCGGACCGGGGATGGCGGAACGCAAAAATGAGCACTACGATTCACGGTGGAAGCGCGCAAGGTCTCGACGGTGGGTTGCGTTGTTTGACGGCGGCACGGAAATGGCATCATGGGCGTAAGGCGTGGGCGGACGGCCCAGGGGCTGCTCCGAGGTTCGGCTCGCGGAGCATCTTGCTACGTAGGACAGGCCCATGATGTGGTGCGTTGCGTCTGTACATGCGCGTGGACGTGGAGGTGTGAGTGTGATGTTTCCCATGTGCACTCTGGACTGCCCTTGGGCGTCAGGGCATGGCATCCATCACACATGTCTGCCCGAACCAGGAATCATGGGATGCTTCCTCGTCGAATCGGCAGACGTCGCCCAGCTGCCAGGATGCAGGCCCATCGCAGGCCCATCTCATCCCACATGCAAGTTGCAGTTCCAGACTCCCCGATGCAGGTTCGGTGCTGCCCGCCGATTACACGCCATTCGCTCTGCCGCTGCGTGCCCATGGCGGCGGCCCCCATCCCTGGTCCGCTCCGCTCCGCTCCGTCTCCGGATGTGGTTGCTTGCCAATGGCGTCGCACTCGGCGCAACGCTGCCTGGCAGAGGAGCTCCACCCGCACCTTTGGGCTTCGTGCGTGTTTTGCTGCGTGGTTGGAGGTGGACGCGTGGGGAGGTGGGCAAGGTGGATGAGGTTTGGGAGAGCAGAAGCGTGGCACAGAGCGGCGGCGTCAAGAGTGGGTAAACGTGGTGGGTGGCCGGGGGTGGGCTGGCAGTGGGTGGGCTGGGGTGACGTCCCCTGTAAGCCCTGCATGGCCCTGGACTTTCAGGCGCTGTTGGCGTTTTGGGGCTGCTTGGGGAGGTCATTGTAGTGGGAACCGGGCTGGGAACTGGGCTGGGGACCGCCGAACTACTACGTAGTTCAGTGCGAAGGAGGAGTGGCTCCAGCCTTTTTTAGCTCGGCCAGCCCAACCGAAGCAGAAAAATATGGCGAGGTGAGCTCCTCGAGGCGTCCGCCGCGGGAAAAATTCCTCATATACAAATCACGCCCATTCCCGTCCACCCCACGACGTCCTTTTCTCGCTCTTCTTCCTTCCTCACTCACTCTCTCCCTCACTCAAGTCAGCCATCCTACAGCAAGCTAACGGGCTTCGATCGATTCATTGCTACTCCTTCGTCCACTCATCCAATCCCCAATTCCCAATTCCAAATCCGGCTCTCGTCGCCTCTGCTCGCCCGCACTCGATTAAGCCGACTCAACCTAGCTTTCCCGCATCTCCCGGCTTCTCCCACCCTCACTTCCTCAACCACCACCAACCACCGCAAAACCACTCAACCAGCAACCGCCGCCATGTTCTCCGCCACTCGAGCTCTCCGCCAGGCTGCTGTGCACGCCGAGCGCACTCCTCTCATCAAGTTCCTGGGTCCTCGCACCATCCCTGGTACGTCACACCCACTCCCACGGCTAGCCTGCCTGGCCAACAGCCGAACAACAATCCAACATCCCCTCGTACACTGCTAACATGACTCCTCACAGCCAACCTCGACCACTCTGCCAAGCCTCACCCCGCTTCTCCTACTGGCACCCTCCCCGAGAACTTCACCCACTACGGTGACGGCTCAGCTTCCTCCCGACACACCTCCTTCAGCTCCTACCGAGACCATGCCCAGCAGCACGGTCCTCTCCAGAAGACCATCCGTCTTGAGGATGGCATTGGCGGTACCTCGGGCGCCAGCCTTGGCCCCGTCAACGCTCCCTCTGGCATTGCTTTCGACGTCTCTGAGCTCCCCGCTCGCTTCCGCCGTGCTGCCCTCAGCGCCGCTGAGATCGAGGCCATTGAGTCTGGTGGTGCTGCTCTCGTCGGCTAAATGCCCCATCCATGGGTGATGGGGACACGGCGGAGGCGGGACGAATGGGCTGAACGAACGATAACACACAATCACGCTGAAAAGCGATGAGGCGGGGGGATGACACTGCCTGGAGCACAACCCCCCAAGGCGACGAGTATGAAGACACCGCGTCACAGCGGAGGCGGCCACATGCACTGAATAGTGCATGATGTTCGGGGACAACTACGCAGGACTCTCCCCGTTGACCAGCTGGAGGAAGCGAAGCATCCTCCGCGGCATGGCCAGCTGTTCTTCTCCATCGGCCAACGGGGGGTTAACTACAGCACCATCCCGGGAGAGGCAAAACAAGGGTTGGTCTTGGTCAGACAGCTATAAGAGGCTGTGGAGAAGACCAGAAGTGATGAGAGGGTGGAAACCCAGGGTGTCAAAAGCGAGTATCCTTGGATAACGGAGACCGGTTCGAACTCCGTTTTTTTCTGTTAACTTGACTGGCATCAACGCCTTTCTCTGCATAGATGTATACCTACCTGGGTGCTTTAACAGCACGCGAGGAGCATGGCGTTAAGCATGGAGACTTCAAATATTGAATTGACAAAAAAAGTTCCAAAATCTTACCAAGTCCATTGACTCCTGTGTCTAAACTCAACCTCGATCCACCACTTGCCCATCCCCTGAGGTTCTAGATGACTCCGAAACCAGCATTCACGCCACGTTCTGCCCCCCGGGCGCCGGAGCTGTTCATTAACACCCAGTCAGCCCCCGACTCGGCCGGTCCAGAACACCTTGAATTTCTGCCCAGTCGGCTTCTTGCCGGCCCCGGCAGTATCGCCCGTTCCCGTCGTCGGCATCGGCTTCTCTCGCCACCCACCCACGCACCCGGCACGATCACACACACACATTTCTCTGTCCACGCCGGCCGCGTCGTCGGGTCAAAATGAGAGCCGACTTCGATCAAATACCCACTGCGCGTCTGCTGCAGCGCACAGTTTTCCAGACAAAACTATGTTTTAGGCGCCGATTTTGAGAGGCGGCGAACCGGGCCGGCGCCGGGACCGGGTTGACTTAGACGGGATTCGAGCTAGGCACAGAGTGAGTGCGGCGTCCACTCCATGTGGTGTCATTGGCGCTTCATTTGCACGTCTTGACTTGTACGTAACCAAGAGAAACGTACGTGCTTTCCAGAAATTGCTTGGCTGTTCTGTAGTATTTTCCAACAATGTCCGCAGCCGGGGCCTGTGATTCCGATCCTTTCCGAAATGTCGTGGTTCGAGCCAGGCTCCGACCTTTCCCGACCATGATTTACACTGGGGACCTGGCATAAGACCCGAGCGACATGATGGGACCCAGGCCAGGACGGTGAGCACATGGGGGTGCTTCGAATCAATGAGGCGGTATGCGAAAATAAAGCCCAAAGCCCCTGGTCGGTTTGTCGGTACAGGGAACCAGGGAGCAGCCTCCTGCAGGCCAAGCTGCTGTGTGTACGACTCACACGGGCGCTGTCCCGTCGGAGAGTTTCACTACAGCACCCGTGGGCAAGGTAAGGGTTGGGTGGTATTCAGCCCTGTGGTGGTGGGCGAGGGCCTACGGTGGTAGAGGTGTCGTATGATGAATCATGCGAGGGGTGCAGCAGGACAGCGTCAGGGGCGGCGTAAGTGCCGAGTGGCATCGTGGGATGGTTCATATGATGTTTGCATGGGTGGGCGTGAGGGTGTGGGATGTTTTGGGGGCGAGGAATGGGATGCCTTGTGATGGTCATCATAGGATATCGGATTCGCTTGAATGTGTCGTGGAAGATGAGGATATCAATGGTCCATCTAGATTTCTTTGGTCGAATTTGTGTATGCATTTGATACAGTTTTGCATGTGCTTTTGAAGATCCCCATCAGCAAGAGAATCTATAGTAACAGGCTATTGCAGGCTTGATCCCAATATCGAACAGCAAATCTACCCAAGATGGTGTCAATGTGGACAATTCGGCTTCTTGCAACCAAACAACAATATTTTCCGAGGTTCGGGGCACTAGCTTAACCGTTGCGAGGGGTTTCTACTCTGTATCATGTCTTCGTACCGCGGCCGGAATAAAACTCGAATAACAGCTGATATTTAGCCAAGGCAATATTGTTGTCCCTCGGCAATGTCGCTTCTCCTCTCGGCTGAGCCATTATACCACGTGAGCGGCACAGCAACTCGGCTGAAGATAATATCAGGGTTCTATGGGGTAGAACCGGTGGTAAAATGCTCAGAAGTGATCCACCACTCCTATGGCTTGTCGAAATGTCCTTCGCGTGGTTGAGGTTGTAGCGAGAGCCGACGTTCCTTCACCCATCGAGGGCATGGGAGCACAGCCACAAATGGAGGAGGTTGTTTCGAATGAATGGCATCGAAATTCTTAGGCAAGGTATTTCAAGGCGCTACATGCTTTCCCAATTCCAATTTTCTCAGTGTCTTTTGGTGTCTCCTCGTCATTCTTCGAAGGGTAGTGGGTTGGTTAGAGTGGCGGCAAGCAGAAGCCCACACTTGCAATACGGCGAACGAGATTCGGTCTATTTTCTGTACTTACAACCACTGAGCTGAAAGTACATCTACTTCTATATCGCAGAATTCCTCGTACGCAAAACTGAGCGCAAATAGACTGTGTTTTACATCAGTGCCTACAGTGTCACCAAGTCCCTTGCTACGTCTTTGAGCTCAAGTTTCGAAGACAATCTGTAGTGTTGGTGGGCGACTTATGGAACAAAGACCAGAGTAAAAAGCCATGTGACAAAACTGACAAGTTTCTACCTGCTTCTTTGATCCACTACATCGAATGAGACCCAAGGATTATGTGGATGTTTGATCTTGACTCATTCGAGGCCTAACTGAGTACGAGTTAACAAGGGGCAACGAATGAGCTAAAATTGAATCACAAACACACAGATGCAGGTAGCAGGCAGCAAACACAAGGCCCCAAACTTCAAAAGCAAACAATAAATCCGAATCTGCATATCTCTACATCTTGACTCTTCTTCAGACCCTCATCCAAATCCTCAAGCATCCTCTGATGGGCCTCAGCAAAACTCAACTTTGCAACTTGAACTGAGGCGACAAGTGTCGTGTCTTCATATTCAGCCTTGCGCTGTCACCTCTCGCTGCCTGACGGACTGACTAAATCCGGCATTTCTAACCTCATCGTCATATCCTCTATCCTTACGAAAAAAATCCACAGTTCACTACAGCATAATGGACCCAGCCACACTTAATCACCTCGTGGTCAGTGCAACTCACCTCAACACCAACTTCAATATCGATTTCAACGATATCTCCCTTTGCTATAAACCATATCTAAGTACTGACACCCTATCCTAGGATGAATGGGGCATCGCGGAGGCGCACGGGGCCTTGTGTCAGGAATTCGACATCCACTATCCCAGTCAGCTAGAGGTTTTTGACGACGCACTCCTAGACCTGTACCGCGATGTCTTGAAGCTAATAAACTATTACTTCTACGATCAAGGGGATGGGAGAGAGATTTTAGCCCGCGTCTACGAGTCCGCGAACGCGACTGCTATCGCCTTTTATAGAAAGGAGATCCAGACGCCCCAAGAAATTGCCAACGCGCTCCCGTCTCACTCTGAAGTCTTGGCTGTTCGATTCATCTGCCCGTATGGGCGTGCATATGGTTCCATTGCTGGAAGCCTTGCGGCGATGCGCCAGGCACACCTCCTTCAAGTCCCAGCACCAGGGCCAAGCAATGACGTTGGTTTATCATATCCGACTGCCAATACCTACACCTCCATCACAAATAATATCGTCGGAAAGACAGAACTCCAGAGATCGCCAACGCAAAGACCCAACGCATGATTTTGGCCGAAGCACTCAAGTCTGTCGGGTTAGGAGCAGGGACGGAAGGGACAGAAAAGCGCAGGTATTGACCGAGGTCGAGTTGCACTTTACTATCGACGTTGCCTTCAGCAGTTTTAGAGAGGCTTCAGGCAGAGAAACTCTCCTCAATCAATCGTCAGTGAGACAATTTGGAACGCTATCGCCCACACAAACACATTCGAGATCCAGGGCTTTTGTCACATCAGGATGGAAAGAGCGACAACAAGAATGAGGGATCAGACTTGGGTTGGTATGCATGAGGATAGGAGGCTAGCTGCTCTGTTTCGTTGTAGGCACATGCTCTTAGAGAAGGATAGAAGAACAACCAGCAAGCCCGAGTTTGTCCCGTTCCCCATGAATCACAGTCAAAATAACTCACCTACAAATTAAAAATCTCCAGCCAATCATTCGCCCCAATCAACCTCAACCTTACATCTTTTTTTCAAGGCAACATAAGTGTTGCGCCTTCAGATTGTGCCGCAAGCGTTGGCTTGGTCTTCCACTGTCAACTTCTACCCCCGATTACCTACCTAGCCAAACAGCCCATTTCCCTATACATTGGCAGACACATCTGCTCTCAACTGCGTCGCGTTGGAAGAAACCAATTCTTCTGCACATACGTTCGAAAGCACAGTTGCACTCGACATGGCTTCGATTAAAAACACCAGTCCCAGTCACCGCAAGTGGGTACGGATTGTTAACAAAGTGGACGCTCTGTATGACTCTGACGATTCGGGTGCCGACAACACCGGCGGCGGAACTTCCGATAAAGGGCAACTGCCAAGCGACCAGGGAGACTTTGAGGAGGTTTGCGAGGCCGAGGGATGGGGATATCAAGACGCATGCACTATTCTTATGTGGGAAACCATGTTGAACTTCCGTGACCGCGCCAGTTCCAACACGAATGATGAGAACAACCAAATCATTCGCCTCTATGGTGAGGTTCACACCATAATCTGCAATCATTTCAACTGACCCGAGCAGGAGGAGACCATTGTCCAACGTGTCAAGAATACCTTGTGGGGGGCCACCGTCGATCGTCACGGAAAACGTTTGGTGTCAACTCAGCAAATCAAGGACGCGATCCCGACCCGTGTTGAAATCCTGGCCACTAAATTCATCAGCCCGTTTTCAAGTCTCAGCGACTCTATCGAGGAATATCTCTGGGATTTGGGCCATAACCACTACCTGGATATCCAACCCAGGAGGTAGAACCGAACCAAGTCATCGTTCACGCTAAGCAGACAGCGCCCAGTGTGCCAGAGCTGCGAACAATCATCACGGTCGGGTTTAGGGAGCTTCCGAGGGTTTTATAACGGGCTTAACTATGAGCATGAAGTTTATGAGGCAGGAATGTTGATTTGGCTCACAAGACACATATTTCGTGTCAGATTCAGGGGAGGACATGATGGATCAGACGCCTTCACAGTTAGATGCATCACTGAGGTAGCCAAACCCGACAATTGACCCCTAAGATACAGTCACTCACAGATCGCCCGTGATGTCCATGTTATCTCCAGAACTCTAGCTATCAAGGGTAGGATGTTGAATGTCTGTCGATGTAGACCACTTTACGCTACCTACCCGGTAGACCAGGCCATCGTGACTCAAGAGCAGTCGACAACGTCAAGATAATTAACCTCCGTAATAGCAGTACATAGTACCCCGTGTCTATGGGGTAAGTCTGCCAACGTAAAGACGTTGTTGTGTTGAGTTGTGAGAGGCGATGTGCGTCTCACATGGCAATTCCCATGTCACACATCTGCCCGACAACTATCACCATCTCGCTCGTACAAACTTCGCCACTCCTGTACCTCCTGACTTTGTGTACCGCGTGACCATGTGTGGTCATAGCGTGGCAAGGTCGGGCGTCCAAACTATCTGTTGAGTGATGTTCTGGGTTTGTTGGACTGCAGGAGGTTGGGCACAGATGCTGTGCGAGGGGGTACGTAGGACCAGTGGGGGAAGGACGAATAATACGTGATATGTATTGAAAGTGTACAAAGAGTATAGCACAAGCCCCGTCCTCGTCATCTATGTCGTCAACGCATGAGGGGGGTATCCAAAAGATAGAGAATCATAAACCAGCGAGCCCATAGATCCACGTCATCTCAGTACGCCACGAGAGTCGCCTCATCTCGTCCCGAGGAGCCATCTCCTTTAAGCTTCCTCCACAACTACTGCGTCGATCCCTAGCTGAAGCAACAAGCTCCCCGTGATGAACAACAAGCACCCGCCAGATCTCCCCAGCAGCACCCTCCACGATCCGAAAAACAGCACCCCTCACGGTCGGAGAAACAGCACCCACCCCGGTCGGAGAAGCAGCAACCTCCACGGCTTGAGAAGCAGCACCCGCCACTCGACGACCCGCAGCACCCGGGCTTGCCGCGATTGTCGTCCCACGTGCGGTCCACCCACGCCATCGGGTCGGTCTTTGCGTAGCCTCGTGTGTTCTCGGGTCCCGGTGATGCCGCTGAGCTGGCCGTTGGCTGTGCCTGTGGCGCGGGAGGTGACGACACGGGCAGGAGGCCGTGGTGGGAGCGGGTGCTGGAGACGCTGCTCCGGGGGCTCTGCTGGCCGGGCGGGGCCCCGGAGGTGGAGACGGCGGCGGTGGACGCCTCGTAGGAGGGCGGAGGGGGATCGTCAAACCCGTCGTCCGCAGGAACGTGGGGCTTTCCCATTGTCTCCGGGAAAGGGCCGAAGGTGAGATAAGGATAATAATAAGGTGTGTAAGGTGTTTGGGACCGGTGGAGGCGGATGCCCTTGTTCCCTCGACTCCCTGACGAACGGTCCTTGCGCAGTGGGTTTTGCGCCCGTTACGTGCTGGTTTTTTGGCGCGATTTGTCCCACGTCTTACTCAACTTCTGGCGTTGCCGGTGGATGCGTTACCCACGCCCCAGACGCTCTGACAATATCGAAGGAGTTGAGATAGGGTACGAGATAGGGTGTGAGTGCATGCGAAAGAGGTAAAATATAGAAATGACGCGACAGAACAAGATGCGACCTTATTCAAGAAAAAGCTGCCCATTTAGCTGCCGTCGTCAGCAGCGTCGTCAGACCATCTTCAGCTCTCCATCTTTCGACTCCCATTGGCCATCACCCCGCAAGCGCACCAACAAGTCGGAGCAACGTCCTACCGCGACAATACAAAACGGACGAGCGGCTGACAGCACCAGCCGAACGCAGTAGTGGTGAAGGGCAAAAACTTGCTCGACTGAGTAGGGCATTCAGCCTTGTGCATGAAATATCCCGGACTTGGTGGCCGCACTATGTGTCTACATTCTGTAGGGTAGCCCTTAGATGAATCCCCTGCTCAGATCTCCTCCCGACCCTAGTCCATCATCATCGACGTCTTCTAGAAACCCGCACTTCAACATCGAATCCTCACCAAGCAAGGTCAAGGGTCGAACCTACGCTCGGCCGCTCTGATCTGACCTACTTCGGAACTAGAAGCGATATAGACCTGCCAGCTGCATCCAATCGTGCTCCTTCTGTAGAAGATCGGACCCCGAAGAGTCCGGGCAACAGCACAAAGCTTCGTGTGCTGCTACCACCTCTCTTTTACCTCGGCATGGCCAAGAGTCGGGACTTTCGCGGGCAAAGGACAAAATGCCTCGTGTATCACGGCGAGTCCGATCCCGGTGGCAGATAACCAGACAGGTTGGTGCCCATAGAGCCAGGCCCGCGACCAATACAAAGGCCATCATGAATCCTGCATTGACACGACGGCGCCGCTCCCTTGCCCGAGCGCTGACAAGAAGATTCAAGTCAGCAGCACGCACCCACCGTATCATACCTGAAACCCCAAGCGGCTGAGCGGGGACTGCCCCGTTGGGGGAGCCAGCCACATGTGAAGAGTTTATCTGATGTTCCAGTTTTCAACAGAGATGGTGCGTTTTTGAGCAGGCAGTTGTTCGGCGGTTCGGCGGGGGACGCGAGTTGTGTGACTGTGAGGTTTGACATCACTGAACCACAATTATTAAAGGCCAAAGCGCCTCAGCAGGGTTGCTTGTCAGACAAGTCCAGGCTCTGGGACGATGGAAGCAAAGGCACGGGACTCATAGCTCCTCTTGTGATGGTGTTGGACCCATTAACTGCGCTCTCATCATGGCGATTGGCTGGTGCCAGGGGCGTCGTCTATACCGACACTCCTTAGCTACCCGAAAGACTCAAACCATCTCATCAACGAGGCACAGGGGGTTGGGCCTGTCAAACAAGGAAAGACTCCTCGAGTCAGAGAGGAGAAGACGGTTCCCATTGTAAGTTACAACAGAGATACAATGAGGCGACTGACCCGACTGAGCTAAAAATCATGACCCAAGGCCACCACGGTGCAGTCGTGGTAACGGTTGTGAATGCCGCTTCTTCAGATTCAGGATTTAGGTTTAAGATTAGCAACCACTAACATTTGCTTACGCATCAGAGATTCTCAGGTTGAAAGTAAAAGCACTCTACTCACGCGACAATAATAAACCAGCTGCGTTTTGATACCGACCTACAGCCTTGGCCTGGTCCATGTGCTCGAGGCTGGTCCTTGGTTACCGATGTCTTCGCTCGCTGGTGAATGCGTTACACAGCTGGCCTGAGGGTTCTCAAAAGGGTATGTCAAGTTGGAGTATTTTCATGGAGACCTGTTTTTAGGTTGAGGCCATCCGGAGCTTCTCTGATGGTGTCCAGCTAAGCCTCCAGGGACAGGCTCCCCCGGTCCATGAAATGCCCTGAGCGCTGGCTGGCCAAACGAATTGAGTCTGGGACCGCACTTGCGGGGGTTTTCCACGGCCTCTTTCGAAAAGTCGTTGCCATCACAGCCAATTTAGCGCAGCAGGTCATTTCATCATCCCCTCCAAGCGTCCGATGTTTCCGTCCCCTGGTCGTCGCGATGGCAGCCGCTCTGTCATGAGGTGACACGATGTCTTCGATCCGTATTAGTACCGCACGGAAATGCCGGGCACAATAATACGACATAATCATTTTGTTGTGTCCAAGTGGCTATTAAAGACTAGACACCTGCCTTCAGGTCACACAACTGTTGTGTAAGCATGGTGTCGAAGTGTCTCGGTCGTCTGTCCGCTTGCCGGTCGATCGTTGTCCATTTAGGAAGCACTGTAGAGGTGTGTGCATTGGAGGACGAACGCAAATTTACACATCGCTCTTCCTTGTGATGGAAGATCTCCGTGTACAAGGTCTTAGCTGGTGAGGTGAGATATTGGAGCGGAGTCCGCCAAGACAAGTGGTCCGGCATGTCCGAGCCCACCGTTGTCAACCATGCCCAAACCCTGCGAGTCTGCGACGCCCAAAGCGCATGGTGATTCCAGCTCCCAGCGCGGGACCACTCTTCTGCTGGAACCCTCAGACGCCGAAGAACCATTGCATTACGTACAAACGTATGGGGAAATGGCTCGATTGAGCTTCAATAGCTCCCAAGGCATGGCTCGAGCTATGAGACGATGGAGCCTTCCCCAGATGGACACATCTTGCCCACGGGGTAAAGGCGGGTTAAGAGCAAACTGTTACGTATAGCGTCTGTCCATCAGATCCAACAATCGTGGAGTTAGTGTTCGTAGTATAAAAAAGCGTGCGTCTGATGGAATCCAACGTCATCGAATTCTCGGCAGAACGATTGCCGCCGTGGCTTACCACACCCGCATGGCCGGGGTCAACCCCTGTCCAAGAAGGGCGAGAAAGCGGCTTGTCAACGGTAACACCAAGGGCAAGTGTGGCCTCGTTGCCATCGCACCACATCGGAGGCTAGCTTGGGAACCTTGTGTCTTGGCTAACCGGTGAAGGCTCGACAAGAGAGCGGCGTTGGAGATCGGTGCTTCCCCGTTCCTGGCTTGCTGCCTCGTCCGATCGGCTGCATCAATGCCTGCAAGCTCCCCTCAGCTTGGTGTGGTGATGAGTGCTAGGGGGGGGGTAGCGCCCACCACTCGCCCGACGTGGCGGGGCTTCCAGAAGAAAATATCGCATTCTAGCGTGCTCTCTGGTAATGACCCCGGACAGTAGGCGTTCGGAAGCTATCCTCCCACCCACACCACCAAGCGCGGCAATGCCCGGATGGATGTTTCGTGTGACGACAATGCTGAAGCCGATAAAAGTGCCCGACCAACGGTGCCACAAATTGGTAATGAAGGGAAGACGTAGATGGATTTAAGGGCATCTTCGTTTCCGGAGCCTGCTGGTCTGTGGCAATGTGATATGGTTCGCACTAACGCGGCATGCTTTCGTCACCGGGCGAGGACTAGCTTAATGTAAGGGTATCTGGATGCTGGACGGTTGATTGACAGTGACATGGCCGTGGAATGGTGGCGCATGGCACCAGGTAAGGAAGAACGCTTTCTGTCCTTGGTCTGGCCATGTTTCGTTGACTGAGGTCTCTGATGGCTGGACATTTCTTGGTTCTTGCTGTCCGGTGCTCGACTGCACGTGCGTCCAATGTAGGGATATTGGCATTTGAGTCTGTCCAGTTAACGCCCCCAAACTGGCCTTGATCTGGGTCAATGAGGCGCAGAGGGTAGCTGGGGATGCCCAATACGGAAGGTGAGGAACGGTGATGATGAGCGGCGTGTGAGAGAAAAGCCCGTTGAAGTGATGGGCCGTGACGAGAGTGCAGAGGCGCAATTGGTACAGAAGAGACCGCCAAGAATAAGAAAGAGGAGAACAACCAGGGGCACCTGAGGTGGGAATATCGAGCCGGGGCCGAGTACGCATCCTCAGCAAGGTCCGCACCATGGCAGGTTGGGATGGGATCCGGGGCGTGGGTGTTTTGGAGGGCAGGGTCTTAGGGACAAGGAGATGCCAATTCAATTAGTAGTTTGATGCACATGTGTGTCTTATTATTTAGACGATAACGATAGCGATGGAGCTGTGATGCGTGGCGAAGTGTAAAGGCAGTGGGGTGTAACAGATCGAGCATGTGAGGTGATGGCGGCATTGGGTTTGTGGTGTGGTGTTTACCGTGTTTGGATGTGGAAGTGGATTATTGGGGTAGGCTTTCACGGAAGTTGGAGAAGGAAGGCAAGGGATCGTAGGCCAAGAGTCTTGATTCGGGTTGATAATGACAAGGGAAGCGGGACGTTCCCTCTTTAGCGCAGCAAACAGACACGACAAACCAGTCACTTGGGTCGACGATGGGACTTGAATAAGCAAAGAAGGGCTGCTTTCAAGATGGCCTGGTTTGTTGTCCGTGCTGGTTTCTGGTTTTTCATACGCTTCCGGGACAATGAAGTGATTCAGGCCAGCCGATTGTGTCTGGGGTGGTTCGGCCGTGATTGCGAGACATCATGGCCCGCCGTGTCAGCCACCCCGGCCGGTAGCAACAGGCGAGAGGGGTCTCAGAGTGAGTGGTTGTTTGGCCGCGTGCGAATGCGTATGCGGATGGGTGAGGCTGTGTATTCCGGGTGTGGACATAAGTGGGCTCCGAAGCCAACGATCTTAAATTGTACTCACTTTTGGGTATGCTCCGTTCAGATGGGAAATCGAAAATGTGTGGGTTTGCGGTCGCGGGTGTCCGTCACCAGGACCAGGTCTGTTTCCTGCCCTTGTTGCCGTCGATGCCCTGGCTTCCCACATTTACTGGTCAAGACGAGAGTCGCGCGCCCGATGTGTGAGGAGAGAAAAGAGAGTCAGACTGAGCACCGGGGGAGCGCGAGAGACGGGGCCGGACGAGGGGGCAGAGGAGGAAGGAACAGACCAACGGCGTCCATAGGCAGGCAGAGAGTCCAGAGCACTTGCTTTTTTTGCTTTGCCGCCATCTGCAAGCCGCGCAGTCCACCCATCCACACCAACAATCCCAGTGGCAAGCTGCCCAGCATGACGGTCCGAGAGATCGTCCAGATGGCCTGTGCCGTCGCCGCCCCCAGCAACACACCCATGCGCCTTCTCTCCCTTGTCGTGTCCGGGAGCTACTAAGCTACCCCTGGCACGTTGATGCGGGACGCAACCACGTACTGTGTAAGGTACATTGCCTTCGCACAGTACGGCGATATCTCCTTCCACCCCGTAGGGTGAGTGAGACTTGGTCCCTCTGCGCAGTCGAATCTCGCATTCGTCTTTTGCTGGGTGTTTTGGATCCATTTGGGTCTCTCTCCGGCTGCATCGTCTCTGTCATCGTCTCTGCCACTGTCTCTCTGTGAGACTTACCGGCGCGGGGAGTCAGAGACGGTGTGTGTGATTCACTGCTGCCCGTGTTGCTCGCACTCTCCGAGTGGCTCTCTGACTCCCGTCCCCTTCGCCGCTGGTGTCGTCGTGTTGTCGTGTTGTCGTCGTGTTGTCGTCGTTGGTCTTGTCCTTGCTCTTTCCTGGGGCCTTCGACCTACCCCATACATCCATGTCCCTCCGTATCGCGTCGCCGCTCTCAACTCTTGGCTTTTCTTACTCCTGCTCCCTTCCTCCTCCCTCTCGCCCCCCACCAACACATCCCAGCCAACTGGCCCGAGCAGCACTAGAAGCTCTAGTCGACGGACCCAGTGCAACATCCTGAGCTTCCATGCATATCGTCTCCGTCTCCGTCTCCATCTCCGTCTCAATTGGCCCCAGCTCACACTCCTACCCTCTCCCCTCGTGCCTTCTCCCTCGGCCCATTGTTTCCCAACATCCCATCGTCTCCTTCTCCTCTCCTCAGCTTCGACCTTAAGTAGGGCCTCTTCCCCCTCTACCTTTCTCCCATTCATCGCCTCGCTATCCCACTTCCTCCCTCCTCTACCCCAAGGTCACTCGGCCAAGGTTGTCTTTCCTTCCTTCCACTTGGCACCTCCCCATAACTTTGTTTAATCCTTCCTTCTTTCTTCGCACCAACTCTTCCACACCCATCAGCCGCGACTCCAACAATAACAACGGCATTGCGATAGCCCACCATGGAGTCCAAATCTTCCGGCGAGACCCCGACCAATGTCGGCGGCGAGAAGGGTACCCAGGCCACAGACTATGACCAAGGCACTACCGTGCCCAACAACAGCGACGGCATGGCCTATGAGCAGGAGAGCTTTGCCACCCGCAACGGCCTCAACTTGAACTCTTTCAAGCGCCGCGACTATGGCCATGGCCTCGTCGAGATGGACCGCAAGATGAAGCCTCGCCATCTCCACATGATAGCCATCGGTGGTTCCATCGGAGCCGGTTTCTTCGTCGGTTCAGGTGGTGCCCTATACAAGGGTGTAAGTTGACCTCGTACCCATCTGATGCGCGCGATGGCTAACCCTGTGAACAATAGGGCCCCGGTTCTCTCTTTGTAGACTTCATGATCATCGGTATCATGATGTTCAACGTCGGTATGTCATGATTCCTTTCCCTTTTCATGTCGACGGCCATAGATACCATCTTTGGCATTCCGATCTTGGACAACAGCACTGACGCATGCTCTCCCAAATAGTCTTTGCTCTTGGTGAGCTCGCTGTCATGTATCCCGTCACCGGTGGCTTCTATACCTACTCTGCTCGCTTCATCGACCCCTCGTGGGGTTTCGCCATGGGTTGGAATTACGTCTTCCAGTGGGGAGCAGTCCTTCCGTTGGAGCTAACTGTGTGCGCCATCACCATTGAATATTGGACCACCTCCGTTTCTCCCGCAGTCTGGATTACCCTCTTCCTCCTCGCCATCGTCGTCATCAACGTTTTTGGTGCCCTTGGTTATGCTGAAGAGGAGTTCTGGTCGTCTGTGCTCAAACTTGGAGCTACTATCGCCTTCATGATTATCGCGCTTGTCTGCGTGTTGGGTGGTGGTCCCGAAGACGGGAGATACTCAGAGTACCAGGGCGCCAAGCTATGGCACGAGGGCTCCGGTGCCTTCAAGAATGGCTTCAAGGGCTTCTGCTCCGTCTTTGTCACTGCGGCTTTCTCCTTCGCTGGTACTGAGCTCGTTGGTCTTGCCGCTGCTGAGTCGCGCAACCCTGCCCAGGCTCTCCCGGGCGCCATCAAGCAGGTGTTCTGGCGTATCACTCTCTTTTACATCCTCGGTCTTTTCTTCGTCGGTCTTCTTGTCAGCGCCGATGACGATAGACTCCTTAGCGAGAGCTCCTATTCCAACTCCAAGGCCTCTCCTTTCGTGTTGGCCGCCGAGTATTCTGGTCTCAATGGTTTCAATCACTTCATGAACGCCATTATTCTCGTCTCGGTCCTGTCCATCGGTGTTTCCTCCGTCTACGGCGGCTCCCGAACTCTGACTGCGATGGCCCAGACCGGATATGCCCCCAAGATCTTTAGCTACGTCGACCGCAGCGGCCGACCTCTCTTCTCAGTTCTCCTCATCATCGTCCTTGGCGCCCTAGCCTATGTCAACCTGTCTGCCGATGGAGGTACTGTCTTCGACTGGCTCCTGGCCTTGTCTGGTTTGTCGACCCTCTTCACGTGGGGCTCAGTTTGCTTGGCCCACATTCGCTTCCGTAAGGCCTGGGCCTACCATGGCCATACCCTCGATGAGATCCCCTTCCAGGCCGTCGGTGGTGTCTATGGCTCTTATCTCGGTCTTATCCTCATTGCTCTTGTCATGATTGCTCAGGTAAGCCCCCGTGGAATGTTTCCATGTTGGTTCCAGTTGCGCTAACCATTAATTCCAGTTCTATACGGCCATTATTGCTGGCCCCGGTCAGCCCGGTATGGGCACGGTCGAGGGCTTCTTCAAGTCGTACCTCGCCTTCCCCGTTGTCCTCTTCTTCTGGGCTGTCGGCTACCTGTGGAAGCGACAAGGCCCCATCAGAACCGCTGAAATCGATGTCGACACTGGCCGACGTGAGCATGACTGGGACGAGATCAACGCTTTCCGTGCTGAGGTCGCGAAGTGGCCGGCGTGGCGTCGTGCCCTCAACAAGGTCATGTAAGACAATATATTTGAGTTAATTTGAGGGCCACAATTAGGCCTTCAGTTGCGTGCACATCTAGATTGAGACTTCTCAAACACATGTTAGCCAGGAGTGTCCTACGACCAAAGGTAACATGAGTGAGAGGAAGGCATTATTGTTATTTAGTCTCCTGCATACCATTTCGCGCTAGATACCATGAGTTGTGAGCTGTATTCTAGCAATGGAAATAAATCCGACGCATTCTACACTGCACTTACCCTGCGTGACTGGCTTGCATGAAGTGTGAGGTTTCCCCCTTGTACAGCCGCATTACGTGCCGGGGTGAGGTGCGGTCTGGAGTGACGGGGTGGTATGATGGTTCATTCCGAAAATGGAAACGAGGCTCGGAGAAAAGACGGCCAAGAGGAGGGTGTTATCACTGACCAAGATGGAGAAAGAAAGAAAAAGTTGAGGAAAAGCTGGGGAAGCTTGAGAAATAATGGGAAACTGGTAAGAAATGGAGAAATAACGGAAAATTCACCAGCTGCAGACTACCTATATATGATGCTGTGCAGCATGTTATTCACGCCTTGTACGGTGGAGACTGCGCCCTTCGGAAGATGAGGTGGATCCATCGATTGATACCGCCGCTGAGCCAGTGCCTTTAATGCTCCTTTAAGTCTGAAGTCTTTAAGGGCCTTGTAGCATGGGAAGCTAAGATGAGAGACTTCATGTAGGATGAATATGTTGGAACAGGTGGGATCAGTGTCTAAATGGTGAGTGAAATGGGTTGTGAGAGACAAGTATTGGGTTTGGCTGGTGACCAAGGTCGATAGACTAGAGCCACGAGTGGATTGACTTAACGTAGCAGGACGGGACGGGACAGATTAGACGCCGTTGATGAACCGATGGCAGAAGAGTTAAGGCAGGTTTGACCTAACACAACATATTCAAGAGTCTTGTTGAGATGGATGTGGAAGTAGGTAGTTGCGGTTGTGATGACGTTTGGAGAGACTGCGTGGGGATACGACCCAACATCATTCTGGACTCATTCCGAGTCGGCAACAGCCAGAGCCAATGAGATGGTTTGGGAACTTCCTTACGCCGTTACCTTTCAACGGCCTTGCACTGCTGCAAAGCCACGGCTATTAGTTTTAGGTACGTAAATGCGTAGACAGTGGAGGCGTAGCCATGATCCATGATCCGGGGAGGTGGGGTGCGGAGTCGGTGGAAATGTCGGCAGTCTCTTGTGCAGCCTCTTGCAGCGCCACAACCATGGATTTGAAACCGAACTACAACTATTCGCATGTTAGGTAAAGCAAACGACATGGAGGTGATGTTGCAGGTGCACGTCATGCGGTTCTAGGCATGTGTTGGTTCAGTTAGGAGTCATGCCATGGGCTACGGTGAGCCGGTGCCAACCAAGGTGGGGGAGGTAGCGTGGCGCGACAGCACAGTGTCCTACAGTGAGCGAGGACCTCGGGGTCTCCCATCCGTCCGCAACCTCGGATGACCCTGCGGAATCTCAATTACCCCAGGCCGAGCTGCGTCGCAATCTACGCGTACGGGGCAATAGGGGCTCCACGCAGATAAGGTGCAAATTGAACGGAGCAGATGGGAGCAGATGCAGTGGTTTAGCAGTACCGAGTACGTACGAGTTACTTGATGAAAATTGGAGGATGCGGGGGAGGGCGATCCGGGGGCAGGGTACGATGGGGCCTTTTTACATAAGAAAAAAGGCTGTGTGGTTTTTTTTTTTTGGGGACCGGTTTGACAGATTAAGTAGGGGGGGTTACATGGACTTGTGCGGGGAACGCGTTGGAGCGTTGGAGAATTGGCGGCTGGGCTGGGGAAATGGCAGGGGGAGCTGGTGGAATCGGGGATTGTTCGATGGGCATTGCTGTGAGGAAAAGATGGCCAAGTGTCGGAGGTTTTCTCTGATCGTTCTAGAAGAACGCTGGCTGCCAGGGGACAAGCGGCGTAGCGCAGGTTCGTGGCAGTGGTTGCAGGCCTGTGGTTGTAGCGGCTGCGCTGTGGTTGGCCAGCGCGTGTTTTTAGGGAGGGCGTCTATCCATTTTGGGGCTGAGGCTGCTGAGGTCACTCTGGGGACAACCACACTGTGCCCTGAGCCAAGCGAATCTGGCACTCCAAGCGAGTTGGCTGACAATAAGGTGTCGGCTAGGCGCTTTCGAGCCAAGCCGCCAACATCAAACGTCGCCTCAATCGGCTCAGGCCACTCCAATATCGACTTCACATCCACTTTGTAGGCAAATCGGATCCCCATCCACAGCCTCAAACCATCCTTGCCGGCGGCGGACTCCCTACGTACCTACCCCCTGTCGTCAAGTTTGGCTTGCACGCCTCAGCGAACACACGGCAGCGCTACAAGAGCACCTCCCTCATTGAGGGTAGTCCGCCAGGCACGTCGGCCATGATCCGTCGTGCTACGTTAGCTCAGGATACGGCCCGCCGCTTCCGTGACGCCAGGCGCGGCCTCGCTCTTCTAGAAGCTATGACGTCCAGTCGACAGCTCCCATCCCTACCTACCGGCGAGTCGCGCGCTTCCGTTGCACATCGCCACTGACCAGTGACGGAACAGCATCTCGCCCGTGTGCTCTGCTAGCATTGTCCTCCAGCTTTAGAACTACTTCACCCCAGCTTGTCTCAGCCCAACACGCCGTCACCTATTACTTAATGACATGACGGATCTGGGTCGCCCATCTCGCCGTACTACGTACCCCAGAAAATCCCCATTCTCCTGAACTGGGTCCCTGTGGGCTATAGCCGTGGAAAGCCGACTTCTGGCACCTGCTTCCTGCGATCTACGACTCGTGGGGAGCGCTGCGAACCCCTGCTGCCGCGAGTTGTTACGTACAACGGCGTGGGAGATCCGGGGAAAGACTCCACGCGACGGCCAGAATCCGGGGCTGGTTTACTCGTGCCGATGCCATCCGCGGAGGTGCATGGGAGTTTCAAACCATCACATGCATAGAGTTCCAAGTGAAGCAGGCATACGGCGTGTAATCGCCGCGTTTAGGTGAGAGACATGATGGTGTACTCGGCGGATGTCTCGGGCATGGCATCACTGCCGACTGCGACACCGTGGGCGTCTCGGCTGGGCTTGGTGTGGGGAAGCTGAATCGGGGCGTGTCGTTGATGGGCTGCCTCCCACAACCTTTTGACTACATCCAGGGGCTATCAGATTGAGGCCCTGTGTGTTCAGGGTCTTTGTTTATGGGACCACCAGATCAGACCCATCTGCTCGTGAGCGTGGCTTGTTGGGTGTTGCGACTCGGAGAACTAAGTCGTGGCTTAGCCTCGGGGGCAGAGGCTAGCGACAGCCGGTGAGCTTCAATGCCGAATGACTTTTTGGTGGTTTGATACACCCCTTGAGCTGGTAAGTCTGTCTGGTGGTTGTCTTTTTATTAGCATAGCTGCCAAAGCAGTAGTGGTAGGCTAGGGCCTTAACTATCCAGCACCTCGTCATGGATTCGTAGACTTCTTAGTAGCTAATTCTCTCACTTTGCTTAAGGCCACTAAAGATGGCTGATGACCAGTGCCCCTATGAAATCGTTCGCAATATTCAATCATTCTAATAGGACATACTAAGCACGACGACCTAAGATCCACCGACGTTGCCGTTGAAAAGCATTGACTATGATGTCAAATAGCAACAGGACAAGGACACGTGTAGAAGACGCTGGTTTAGAATCCCTTTGAATCTGCTTCCGTGTTCCATTTCCAGGCTAGATTTCCAACGTTTATCATAGAAGTGATGATCCACAAAATGAACTCACTTGGGCTAGAGAGATCGTACTATTTCGTTTCTGCACGCTTCGATATCCACCGGCTCGCTATTCTATAGGGGCACTCTAAACGTAGTGTTTGGGACTGCTGCCTCGAGAATTCCATGATCTCAAGACAACACTCTCGAGATGCTGGCCCTCCTTAAACTAACCAAAGTGGGTATCAACCAACAATCAATCAGCCAACTCAGACTTACTGGCTCACCTTAATTTATTTCCCCTTCGGTGGCATTATCGATATCATTTCAATTAGAATACTTTCACACTATCGGGTGTTCAATTCACCTTGAGTCAATAGGGGTAAAATTGAGCTAAATCCTTAGTTTCGCACGCATCACAGCGCAATCGCTCAATTCACCACCATCAATCCAAAAGACAGAGCTATTTCATACAAAATCGAAACCATTGTTGGCGAAACTGACAGCACGCGCTTACATTAGTGCTAAAGATGGGAATGCCATAGAGTCGATGATTACACCCCGCGAAAGGGCCAAAACAAGCCGCACATCTGCCTGCTAGCGTGGCTGTCAAAGGAATGTGTGTGGCGAACCAACATCATAAGCCTCACCAACCGCCAGCCCAACAACTCACGGCACACAAATCCTCCGCTGCACCGCACAAAAGAAGCTCGAAAATGCCCAAAAGACACCAGTCGCGTTCCAGAGCATAGCCTCTATTCAACGACACTCGCGATAAAAAGGACAAAAAAAGAGGCGAGCGTCATCCTGGCGGCGTCGAACTGGGGACCTACGGTTCCCTGCCGGGCTTAAGGTCCGAAATCCTAGGGACGAACCCTATCCCGTATGTCCAGTCGGCTCGAGAGAGGTTATTGTGGTGAGCAGCAGGAATTAGGAATGATAAGGCTTTCTTCCTTTGTCTGTTTGCTGGTTGGCGGTGGCTGGTGGCTGGTTGCTGGCAGGCAGCTGTCAACCAGCTGTCAGGCGAAATTTCCGACCACTGGCTGTCAACAGTGAGGGAGAACACCATCTGGTGTTCTCCAGCCGTTCCCATCACGTGGCAGGGTTCCCAACGTCATTTACTCGCCTTAGTTATCGAGACCCTCGAAAATAAAGTCAACTTTCAGTCAACCCGGACACAGCCCTACCTATTTTGCCCTAGTAATACAGCTCGTGGCAGTACATAAAGCCAGCTAGTTCGGGGATCTCGAGTATCCCGGTTACAATCAAGTCATTCATTATGCATATTATACGTGTTATGAGGCCTCATCAGTAGCCGATTTATTTCCAGGCTGAAATCATGTTAGATCTAAAGCCTTGTGCGCTAAGAACAAAATGACGACTACCAAACATCAAAGCAGTTCGACGCCTTTCCGGAAGGAGATTTCAGTAAGAGCTTGTTTCAATATATTCAGCCTTAACTCTTTAGGGTCTGCCTTCTCGCCTTAAATCTCCGCGTCTACTCTGATGGCTGTTCCGCTGAAAATATGCCCGGTTTTGCGGCTCAGGGTGCCATGTCAACGTGGATATAGCACCAGCACAGCGGACTGGCCAATGGTTGCCGATTCCCATGATAATCATGCTAACACTAGCCTATGCGCTCGATCTGGATGCATATGGGAAACATGAGCGGATTAAGCACCGCCAGACTTGCTTCAACTGTATAGTTGTGGTCAGAGTCTTCATGCTTCACCAACAAACTCCGAACCTCTCGACTCTCAGGAATGAGCGCGTAGAGACTGGAAGGGTCGCCCAGAGGACCATACTCTCCAATGTTAGTGAACGGGTTGATAACTCCTGGCTCCCAAATATTATCATCCCGCTCCTTGTAGAGGGTGAGATGCATTCTGTAGTCATCAAGTTTGCAGACCAGCACAAAGACTGTGCTCTGCCCACATCCCCGCTGCCTGAACTCTTTCGGCGTTACACAAAATCTTACAAAGCACATGAAATGCCGAAAGTGTTTGATAGAAAAGGTATGCTCGTCGGCGTGCCAGAATGCGTCGGGGACTGCCTTGATGTTGTGGATTCTGAATGCTTTGGTGTCTCTCTTGAAATTGACACTAATTTGGCGATTGGTACCAGTATAAACAATAACACGGCTCGGGTTATTTTGCGAAGTAAGAGCCAGGTATATCGGACGATTGCGATCTCCGAGTTTGGGTGTCGTTCCCGTAAACGATTGCGGCCAATGCCGGAAGTATGTGTCCATAACTCGCTTCAGGTAAATCGCGAGTCTTATGGGCACATCGTTCCCTCGCTCGTAACAACTCAAGTTCATGGTGTAGATGCTTCCCATGAGGTGATGAATAGGTGTGTAGATCTTCACCCCCTTATTCGTGATGCTGATCTCGTCTCGAAAACTGAACTGGCCATCATTCAAATGAATTCTGCCGCATTGGGAAAAGTCGGCGGGACTTTCCGCCAGTATCCCGTGATATTCTGAGTCGTCTTTTGCTATCCATGCGAAGAGTGACAGATCCGTAGTTTTCTTCAGAATTTCTTCCTGTAGCCTAGCAAATGCCCGGCACCCTTCACCATAGAGCATGGGCATATTCACATCGAATATACCCAGCAGGCAATAAGCCATGTCTTCAACACGGGTTGTCTGTCGCTGAGCAGCCCAAGACATTCGTTTCGCTAATGAGATTGCTTCCAAGGACATGTGCCCTTTCAGCACATCCTGGTCAATACCGGTGATGGCTTCGAGCTCTTCCGCAGTATCATTCTTCGTCCCCAGAGGGTTCCAATCGGCATCATAGAAGACAACATCAGCTGGCGCGATAAGCTCTTGGAGGGTCCATCCTCTCGAAAGCCAACGACAATTTCTTAAACCATCCTGCGTCGATGATAGATTTCTGTTTGGTAGATCCGAGAGAAACGCTAGGCAATAGGCAGCATTCTTATACCAGCGAAACATCGAGTTGATGGCTTCCGAGAGTTCGGCGCTGGAAGACTTGTCAATGCAGCAAGTGTCCACCCAGACGTAGTCAAGACCTTGGCCAAGGGCTGTTCGACAAGTTGCCTTAATCTTAGAGAAGCTGGCCGTCTTATTTCGAGCGACGGTGAGGTCTTTCATATCTTCAAAGGTCACCTCGTCGCCTTCCCATGTGTGTGATAAAATTGCGTAGGGCTTTTGCACTGGGTCGTGGAAGCTTTCAAGCCTCAAGGTACGTGCGTTGATGAGTCTCATGGTGGTTTTCTTCTTTTTGACAATGTGTGATTGGAGGGAGAATCGAGGTGGAAGTGACGCAGACTGGGAGGTACGTGATACAACCTAAAATTATGTGCAATTCCGCTCAACCAACCGTGGGGATTACTCAGTCGAGCATGTGAGGTATTGTATCAATGGACATCAAGGAGATGAAAGTCAGAAGGTAACCAAGAATTAAAATGACGGCCTCAGTGCCGCGGCCATGTGAGTGCAACCCGTCATTACAAGGTCAGGTGAGCAGAGCATTAGCCATTTTGCTGCGCCAGCGCCTCATTTTTCTGCCTTGAGTGACTGCGCCCGCAGACGAAACTCGACCAGAGACTAACAGCCACAAGTTGTCAGAGTCGATACCTAAATTATACTCAGCAAAAACATTTTTCAAATTACACATGGCAATGCCGACCAAATCAGTAACTCTGCAGTTTTTTCCTCTCCTCAATCGGCCTCTTCATTAGCCGAGGATTCGATGCCTCATGGAGCTTGAAGAAGTATCTCTCGGCAGCACCGCCTTGCGAGGTTGCGATACTGGCGAATTGGAGAACATTTCCAAAGTGCAAAATGCACTGCTGCCCGACAGGACTTGGGCAGACAGCAAGGCAGCTTTCTCCAAAATCTGCCTACTGCATTCCATACTAGAAATGAAACCTGAGAATGCTCTCCCCTCTCTCAACGATCACCATCTTGCAATAGCCAGAAAATGGCTGACCCCTTGTCCGTCGCCAGTGGCGTGGCCGGACTTGTCTCCCTCGGCATTTCCACCTGCAATGGCCTTCACAGATACCTCGATGCCGTCAAAGGCCGCCAAGAGGACATCACAAAGGTCGCTCAGAGAGTCCGATTGCTCGAATCAACTATTGAGGCCCTTCAAGACTGTGAACGCAGACTTGGCGGGCGATACGAGAGAGCCGCTACGACTGTAGCAGTCTGCCTTCAACTCTGTGGGAACGAGTTACGGGCGCTTGAAACCACCATCAAGGCACTCCAACCGCCCAGCACTCCATCGAATTCGATTATGAACAAGTTGGATAGAGGCAAACTTGCACTGACGTGCCCATTCCACCGCCAGAATCTATTGCAGGTCGAAGATCAGCTTTCGCGGGTGACTGGCATTTTGAACACTGCGGTACAAGCGTTGACACTGTGAAGTCCCCGTTTACTTCTCTCGTGTGCAAAGAGCTAATTTTAGGGAAGCAATGTCAATATTGGCGTCGTTAGCGATGTTGAAAAGTCCACAGCCGCGATATGGGACGCCTTTGTCACCATGCAGGAGTCGTTAGCAAAAGTGAAATGCCAACTGGAGTCTGCTTCTTCAACTGTTGAGCGAACAGACCAGAAAACCGTCACCATTTCAGCCCAAATCGAAGGGTTGTTGGGTTCCAAGCAAGACACCTCCACACCTCGGGAGATCCTCCACGAGTTGGTCATGAAATCCACTGAGCAATCGGTACAGCTGAGCAGTATTGGACAGTTGTTGGCGTACAAACCAGAGTATCTGAACCTCGGACAAAGGCCCATCGCCAGCCCAGATTTCACAACAGCGCCGCTCGGAGCCCCGAACTCTCATGGATATTCTCGAAATGCACAACCACCGCAGAGTAACATGGGATCAAGCGATTTCCATGACCTGTGGATATCAGCTTGTACCTGCCGAGAGTTCCACCGTGGCCGGAGTTATCAGAAGTCCAACTTTTACCGCCAATCATGGGGTCCATTTGCCTTCTTAGTTCGTAAGGAAATATGTGGGCAACACCACCCTGGCTGTGTACTTCATAGCCCTAACCAGTTGACATCATCAACCAACCTGAACCTTTCTTTCACCGGACTACGTTCTACCCTTTCTCGAGTAGTTGGTGTATCACTAACGCTGAACTGGAAAACTACAGAGTGGACTATTGCGCCAGCCTTGCAAGCCTACCGTACTGTTGATTCGCGGTTCAGTCCTGCGTTCCAGCTTTTGGCCGATGATACTGAGATCAGAGATCAGTTAATCCTTACCTATCCGCGCGATTCAGGCCGACTGGTGGAACTTTTGCATAAGTTGAAGCATCGCTTGCACATGATTTATATGTCACGAAGCGCATCCCCGCTCGATGTTGATGAGAAAGGCAGGACCTTTCTCCATCGATTAATGAGTGTAAGTAAGGCCCCATTATCTCTAAACTCTTCACCGCTCATGCCATGTAGCTTCTTTCGCCTCATTTATCAAGTCATGATGAGGGCTTTGTAGCTGTATTTCGCGCTCTTATTCATTATCATCGCGACATTGGTGCCAGCTTCGACGCCACAGACATGAACCAACGGTAAGTTATACAGGCCTATCACCCAAATTAAAGACAAAAACACTAAGATTTGCAGTACAATCTTTGATATTGGCATGTTTCCAACGGCCGGTTCATTTGCAAGGGCATATGATGTATTGGATGAAGCCGGAGTAGTAGCCCCAATCACAAAAGTATACAATGGCTTTTCGTATTGCTGGTTCGAGCCGAGTTTTGTGCTGCTTTTCAATAACCGCCAGGACATAGCTGAATGTAACAGTCTCCAATACTTATTCAAATACGCAGAGGCTTACATTGTCACAGCCTTGCAATTCTATGGTACTCTCTCTATGGCTATATTTTATCAATCAGAAAATAGAGTACGGGCCCTCCTTGAGAGCGAGCTTTTGCCTCAATGCCTGTCCGAAAGGGGAGAATCCGATCAAACAGTTTTACATTGCTGCAGCAACTGGGCGGCAGGGTTGCGACTTCTCTTCGCTCATAAACAGACCCATGAATTGCTCAACACAACGGAAATATCGAATAGCCCTCCGGTATTATATGCTCTTGAGTCGAGTGGACGCGCCTGCAATGCGGGTGATAAATGGGAAATGTGCCACGACTGCGATTGCTATGTTCCTCTCGAAATCTTCTTGGCTATGGACTGCAGCCTCTATCTCTTTGATGATCTTGCCCTTCGAGTATGCTCTTTAAGGGCTAGGATTATGTTTCTCGAGCACCTCAGGAACAGGCGAGAGCGGCTCAAACATATCGCAGGACTCGCTCTCTCCCCCAGGCATTTAGCAACATTTGGCGTGGCACAGGGCAGATTCCCCGAAGCTTCTGCGGCAGCATTGCTCCAAACTCTACGCCAGCAGGGCGTGAATATTCCACCAGCTCTGGAACTTGGTCCCTTCGAGATTATTTCTAAACACAGTTTGTATCACATTATCCACTGTAGCAAGGTCGCTGAGTTGGCATTTAACATGGGATTCAGAGATGTCGACACCCTGGATGACCGCGGGTTCACGCCCCTGATGGTCGTACATGTTCCTTTTCCTAATCTGGACGCATATGAACAAGTGTTCCAGTACTACAATTGGTTGCTTGAGAAGGGTGCAAAGCTTGACGCTTTCTCGAATCAATTACACATATCTGCTGCGCACCATGTGGCATCGAGCATCGGAAGATTTGCAGGATTTGGGCGACATGGACTATTTGGCTTCCTCTCCAAACCCGACCTTGACAGCCTATCCCCAGAATCGAAGAGACTCTGTTCAGTGGTGTGCAACCTCGAGGTGTTTGCCCACATTCCTTGTGCTTGTGGAAGCAGGGATGGGTGTTTGCCGTTGAGTATTCTTCTTACTGAAGCCCATTCCACTATGGAAATGCTCAATATACACGGCTCGGATAGGTTCGAGCATTCTGTATGGTTGGTCCAATGGCTGTCTGACACAATCCGCGGTTTCGATACCTCGATGCCCACGCGGTTGATCATTTTTCGGTCTATGACTATGGATGAATTGGGCATACGTCATTTATGTTCCGATTGGAAGTTCTACGGATATGAATATGAGGTGTGGAGAGAATTGCAAGAAGAATGGGAACAGATATTAGATGAGGATAGCTCACTTATCGAGGAGTTGGAGGAGTTGGTTGACGAGTTTGAACAGGAGTACGCGCGCCTCAATGTTCCACTTGTTCAGTTCCTACGAGGCTACTGGAGAATGAGGATGGAAGAGGTACGGGAAGCCAGGTTGGGAGACTTACATGAAGACCAGAAGAGGGCTCTCAGAGAAATTGGAGTGGTGATGGAAATCTAAATCGAATCAGCAACAGCAAGGCGAGGAAGAGTCTCAGGAGAGCTCACGTACATAGTTCTAGATTCGGTACATCTTTCACCTAACACTTTAGCAACACCATTCCCTAAAATTGACAAAGAAAGTAGGAAGAGTCATGTTTACCACAGCACCTCGCTCTAGAAAATGCTAGTCGGCACAATGCCCCGCTTTATCCACCACCCCCACACATCCGGCACAGCGCGAATATCCTCATTTTGCTGGGTCGAGTGCAACAAGAACAGACCAGCGTAATTGGTTTAGTGGTAAAATTCTCCGTTGCCATTCGAGCAACGTCGGGGAGCCCTGGGTTCGATTCCCAGATTACGCAATGCGAACACATGTGTTACAGTACATTTTCTTTTTGCCCCTGAGAGGGTTCCTTTTTGCAGGTCGGACAAGCAAAGACCGGTGAGTACAATAAATAGCAGGCATCAAGTAGGAGAGATAATAGCATAAAATAATAAATGAATGGAAATATAACAACGCTAAATGTCTATTCTCGGTTTCTTTTCCATTTTCCTACATCCATTCTCATAGTGCTGGAGGGAATGGTAGATGATGAGAGAGCTTGAGAAGTTCCGACGCCATCAATTATCCCGGAGCTGAAAATGACTAGGATATTTTGTTTATTTCTGGCAAATTTCCATTCATGATCTTTCAATTTTGCTCCTTGCCATCAATGCCCCGTCGTGATCGTTAGAATGAGACCTGACAGCGCTCAGGCTGAGATATACCATCCTTTTCCCAAAGCCAAGTAGATCCCGACTTCACAGAGCCGTGAGTTCGTAACAAGCCAAAGCATCAATGCATAGCACGGATGCGCTGCTACATAAGTCGGCAAAGAGATGTCGGTATTCAATCTATCGCTCAACCATGGCGCGCACATCCCCTACAGCTGCCCTAGCCATCTTCTTCAGCAGTGTCCTCTCATCCGCCTCGCGATACCGCTCCCACGTATCCAACCCCTCCTTGGCCTGAATGCTCAGCGTCTCGTAACCCTGGCGGATCACTTCGGTGACCTCCTGGGTGGTCAAGCTGATCCGTCGGCCGCCACCCTCGGAGAGCATCTGCTTGTAGTGAGCGCTGACGGTGATGATGGTGTCGATGGAGTTGCTGCCGCGGTTCGCTAGGCGGTAGTTCTCCTTAAACTTGGTAAGCACCTCGCCCGATTCGACGACCTTATAGAAGAGGTCGTCGTAGGCGGCGGGGGTGGGGAGGAAGGCCTCGCCGGCAGAGAGAGACAGGGCAATAAGATTGACGACGTGGTCGAGGAGGGTTTCAATGTGCGGCAGATCCTTAAGATCAGATGTGTAGGTAGCAAGAAAGCGGATGATGGAAAGCAGAGAACGAAAGAACTCGCCCCAGTGGTATTCGAGGCGTGTGCGTGTGCGGGAGAGGTAGGAGATGATGCGCATCATAATGCCAAAACAGAGAGTATAGAGGCTGACATCGAGGCGCTTCCGGAGGTTGTGGTTAATGGCATCGATCATTGTGTCGAGGACCGAGACGGCAAGGACGCGCTCGCCCTTGACCAGCGGCAAGAAGGGCTGGCGCTGCCGGCACAGGCGCACCGGCACCTTGGAGTCTTCACTGCAGATGCGCTTGCAGATCACAGGGTCCTCTATGAGAAGGCGTAGCACCATGATATTAAGGTGGGCGTAGTAGGTGGCACGGGGAGACAGGTATGCGTGTTGCAGGAGATAGGAGGTTAGGGAAAGGTAGCTGGCGATGGGCTGCTCTTCGTCCTTTTCAGCAGCCATTGTCACCAGATTGAAGCAAAACAGTTTGTTGGCATGAGCGAAGTCATATGTTGCCAACAGGACAGCGGCTTGTTCTTCTGGTCTAGTTCTGGAATTAGATGGGCTCAACGGTGAAGTGACAGGGAAACATACAGCTGAGTGAATAGCCTCTTCGCGGTCTCAACATCGTAGACCGGCTTCTTAACCGGCTTAGGCCCAGGTGCGATAGCTCCCAGTCCGATCATATTCAGAGTGCCGCTAAAAGTCCAGCCCTCAGGCAGGTCATCCTGGATCTTGATGTACCGTGATCGCACGGTTTGGCAGGTGTTGCCAACAGATCTGATGATCTTCTGGATCGCGGCCTCGTTCACAAAGTCATTCAGACGGAGTTGGTAGGGGTTCTGAAACTCGAACTTGTTGTAGTTGGTAAGCAGGCCAATGAGGGTAAAGGGCTCAAGGATGTGGGTTGGGGAGTCGGAGTCTTGGATCAGCTAGATACGGTCAGTCGATGATCACGAGCCGAACACTGACCAACACACCTTCATGACTGAGGGGAACAAATCTCTCTGGATCAGATAGGTCAGGAGAGTCGTCTGATAGGCCCCCGCCGTAACTGCCAAGAGCACTTCCACAGCCCTATACCGGATTTCCACTATGCACCGTCGTCAGCGTTGGGTCGTCGCATGGTCGCGTGCTGCTGTCTTACAGGTCTTGCCGTTCCGGACGATTCCGTCCAGCGCTCCGACGAACTCAGTAAAGACACTATCGATATGGTCGAGGCCGGCCAGTACAACCATGATATCGGAGCTCGGGTGGGGGTATCTCTTGCACAGGAGGCAGGACAGGAAGACACTCAGGGTCTAGACATGGTCAGCAGGTCGCGACAGAGCTCTATGGCATAGGATTACGCACGTCCAGCGCATGTAGCGGCGCCACTCCATGTCCAGTCTTGACTGTTGCTATCGCTCTCACAAACAGCTCCCTCGTCCGGTCCTCGAGAAGCAGGACATCGTTGGGGCTCAGCTTGCTCAAGGTGCTCCTCAGGATAGCTCGGTCGGGTCGCAGGAGGAAGAACTCGGCCCAGAAGCCGTCCGTCTTCTCGTCGACGTCATCGTACTATTTCCAGGAAGAGTCGATCAGCCGAGGCACATGGCAGGTGGGAGGGATTGTGTGGGCGGCAGCGCGGGGGATGTAGATACCTTCAAGACATGCAATTAGCCTGGGAAGGGAGCGCAGGGGGAGTGCAGGGGGAGGCAGAGGGCTGGGAGCTGACCTTGAACAGCGAGTCGTAGAGCTGGATGATCTTCGGGGTAAAGACCTCCGGGGGGAGTTGGCGGGTGAGTGGTGAAGCCTCCATGGGAAGCTGGGATATCGAGAACCGGCGACCGAGTCTCAAGTCTCGAGAGCTGCCAGCGCAGCGCAGTCGCGATCCAAGAAAGGCAATGGGCATTCGCGTCGAGGGGCTGACACGGTGGGGTTTTGCCTCATTGCGCACTGTGTCACTGTCGCGTGCCTGCAAGGAGCTGCCATGAGCACGTGCGCACTGTACGTATCCTCTGGACGAGTGTCCTCTAATTCGGTACCCTCAACTGTAGCCTCAGTATTCGCGACCTATTCAACATAACAACCAGCTCTCAACGTAGAAATCGAGTTCCGCTTTGAACTTCCAGTACGTGACTCCGTGTTCTAAAGCCACACGTACAGGAACCCGATTTCATACCAAGCTTCGTACCAATAAGACTTCTTGCTCGAAACTACCAAGACCTCCTGGATCTCACCACGTTATCATCTCCATCAACAAAGCTTGCGTCATCTCATCTCTTTGTCTTTCCTTGGTCACGCTAGAGACTGCCGGTTTTTATAACCACGGAACAGGATGAATAACGACGCCACTAAATTATCTCATTGTGACATTCTCAGGACCGTGTTACTAGCCACCCACGGGGTCATCCCATTGTACGATTGCCGTCAGAACAACCCACCAAGTCTCAGACTCGCGGCGACAATTCGGGCCGTCGGAGTATAATTTTGGTTTACTCAATAGTGTGATCTATGTCTTGTGTACGTGCTCTTGCATTTGTGTCCTCCAGTTTGTCTCAAACCCACAGCACTAGGGGGCAGTTGCTTATTGGAGTTGGGACTAAGACTCTATTATGAGTGAGCACTTTCCAAGTAAGGATCCTCCGCCAGATGTCTCGGCCATTCCAGGAGACTCTTCAATTAGACCACTCTCCCATGATTTACTAGTGAAGTTAATGTCGGCACGATTCCCAACCTGTCTTGTCCCTAGCTCCGCAGTTGTTCTACCGCAGACGTGATGATCAATCAATAGGACCACAGTATTTCGATGTGGACGTAGTAAAAGGAGCAGCACTACATCTTTCATACATCCGTGTTTAGAGACATTGGACAGCAAAAGGTCGTACAGCCCCTGTGTTAGTTCTCAGCCAATCGTAAAATGCCCGAATGCCTGGATCTGTCCGTGAGCGAAACATGTCGATCTCCAGGATCTATATTCTAGGAATTGACAAGACGAGTGCGACGATTGAAACAGAGTGACGCAATTTTATTCCGATCAGTCTCCAACCTCAATATAGGAAACACGGAGAGAAAATAACAAGAGCACAAATGGAAGCTTCATCGAATGAATACCAGGCAGCGTACTACCCTATACCACAGCTGACACAACCAGTGCAAAATAACAACACATCAAAACCATATTGCACATAAATTGGACCATAGAAGCTCAAATACATTAAAAATGATATCCGAATAACTCTATGTTCTTAATTTACCCTTTAGGGACTGTCCTTCAGAAACCCTGTCCCAGTGTTGTTGGTTGGTCAGGTGCAATATCAACGCTCTGTCACAAAATGGTAACAAACTCCATAAATCGAAGACTCCGTACGCAAGTCATACACATATACCCCTCGTACCAGAGATTTATCACTTAAAATCCTGCGTTCTTATACCCCCCAACAGATATCCGGCAGCACTTTGTGGGTTCAAAGTCGTCCCAATGAAGGCGCCGGGTCTCCTTGCCCATCGCAGCCACCCAGTAGCTCATTGTACGTGTCACCTGGAGGCAGTACGACAGGTATCAAAAGCACGAACACACGAACCTGTATATAACACATGAATACCGATTTTGTCAACCTCAATTCTACACTTGGTGCCGAGAGAAGGTGCTGTCGGCTCAACCACTCGTCGATATGAGAGACGGGACTGAGTTCCCTCGACCTCGACTCTGTAACTAGGCCCAATACCAATACCATCTACCCTACGCTTCCAGGCAGTTAATTCTAAGTTCCGCAATGTCAGCAGTCGAAGCTAGGCCGTCGAGACTAGCATTCATGGGACAAGTGCTTACCCCCGAGTCCGGATAGACTTTACTTTCCCCTCTCGTTCTTCACATGAAGTAGAGAAACACACTAAGCCCAAACTCAATCGATATCTAACTCTCTGAATGGAGACATTCACTTAGGCTCTCAGGTGAAGCCGAGGCAACCCACCATATCTGATACCGTCAAGTCATTACGTAGTATAGCTAGTTCTTAGTGCCTTTACACAACCTGTCAGCCCCTAAAAACAAACCACGGACAATGATAGCCAAGAATTAGTTGATCGGTGATATGAAAGCTTACACCCCACTTATGACCGACAGTGCGATCGGCAATTCTAGACCTTGACATGCCCTGCCGCCCGATCGCGTGGTCACAAATCCTACGAGTCCCGGCAACGGTCCATGACAAATTGCTGGTCCATATTGCCGGCTCGCAGTCTGAATCCTCCCCGGAGGCCCAAGCACGCTGGTCCATCCAGTACTGTCCACCCAGAACTGCCGCACGTGGTGGATAAGATGCCGGATTGTTGCGTGCCCGGCAGTCTGCGCAAGGGCCGCCTGTGAGTGATCCGAAACCGATGCCGTGCCATACTGCTCGGGCCAGAGTACCGGCGAGTTCTGAGGCTCACAGCGTAGTACTAGATGGCTGTTACCAAACACGCAACCGGTCGATGTAAAACATTGGACATGTCATAGGACAGCCTTGTAAACCGGAGGGTTGGACTTCCAGCCCCCTGCCGCGCCGGACATATTCCCATCCGAATCAGGAGGGTGTACACATAACTTTCGTCGAAACTTGGTACACTTGGAACCAGAGGACCGGATGTGTCTGGGGGTCTCGAAATGGCGGGCTTCCAAAGAGGATCACCCCCATGCTCTTGGAAGGTTCCTTTGCCACGGGCTCGCCGTCGTCATCTTGTCGTGGCCGCCAGGCTGGGAACGCGCACGCTCAAACACCCCGGCGATAACTGACTGGTCATCGGTCGTATACGAACGAACCCACTGAGTTGGTTCCTGCCTGACTCCAACCCCGCAGCGGTACTCTCCTTTGGGGATGGACTCAGGCGCAAAGTCTGGTTTGGGTCCGGCGGTCCTGGGCAATTGAGGAGAAGGGCTACTGCCAGCCTTGGAATGGATAGAATTGGACTAAGCTGCGCCGTACAAAGTAGACCCAAGTGAATCAGTGGGCCAAGCCCATCCAGGTAGTTGGATACAGTGCCTCTTTGAGGGTCTTGCACGGGCGATCGTCATGTCGCAGCGGTCTGGGGAATGAAGGGGAGGTGAGCCTTGTCAAATCGACCACGACCCTCGCCGATTCTAAAACACACTTCCGCACCGTCACGGCTCGTTCGCCGAAGCGACTATACTCAAGCCGGCGGCACTTCCGCAGTGAGGATCCCGACGACTATCCCCGTCGAGCCCATCGAAGCTTGTTCGCCCGGCCGAGGGATTAGGATAACAGGGGGATGGCCCGGTCTAGACGGATAGATTCCCGCACTGACAGCAGACAGCGGAGGGAAGGCATCAAGGCCGGCCCTTGGAGGTTTTTTTGATGGGCAAGGATTCTAGGTACAGGACAGGGATAAACAGGGATAGACAAGGTCAGCCAATGCGGATGGCGACAGGAGGACCGGGGTGTGACAGGGGAGCGGCCGGGGTGGGTTGCACCGCAAACGGATATGGGAATCTTTGACAGGCAGACCAGACAGGGTAAAATACAGGGAGCCCAGCCAGGGAGCCAGACCAGGCATGGGAGGCGGTGTCGGCGAGTCCATGGACGATGAGAAGCGGAATCAGATTCATTAGAACGTCGGGGCAAACGGTCTGAATAATCCGTCCAGTCGGTGACGACGGGATCTCGCACCAAGGCCCTGCAAGGATGGGGGTCGTATCGAATGTCCCGACGCCACGGTAGAGCGTTACCCCGGTCTCAAAAGTCGCGCCGTTGGCCAACAGCTCCATCCCTAAAACGGCTGGAATCAAAAGAAAGGTGAGCAGCGAAAGAGGCGGTGGCTTGCGAGGTGAAAGGACGATAACGGAGAAGCGAGAGCACGGCAAAGACCGTGTACTTTCGTACAAATCCTGGCATAGCGCATGGCACAGCGCATGGCATCACGACATGGCGTGTGACGCTGAGGGCGCGATTGATTCTCTCTTGCACAGGGCTGTCCAGGGCTGTCCAGGCCAAGCCCAATTCAAGCTCAAACTCAACGGCTGCGGCTGGCTTGCATCCGAGCCGTCGCTACTGCTCCATGTACGCCGTATCCGCACTCCGAACGAACCTGCAAAGGGCATGCAAAACGTGGGCCTCATTAGCGTCGACTCTGTTACCACGCAGTAAGTGTCGAGACGTCAGGTCCACCGTCCACGCAAACACGAGCGCAGCCGCAGCATGACGAAGCGTCACTTTGCCCTGCCTCACCTTTGGCCATGTGCACAAATCGAGATAAGCAGGCCCTCGTGGTTCATGACCGGTTCATCCATTACCCGTGCTCGTGCTTGTACATTGCCCAGAAGCGGGAATGGTCGCTTTCGAGGGAGTTCCGCTCTGAGTTCACCGGCCCCTCCGGGATCGGTACCGGAGGCCAGCTGGAAACCGCCCGAAAGAGTAGCTGGGGGCCGATTGCATGTGCGACGGACCGGGGGTGCGTGCGCAAGTTCGCTGTGACGAGGATGCGATGTGATGTGACGAGTGACGAGGCGTGCTTTTACGAGTCGGTCGTCTTCTTTTCGCAAGAGGGCGTGTGCTTTAGGTGCCTTGGATGCCTTGGGTGCCTCACGTGCGTGCCTTGGCCGGTGTGCATCGCATCGCATCGTATCAAATCGCATCAAATCGCAACAAAGTTAGCTGCAGCAGCGCGATTGGCGATTGGCGCCGCAGATGGGCAACACATCTTCAATTCGTAGACGCGGCTTACGTCTCTTCTCCCCGCGCCGCGTGCTGCGTGCTGCGTGCTGCGTGCTACGTTGCCGCGTGGTGGCTTGTCTCCGTCGGTGATGGAACGGCTCTTCGGGCATCAGACACGTGCTGTACGCCATCGTAACGTCGGGCACTGACGAGAAATCCCGATGTTCGGCACGTATGTATTGACCGGATGACGATATTGTTAGTACTTACGTAGTACTGTGTACGGAGGGCCCTTTCAAAAGTCTCGTCCAAGCGCTAGCAACACTACATCCCTGTACCCTGTCAGTTACCTGAGATACATAGAGGTTGTAACAGCATCCCCAAGCTATCCCCTATACATTCTATAGCTTCAGTGGCATTAGGGGCTGGTAGCCAGGATCTAGTGGATGATGGTGTGCTGTAATCTGCTACCTTTTAGGGCTTATGAGAAGTAGGAAGTACTTAGTGTACTTAGCCTAATTATAATTGGCTGATTAGGAATCGTTGCTTTTTCTTAGGACAAGACTTTTGAAAGGGCCCTCCGTAGATGCTGTGGATTGCGGGGGTGTTCCATAAGCTGCAGAGGAGAGTTTTCCAGGGAGTAATTCAAGACTAGCTTGCGAGGATGAAAATCGAGCGATCGCTTTGACACTCATCCGCTGTGGAGTATGGCACCCGTCGTATAGGCCACCATGTCCATATCAGCCTGACTTACCATCGCCTGGGAACCTCTATCCTGACGTGACAGGATCCTCACCATCAAGCTATTCCGATCTCCCTCCGGTGCAAACTCTGCCCATCAATCGGTCAGATCATTCTATGTATGTACGCGGTATGCTTTCACTCCCTACCTTTACTCACCGGCACGGAGCACGCGACGCCTCCTCCAGGCATAAACCCCTGCATCTCGCATCTTCAATTTAATGCAGGAACCCGACTATCGTGCGCAGCCACCAACACGCACGCGCACGCGCACCCACACCATCCCACACCATCCCACGCCGCACCCACTCACACACAGCAGCCTGTTCTCCCCACACAGGAATACTGACAGGTCATGCTATTTGCGCATGCGCCCTCGCAAGCATAGAGTGCAGTACCGGTACGCATATGTGCAACGTTGATCAATGGGGCCAATGCCCACATGACCGCTGCGCAGATACACAGCCCTCCATTCCATAAACAGCTCGAATCGCGCCCTTCAATCGACCCTGTTGACGCGATTGACGCGGGTCCTTGGCCCTTCTCCCTAGCCGATACTCCGTACGCAATGGAGACGTCCGTGTAAGTCCAGACCAGTGTGTGTCTGTGTGTCTGCGCGTCCCTCGGTGCTCTGCCTTCAATCGGCTGCATAACGTCTGTGTGCACCTATTCCACTTGACATCCATTATGCACGACCGTTGAAGAGAGCGGAATCTTCCGTCCATTTTTCTCCACGCTTTACGTAGTATCCCCTCTTCGACTTCCCCCCTCCACGTGGGAGTGACCGTCGCTGTCGACGACATGGATACCATGCCTACGTCCGAGGAATGGTAACCTGCCAGGGACCAGCGCTCGAGCTATTCGGGCCTGCTGAGACGTTACAAGCAGGAGGGCAAAGTCGTTTCTTTGGTAGGCATGATAGAAGGGATGCCCAATTCATGCGTGTGGCAGGTCGATCGTTGCACTTCGCCCTCATTCCATTCCTCATCCCTAGAATGTTGGATGAGGATGGGTTCAATCCAGCTTTTTGGACACGCAAAGCCCAGGATGGTCTCGGGGGGTGTGCGCCTTTCCCGAAGTGCAATTCCAAATCCCAGTCCCCGTCCGCATTCATCCTTTCGGTGGGGGATTTGCGGTGCTTCATGCTGCTGCTTCTTGCTTTTTGCCTGTCCGGGGGAGGCCATCCACATCATGCGATGCTCGGGTCGCAAAGGGTTCCTTTTCTCGCCGTTATCGTATGTGGGCACATCCCGAATAGCAATCGCCTGACTCCTGTCGGTACGAGCGAAGCCCTCCCTTTCCATTGACGGCTTCACTCCTCATTTTCCCCCACGTATGCACCCACGCGACAGTGCTCGGACCTGCTGGTGAAGGTGCAGGAGTTCGATATTGGCCACGGACATTCCCCCGTGGTATCTCCTGAGACCGGGATCTTGCCTGTGGCATGCCTGGTACATGTAATGTCGGGGCACGAGCTGGTCTGTGAACTGGTGTGGGTGCTCTAGGGTAGTTGGCCAGCGTTTCTCAATCGACACCTTGAGCATGGACTGTAAGCAAGAGTCGATATAGAAACATAGTTCTGACCTATAGACCCGCTTGTGTAGCATCGCTCTGCTCAGCGACTTATACCCCATGTGCTCTATAGACCCTTTCGCCCGTGCACGTCGTGAGCGTCGAGGCGAGGCCCATCATTGAGACTCCTTCACTATCCACCTGTCAACTGTTGGAACTGGATCACTTTCCAGAACAAGAGGATACCCAGGCAAAGAAAGATTACCGAACGCGCATCAATTCCACCTGCCAAATGACCCAGGCGGATCGTCACCAGCCGACCAACCCTCGAGCATTCAAAACCCTTACTGCACGTCACTCCGGGCCCTTGGGTTTCAAAGCACGGCCGGCTCCTCCGTGACATCGCGCCGACCCGTCTGCCGGGGCAGGACCCCGCTTCCGGAAGACTCACTGGAGGGAGGTCACTGACCACCGGTGATCACTGATGGAGGCTAATAGCTAACAGTCAAGCATCGCTGTCAGTCATGTCAAACGTTGGATCAAACGCGTCGAGTCAAACAACGGAGGGTTAGCTTGACTGAAAAACGTAGCAGTCTGGAGATGACTAGGCTTCACCTGAGTCAACAACGAGTTAGGCGTGGCTCAGTCTGGATGTGGTTGAGACGCCACGAAGCCGGCTCCTCCGCCAAGTAGCCTGCCCAAACTCAACTCGGTACAAGTCAATGTGCGAGATCCCGACGCAATGGAACACAGACCCCGCGCACGCACGTCTGGCAGCGCGAGGCGCAGAGACAATGTCTCTGAATGTCTCAAGCCTACATGATCGCCGCGTCGGTTAACATCGAAATGCACTCTAGACCCTCATCTATGGCATCTCACGCACGCATGCCATCATCAAACCAGTCCGTTAGATTGATAAGAAAAATGCACATCTGTCCTGATGAGGAAGTCCCATCTCCCTAATTGGCGATCAACGGCTACCGGGAGTCACAATGCAAGTCTCAACCCGATGTCGGCGCGCTCTTGGCGCGAGGTACCTCTTTCGTAGCGGACTATCTACGCCCGTCAACGCAGGTGTTTTCCTTTTGGGCTGATCCAACATGGCATGAATAATAGTTATAATTGGCGCAGGGCTAGAACAAAGGCTTGAAAGTCCCTAAAAAGGAAAAGGGCTTCGGGCTCAATGAGCGTCATGAATCAGCTCGTATGAGGAGGCGTCGTTGGCCGAGCCCACACAAGCCATGTAAACCATGACGCCAGAGATGCCTCGTGTTCGCATCTCATGAGAGCGCTATTGTCGCCATTATCGATCGGCTCTGCCTCAGCCGCGTCCGTCATTAGCACCAATAGTAGCTCAAAGCTTCCCCTGAGCGACGGCAACGCCGTCACATTACGCCTCGGGACGGGTGACATTATCTCCACGGCACACGTTGGTTTCGCCATTCAGGAATAAGAGCACGAGGCGCGTCTCATTGTTTCCCTGTCACTAGTCTACCACGGCTCCCACGTCCCGATGCCTTCCCGTGCCTACTATTAGAACGCCATCTACCATTCGTTGGGGGCGGCGCAGCGATCCAATCTAGATCTCAATCACACGGCCGCGAGGTCTGCTATTCTATCACGCGGTGTTAGTTAATGCACGTCGGGCATGAATCATCTATTGACAATGGGCGTCACGACTTTGCGGCTGTGGATGGCTGGCTAACTAGTCAATACCGTGTTGCCGTGGGGGGCTATCCGGGTGACCAGATTGTGTGCTCTGCAGTGGAGGTATTCTATCACTTCTTAGTTGATTATCTCCGATCCGCAACCGGCCAACCTTTTCCAGACCAAGCAGGGTGATTGTTGGTGATGGAGGCTGTGCCGCTTGGCCAGCTCTTGTGTCCTCCCTTTCCGGCTTAGAGGGGAGGTTTATTCCGCGATCACTATCACTCCGTCAACTTGGCTAGGCTTTTGTTAGTGGCATGGTGCTACTGCCGACACTGAGACCCGCCCGGAGCATCGCACTGCCGACGCGCTGAAGAAAGCTGGTAGCCTAAAGACCCGAGCTGCTGGTTGCTGGTCTCGGAGCAGTGGATATTTTTGGTCTGCGATCCCGAGAGAGAGGAGAGGATGCAGAGACTGCCGGCGCCGAGACGGCAATTGCAATTTGGCCAGTATGTGAGAAAGTTGGTGTCCGTGGGCAATTGGCCTTCTCGACCTCATCACCACTCGTCCTTGTGGATAGAGATAGCGAACCCGAGAACCCTCAGACCACCTTGCGACCCATCTTCATCTGCCATTGAGGATAGACGCGTTTTGACTTGGATTGTCCATTGCCAGCCTGTATTGAGCGCAGCCACACTCGCCCCACGGGGATGGATCTATGGGACTACGAGGGCAGACGCCACGACTCTGGGCAAATAACGCTTCTAGCGAGGGGGGGTGTGTGTGTACCGGCTTCCTTCGTCATCAGCAAACGCGGAAGAATGATGGCCGTACGGATAGAGATACTGAAAAGGAAAACCGGGCTCACGCCTCGTCGAGGGCCGAAGCCATCAACAATCAAGCGCCACGCGCGGCGCCTCGCAGTTTCAGGTACCGTGGTCAAGACTCTCCAATGGGGGCAGCTCCCGTTCCCTAGACCGACGAGCCGCTCTCTCGTGGCGCACACTACGGCTCTGCCCAAGTCGACCCGCGGCCGTCGTCGCTGGCGGAAGAGCTGCCCAAAATTCCCGACCGCTCTAGCGTCGGCCAAGCTTGCTGGCCTGTTGGTTAATGGAGTTCCTTCACACCCTCTTCATCTGACTGCCAGGAGCTAGGTTCCTCAGCACAGGCTGCTACTGCTCATCGTACTACGTACTACGTAGTAGTACTCCGTAGTATCAGTTGACCTTTTCCCCGATCTCCGGCACAGACCTTGAGCAAGATCTCGTTCCCGGCGCCCTGGTCCCCGTTCCTGCCCATTGGGACGCCTGATGGCTCGTTAAGTCAGAGCATGGTGTCGAGTCTAGGCTTTTCTCATGAGACTTCAGCGGAATCGCTCGGACTCGAGCACTCTAGAATTCTTCTCACGCGATGCTCTCCAACGCTTCCGGAGAATAAAACGTGCCCTAGTGAGACAAACCCACCCTCCTGGAGTGTGTACGACAAGCGACCGATGTGGCCGTCCGCGTTCATCACCCCATTCGTTGACCTCGTTTCCTCATCAAGCCCAAATGACGTACCCGACGCCGACGCGGCCACACCAACTTGCTTTTTGTTGTCTCTTCATCAGCTTTGGCGTCGGGTAGGGGCAACACCCTCTAGTAAGCGGGGCCTGGTTCCCATCCCGTCTTGTGAAGCGGGACGGCGCGGACCAAACTGAAGCTTTTTCTTTTGGCGTCTCTCTCTTCTATCCGTAACAAGCAAAAACGCTTGCCAAGTCGCCTTTGCACCTCTGTGATGGATAAGATCGGCACTAAATGCGTATCACGTAGCACGGACCGAGGTGTTGACGATACGGTTCGGCGTTAAAAGGCCTGAGCTCTTGCAAACCTCGGACTACTTCTGTGCAGCAAACTTTATTGGGATCTGAGCCATGGGACATCAATCAACTCGGGTTGTGACGTTGACTCACCTGGCCTGGAGGAGGAGGATCGATGTTGACCCCAACAGCTGCGATCATGATCGACGAGCGGCCGATCCGCAAGCCCGCAAGTCTGGGAAATCCATGACTGTTGCATTCCGGGCCGCAGTGCAAGCGACCAGCATAACATGTCGGCCCTTGCTCGAGGCCCATTGAGCGGCGCTGGGGTGGTTTAAGCGCAAAACGCGATAATGCAAATGGGAACCTTGACGGATTGCATCCCCATTCACAACCCATCGAGTTATGAGTCCTCCCCTGTATTCATCCTTATGCGCTCTGCACTGTGTAGTGCATGTATGGATGTATGGGAGAGGAGAACTGGGGCAGTCCACCCCCATGTGTTTTTTTCTCGCTCACCACCCGAGGTACCACGCCCCGTCTCGGGCGTACGGCCCCTCATGAAAGCCACCGTCGATAGCTTGGACAGTTGCAAGACGACCGACGCGTAGTGTTGAAAAATCTTCAATAGACTTTCACAATGCGTCTTCCCCTCTACTCCACATCGACCTACTACTAGCGGATTCCCGGCTAAGGAGGGGAAAAATCCGCAATGGTGCGCGTGTGGGATTCGCTGAGATCCTGGTTCGATCTCTAAGACATGATCAAACGCTCGGAAATGATTATTGGAAAGCACCTGGTCTTCATTCTCAGGATGGAGGGCCAGCGCCACGGCTTGGGTCAGGTCACCGGATCCTCTCCCCTTAGAGCGCCGGCGACGGGACGGCACGCGCTCAATCACCTCGTCAAG